TCATTAAAATTTATATCAGAATGAACCTTGATAGAAAAATATTTGCACATGTAAAGAGTACATCTTATGGCTAGAGAAACAATTGATTCATCAAACCATAAACAACTTATGTTTGATGGTGTCAATTATATATTCAGAAAAATTACAATGATCTAATAGATCAATGAAATAATATCTTAAAAAATATTTTTAAGATAGTTCATAAGATATGTGAAAAGTTGGCATAGATAAATGAGTTGCTAGTTTGATATTGAATTTAACCATGTTAAGGTTGTAAGATATGCTCGAGATGTACTTAATAACTTGTATACCTTACATGTTTACATATATGTTATCATGTACCTTTCATTTCATGTTACATCAATATGTCTATAATCTTCTAGGGATCTGGTATAAATATTAGATCCCGCTCTCCTTGTAAATAATTTTTGATTAGTAAATTTTGAGTTCTTCCAAGAGCGCTGGGCACCTATCAGAGCTCCAAATCCTACATTATCTAGACTACATAATATCAAAGTCATTATAGGATTTTAAACCCTATTTTTCAACACCATCACAATTGACATTGCTTTGTCGACATTCTCTCCATTGTCTACTAGAGTTATAGGCAGTGTACACTTATGACAAGGGATCTTTTCCCTCCCTATGTTTCTTCCAGAATGAATTCAAGTGTGATCACTCCATTTCTTTGCTTCTACACTGATCTATTGGTTTGTTACGGTTCTTGCATTATTTTTCCTTGTCTCTATTGAGATTTGTTCATGAATTTAGACATCCTCTTTACATGGAGAATGTGGAGACAATTCTTCATCATTTGTGGGGGATCCAACCTCCACAAGGAAAGTTAATCTTTGTCCAAAATTACTCATAGAACTTCTTGCAATACTTGGAGAGTTCAAATTGACTGGATACAATTTAATTCAATGGTTAGAATATGTTTGAAAGGTATTGATTAGAAGAGGGATGTTACATCATTTGATTGAGGGAAAATTGGATCCATTGTCTCGAGAATTTTGTAGATGGAGAGAAGAAGAGGCATTAATAAAAAGGTGGCTTTGGGGAATAATGATTCCACAAGTTAGTCTAGATGTTTTCTTTTTATGTACAATCAAAGATTTGTGAGAAATAGTTCACACAAAATTCTCACAAAGAAATAATGAGGCACATTTATATGAACGAGACAAAATCCAAGTCCACAATTCAAGGAAATAAATATGTGATGGAATATTACGAGAATTGAAAATTATATGGCAGGAAATCAATTATTATCTCAGTATTGGTACATAATAACCTACATAAATTGTTGTCCTATGGTATTTTACAGAAAAAAAAGTGTTTAAATTTTTGGCTAGACTTAATCTTATTTTTGATTAGGCAAGACAACATCTTTTGAGCCATAAAAGGAAATGTGATTTAGATGAAGCTACTTCAATCATTTTGAATGAGGAAAGTCATCGAAAATTAATGTTGTTAGTGCTTGAAGTTGACAATACTATATTTATGATTAAATAGGGAGAACTTATGAAGAAAGCCTAAGATCAAGCTAAACAACCTCAGCATGGCAAAAAAAGAAATCAGAATACTAATTTTTGTGATAATTTGTGGTATACGTAATAGAAAAAAACTTGTTACTAGAGACAAATGTTATAAATTACATGGTAAATCAAAAAATTTAACATTGAAAAATATGTTAGTCAATCACATTTGACAACAAGATTACTAACTAGTCAGCAATCAGATTCTCAAATGAATCAACATTCTTCTTCTCCTTAGATTGATGATATAGAGTGACTTCAAATTGAGTTAGAAAAACTAAAGTTGATAGTGACAATTCTCATCAATTCAGCTTGATATGTTTCACCACTCTAGTAGAGTTAGAGTCTTTTCTAGAGATATTTCTAATAATTAGGTAATAGAGTCAGGAGCAACATATCACATGACTAACTTCTCCATCCTTTTCACTAAATACAACCCCTGTCTCAGTGATAGAAAAGTAATTACTACAGATGGATTCTTTCTAATTGTCGTAGGTATATGAGGCATTAGACTTAAACCTCTTCGGGTTCTTACTAATGTTCTTTATTTCCTCAAGTTATTTACAAACCTCATTTCACTTAAGAACTTATTAGAGACTCACCTTATCGTGTCTTTTTTGATGAAGATGTCTATGTCATATTTAATAAGGTACATCTTTGGAGGATTGAAGTTGTTAGAGAGCATGAAGGGTTTTATCTTCTAGAATGACTAAGCCAAATACATCTAGTGGAAGTGGATCAATCTTTAGAACCTCTAGGAGATGTCCTTAAGATACAATTACTTCACCAACTGATGAGCCATCCATCCTTTAGCACTTTGAAAATATATTTTCTTAGTTTGTTTTGAAAGGTGTCATTTGACACTCTTAAATGTAATGTGTGTAAACTTTCTAAACAAACATATACTTCATTTCAATCTTAAGAGAAAAGGAGTGACGTTATTTTCTTCCTAATTTATAGTGACATTTGGGGACTATGTCCAATTAATGACATTCGTGATAATAAATGGGTTGCCACTTTCATTGATGATTGTATAAGATGTATGGGGTCTTCCTTCTCAAACAAAAATCTAATGCGTGTCGTGTTTTGAATTTTTTTTGTGCATGATAAAAAACTAGTTTGACACTAGTATTAAAAAATTCAGATCTAATAATGCTAAATAATATTTTTGCCAAAATTTGAATTTATACTTTCAAACAGAGGATATCATACATGAATCCTCTTGAGTCTATATCCCACAAAAAAATAGTTTAGTTGAAAGAAAAAATTGTCGTCTCTTAGAAGTCACTTGATCAAAAAAAATTCAGCATCATGTACCTAAAATTTTTTGGGGGGGAGGCTGTTCTAATAACCACATACCTTATCAACTGATTACTATCTAGAACCTTAGGCTTCCACAGCTCGTTAGATTCATTAGCCACGTTTTTCCCAAATCATCAACTTAGGGCTAGGCTATAACTTAAGACATTTGGCTGTCTTTTGTTCATGTTCATAATCAAACCAAAGGCAAATTAGAACCGAGATCACTTAAATGTATATTTCTTAGTTATGGTACCAATCAAAAGGGACAAATGTTACCACCCTCATTTTAGAATTTTTTGATTTTATTAGATGTTAGTGGAGAACAGCCATCAGATTGGAGCCCCAACTTTGACTTTACTAATTAGTTGCAGGGCTCTTTTGAAAATTCTTTTCTTTCTTATTTTGCATTGGCAAGAAAATAAAAAAAATATATATATATACCACTATTCCCTCCCTCTCTCTCTCTCTCTCTATATATATATATATATATATATAATGGTATATCTATTTATCTCTATCTTGGGTCACAAACTCGTCCAAAGAGGATACCCAAAATAATGGTGTTGTCAATTAACTCACATGTGGCTACATCTTGATCATGTGTCAATCCATGTGGGGCATGTGCTGCAAGGTCTACCACCACTCTTTTCCTCACCTTTGAGGAACCGCCACCATCATGAAGATTTAACAACGATCAATTTACATGTACCCCTAAATAACATCTATTTTTCTCAAGAACTCTGACAATATGCCTAACATTTGTTTTTGTAAAATATGACAAATGCTTTATGAAATTAAGACCTTCCCCTCCTTTATCCTTTTTTCTAAGCTAATTTTTCTCTATGGACTCTCACTTTTTGATTTCTCTCCTTATCTCTGCATCACATCTAACTTTCCAAAACCCCCTTCAACAACATAAATAATGAGCCTTAATTTGTAAAGTATAATAATGTTGATTTGTGGGCTACCCATTGTAGGGTTTGTTTGTTCAGGGTTGAACCAGGATGGATAGAAACAAGCTTGACAAAGTTGAATTGCAGGTTCACTATTGTAGGATTTGAATTTAGTTTATGGCCAAAATTCAAGAATGCCTCATTAGGGTATTTTTCAGTGATGAATTAAGATAGATAGAAACAAGCTCAACAATTTTGATTTAAGGATTACTAACATGGATAGAAACATGTTTGACCATGTTGATTTTTGAATTCAAGAACACCGAATCAAGGTTTGTTGATTCAAGGATCAACTAAGATGAATAGAAGCAACCTTAACAATGTTGAATTGCAGGGTATCCATTGTAGTGTTTGAAGTTAGTTTATGATCGACAAATTGAGAACATTTAATTAGGTTTTTTTAGGCATAACTTAGGATAAATAGAAATAAATTCGAGGGTGTTGATTTGTGGGTTAGCTATTGTAGGGTTTAAAGTTAGTTTGTAACTGAGAATTCGAGAATGATGCATAAAGTTTGTTCAGGGATGAACTATCATAGATAGAAACATGCTCGACCATGTTGAATTACAGAATTACTCATTGCAGGGTCTAAAATTAGTTTGTGACAGAAAATAACGGCATAGTAAGTTTTGTTTATTCAGGGATGGACTAGGATGAATATAAACAAACTTGATGGTGTTGAATTACAAGTTACCTATTGTTGTATTTAAAGTTAGTTTATGACCTAGAATGTAAGAACGCCCCCCCCATTAGAGTTTATGAAATACAATGGATAAAAACATGTTATACAATGTTGGCTTACGGGTTACCTATTTTAGGTTCTAATTTTTTTTTTCCGCCAAGAGATCAAGAACGGCATATTAGGGTTTACTTGTTTTGTGATGAATCGTAATAGATAGAAACAAACTGGACGATGAAGTAGGAAAGTTATTAATTGTAAGGTGTGGGGTCAGTTTGAGACTGAGAACCGAATAATACTGCATTTTGGTTTGCTTGATTAAGGATGAAGTAGGAAAGATAGAAACATGCTTGACGATGTTCTTTTTGCCCATCAAATAAGAACAAGCTTGACTCTCAATTCCAGGAATAGTACACTAATTCGCAAAGCTTATGTCGTTTAGGCCCGCTCTTATACTGCATCCATTTCCCATAGGTAGATGATCGACGTCAGACTCTGCAACAATGTATGAAGAGTATAAGATTAGATAGCTTAGAAGATAGAAGGATGGAGAGAGAGAGAGACAGGGGGAAGAGATGTATACCGTGAGCAGTCGACGTTGGGGCTGATGGGGAGGTTAAGGCGAAGCTTGCAGAAGGTGAGCATGTGGGTAACGCGGTCAGGCTTGACCCCAAAGGAAGGGGCCGTCTGCTTGAAGCACTCGCAGATGGCCTTCCTCTCCGGGCCCGTCGCTGCCATCCGCCCCAGCGACTGCACCCTCTCGCAGCACTGTGCCGACGGATTCCCCTCCCCGATTCCCGTTAGGTACCCCCCGCAGGGCGCCAACGAACTCACCGCATCTCCGCACGACAGCGCCCATCCCCTCCCACCCCACATGCCCACCACCATCACCACCACCACCACTACTTCCAACACCACCTTCTTCTCCCCCATTCTTTCTCTCTCTCTCTCTCTCTCTCTCTCTCTAATGAAGTTGGTGGTGTTTCTTTCTGTGGTGAGTGGTGAGTGGCGAGTGACGGGGGGGATATATGTAGAGGAGGAGGGGGAGTTTCAGGAGCAGTGCTCCAACTGACAGATCGGGGTGGCTGGGTGTTATTTACGCCGGCGATGGGCTGTTTCTTCGGCGGGGGGAACAGCAGACCGTCGCCAGCCACCTGGGTTCAGCTTAATTTGCCAGATGACGGAATGGGAAGTAAATGCAGCCTTAACCCCCCCCCCTCTCTTACTTCATAGCGGAGCACGTAGATGCCCGCCCATGCACGCGTCATGGCTCTCTTTGGTACCTGGGCGTCTTCCTTCTGCTCGAGCGGCCACCCCTACCAACTTCTTGCACGCGTCTCTCTCTCTCTCTCTCTCTCTGTCTCTTTTACTTCATAGCGGAGACGTGGACACCTACCCATGGACGCGTCGGGCTCTCTTTGGCATCTGTCGAAGCACAAGCGCCCCCAACAACCTTCTTGCACGCGCCTCTCTCTCTCTCTCTCTCTAAATATTCATGCATGACTGTGCAGTAGACATCGGCTCACTCAAGGACTTGCCCGACCGTGAACGCTACCTAACCCGTTGACCACTTGTAAATTTACGTCGTCCCCTCGGAACCGTACCCTTCAATGGAGCCAAGCCTCCCAGCGAACCTGTTGACCACTCCACACCGTGTCGTTGGCCGTTGGAAGATGATCCGCGCCCTTCCGGGAGCCGCCGACTGCCCGAAGAAAGCGTCCAACCATTCTTTACTGACTTCTTGACGAAACCCTGCTCGTTGCTCTCTGACCATGGCTCATCTTATTCAAAACTATGGGAACCCGTTGACTTCTGTCGCCATCTCGACGAGGCTTCGGGAGAGGAAAAAATTCAACAAGCCGCATGGTACCCGATCAAAGCAAGCACTCCACGTACAAATTCAACAATTTAATAAACAGTCGGTATGAAGCCACCGTGTGGATGAATGAATGACCAAAAGTCAAATATCATGCTTTGAAGGTCAAATGAAGGACGTAATCGCCAAGTTGGGCTGCAGAATCCCATCATCAAAATCCTTCACCCTTAAAAGGTTAAAAAAGAAAAAAAAAACCCTTCTACTCCTCTCTCTCTCTCTCTCTCTCTCTCTCTCTCTCTCTCTCTCTCACTCACTCAGCTTTCAGACCAAGCCAATGTTCCGGCTAACAGAAATCTGCTGGGGAGATCACCAGAGCATGGCGCTAGGTAAGTGATCTTCTTCCTGTCCAATAATCACCCATGGAAATAAAACCCATGTCTTATATAAGGTGACGAAATAGAAAAGGAACAGAGAGAGATAGAGAGAGAGAGAGAGAGAGAGAGAGAGAGAGAGAGAGAGAGAGAGAGAGAGAGAGAGAGAGAGAGAGAGAGAGCATGCCTTTGAATGTCGATATCCGTGACAAATATAAAACCCGCGACGTTGCTGAGACATACAATGACGAGCAACAGACAGAATCAGCCACACCAGCAAACCAACTTGTCATATCCATAATATCTTAGGACTAGCTAAAGCAGTAACCAACGGTTTCAGCAGCAGCGAGGCCACTACTGCCTGAAGCTCTGCTGAGCGGATCATATGAAGCAAAACCCTAGAAATATCAACCCAAGTGTCAACTTTCTTCTCTATTTCATAGCCGACAAGATACTGATTTTATGCGGCCATCAGAAAGAATCTATGAGGACCCAGAAGCAATTTCCAGCCCTCCCAAATGGGTTGACTAGCTGTCGTGCCCAAGGAGCAGCTACAATAGTGTACAATATATTTCATTGCCTAGCGTCGAGAATTGTCCTCAGGATCAGGGATACATCACCTCTGGATCCGATGAACAAAAGAAAATAATGTAACAGAAGAAGAGAGAAAATGTGAACACTGATTTCCCCACAAAGAACCAGAGAACCAGATGGATCAAAGTGAACACATATGCTTCAAGATTTCCCCTAATGCCTTTCACATTTCAATCCTTTGAGGCCTACATGGCTCCACTTTTTAAGCTTTTTTTTTTATATGGTTTTTGTTTACATTAATCTCCCTTCGTAAAAAAGAACTCAATCTCGAGTTTCGTGTATAGGGAAACACTTTGAATCTACAAAGAAACAGAGAACAAGATGGATCCAAGTGAACACATATGCTTCAAGATTTCTTTATTCTTCAAAAATAAAGAGCTTAGTCTACGTTCCTAGAACATATCTAAAAACTAGGAAACTCATAATGTAAAAAGCTCTTCAAGCCTTTCATATTTCAATCCTCTCAGACCTACATGGCTTCACTTTCTGGGCTTTCTTATTTCTTTATTTGGTTCTTATTCTCCCTTCGTAGAAAAGAACCCAATCTAAAGTCTTTTCGTAAGGGTAGATAACTCATATAAGTCAGCAATAATAAATTTTGAGACAGTGTCCGTGTGCTCATGACCTGATGATCAGAGAAATGACGCCGTCAAACCTTTGTGGCATCCTTGTAAAGCCTACATTTTCTTGCATTGGCTTGTTCTATCTGCTAACTTAAAATCTCTCTCTTTGCAAATAGAAGGACAAAGTCTCCAATTAGAAAAAAAATCAAATGTTCACGTACATTACTGCATTACTGCAACTTTAATCACTGAAAGGCGCTCCTTCATGCTTTGACGAAACGATTTGCTCTACCTTCATCCAAAGAAGGTAGAGAAAAACCTTAAATCTTGAGGAGAGCGAAATTAATATTGGCCAAAAAAGGGCATTGTGCAGCTCTCTTTTCTCAAAATATGAAGAACCTATTATGGATTTTCTAGAGAGTAGGAACTACCGACAACTACTGCAAAAAACAAGGGACCACCTGGAAAAAAGGAAATAAGCAGCAAGAAATGCTAAATAAAAGCAAAGATATCCTAGAAAAATGGACTGCTGTATTTTGAGCATTCATATTTCACCGTTTACAGCATTTTGGGCTTCATCTTTTGGGCCTCCCTATTTTTGTTACAATGTTGCACTTCATTAAAAAAATATCATTCTTTTCCACGTTTATACAAGCTTCTTTTAAAAGAAGAGACGTTGAATTTCTTATCCTTGGATTACAAAGTTCCAGCCCAGTTTACCATTTTATCTAACTCTACATCCATCCGTACAAGCAAGTTGATGTAAATAAAGGAAAAGAAGCAAGTATCTGAAAAGTATAAAAATTTAACCAATGAACTGCTTACCTAGAAATTATCTGATCAGTCTCCTTGGCATACGAAACAGCAAGAATTGAATGCAGGAGGTCTGCATTTATATTTATGGGGACAAGACGGGTAGGATCAGCTGCAGGCTCAGCACCTATAGGAAGGGCCGAACGGGGAGCTTGTGGACCACCCCCAATTCGGAAGATTGAGAAATCACTGAAGCTTGCTATACTTGAATGTGGAGAGAGATCATTTGAAAGCCCATAAAAGTACTCCTGCGAGAATTGAAGGTGATATAAATAAATTCCGTGCCCATTCCACGTATCTATGTCTTTGCAATTTCATGTGTTCTATTTCTATCCTTCATACCAAGCATTTTTAATATACTCATCCATTGTGTTCCCAAAGTCTGCCTAAAGGCCTGAAAGATTTACTAAACGAAGAGTTAAGTAGCTGATTCTTAACACCCCTCCCTTGCCATCCATCAAAACAATTGTGTTTACAAATTCCATATGGTCAGAAAATGGTACTAGAAGATAAGCACTTTTAGCAGGGTGTGAAGAAATAAGCCAATCCCAGTCATCAACTCCTGATCAGTTTCTGAGGGGAAATTAAATCCTGCTTCACGTACATTTTGATAATATGATGCCCTGGGTTGGTAGATTCTGGGATCAAATCATCCAGACTCATCCTAATTAAGCCAATTCGTTGTGAGCCATACCAAGACTGAGCAGTCCAACGAAGTCTGCTCCACTCAGCCACACAAAATGACTCATATATTGGGCCTCAATACTTAAATGCCATAGCCAGGTATCTGAATAGCTGTTGACATAGGATTGGTCGATCAAACTGATCCAGTTACCCTATCCTGCTGCATAATCAGATCATCCGTACCTTCATCTCTAGGGCCACTTCCCATCAATATCATGATGAGGAGAAATAATGTGCACATGACAATTGGAACAATATATATATAGTACTTGAACTTCATTATTAAACAAACGAGTACAAAAGCACTACTTTATCATAAAACTTGACGCTTAGAGAGTCAAACCACAAATATTAAATGACCTTACATATAGACCTAAACAACGTCAAAGACATTTATGGCAGAAAAGGAAAGATCGAAAGCATGTTACTAATCAAGAGTCATAAAAAAAGAGAGAGACGATCCTATGGTAGCCTATTAACAGCAGAAAGCGAAGAAAAGGATAGAAAACATGCTTATCATTATAACCTCTTATTTGTTCCTAGTAAATTCAAGCTGACAAAGGAAACGATGGCATTCATGATAAAAACAATGAAAATGCTAGCCTGACGGGCATACAATCTGACTCCAAATGTTTTGATCCACCAGTCAGATGTCTGGCTCAGTCAATCAGATGCGCATATAGAACAGTTAGTCAAGAATGAGAAATAAAGGAGGAAATCCAATCAAACCAAACCAACCCAAAATATGGATACGATGAAAAAACAGTCAGGTATGGTATATATACTGCTCAGGTGCTGTAGCAGTACTTCTGTAGGCAGAATGTACTTGGAATGGAGGGAACACTACAAAACGCAAGCTCATCATCAAAGAACACATTACGGTGAAACAGTGTTTACAGGAGAAGTTGTACAAGTTTACCCGTATCCTAGCACTTCGGGCTCTTTGTCGAAACTTAGTATTCCTTGGTACAACACCACCTGATTTGTGAAGTTTCACGATGTCTTTGCCTTGTATGACTCCTTTCAGCATGCTGCATAGTTTTTCCTGCATAACATTTATATACACAACAGATAAAGTCAAAAGATCACCTTTGTCAGACGAGTAAAATGGAAATATGCCTTTCGTTGACAGATTTATCTACCTATGCCAACGGAAAAGGATGTCTCTTTCAGAGAAATTCATATGCAACTGTGGTAGTATATACTAAACACTGAATGCTGTAGAAAATCAATACGGTTTACCTGTCCCAATACCAGAACTACATCAGCCCTGAATGTCTCGATTGCATGAAGAAGCAACTTTACAAAAAAAAAAGAGGTAATAAGAACATTTCTTTATAACAAATTAATGGAGGATGCTGAAGGAAACCAGAAGTAATTATCAAATGGACAAGATGAATCCCAGGTTTGAAAAAGATACCTCATAGCCCACACCTTCTACCCATCCCATTGTGTTGATTACCATGCCAGCAGCTCTTGATTCAGCATTGCTGGTAAATTGCTTCTCTAAGGTTTGAGCCAGCTCCTTCACCAGAACCTTGTAAAGCTCCACATTAATACTGAATATGCCAATTACACAATCTTGTCACATTCAAGAAAAGAAAACTTCAATGTGCATAATAATAATATGCACAAGTATTCCATCATTCTTGATATCAAGTAATTTAATAGCATTAATTAGAAAAGCATTGATTTTACTTGAAAGATGAATGAAATCATTTGTCACCTTGGAGTTGTGTGTCCGTAGAAATATACAAGAGGCTTTTCCAAAGGAATGCCTTCCACAGGATCAATAGGCATTTCAACCGGTGTGGCAGCTATGCATCCAGGAATAGTGATAGATCCCTGACCGATATCCAAATCCACAAAGGTAGGTTTCCAACTCGGCTTACATGCCCAGCTCAGAAGCATCTTACACAAGCTACTCTTCCCAGAATCTGTGGGCCCAACAACTATCACCCTGGGTCCCTGGATAAAAATAGCAACATCACAGTCAAAGACAACACAAGAATAAACTGAGAACTGAAAATCTCGAGGATCCAAACACAGATTTCTGAGGAAAACTAAAATACGAATAGCCATAAAAAAAAAAAAAAATGTTGACCTGCCTAGTTTATCAGAAAAACCCATTAGAAGTATTCTCAACTAAAACTGCTTGTCTGCAGCCAGTTAAAGTTATCAATTATTCTACCAGTAACCATTATAATACCTGTCTATAAAAGAACTATTCCTAAACATTTAAGAGATTCCTTAATGCCTTCCTTTTTTGCCTACAGGGACCGCCAATGAAGCACTACCAAAGTTGCATGGTTGCTTAAGAAATGATTGTGCATTTAAAATTTTCATTTTTGTCCAATTAATATACAATTCTCCCTGACATATCATTCTTCTTGATGACATGGTGCAGTCACTTTGGCCTTTGAATTTGTCTTCTTAATCTTAGATGTCACTAAATCTTGAGCTAAAACCAAACCTCCTCTCAAATTTTTCATTTGTACCCCTCTTGAGAGTCTCTAGACTATTTTCTCGTTGCAAGCAGGCTAGTTGATCTTGCCATGTTTGTTTCATTACAACAAGATTGCATTAGGTTGCATCATTCACAAGGACAGTCCGTTGGAGGGTTAACAGGAGTTCAGTTCAGGCATCTACTTCTAAAACTTAGGGTATATCTTAGACTACCTTCTCAACACTTTAACATTAAAATAATAAGTGAAAGTTTCTCATGAAACACTGTTCTTTACGATTGTCATGGGGTACAGACAAAGGCAAGTGGATCACATGCTGTTCATTAAACACTCATCCTCAGGGGGAGTCAGTACTCTTGGTATACGTTGGTGACATAATGATGACATTCTGAGTCAGTGTTTGGCAAAGGAATTGAAAACGAAAGCATTAGGGTACTGAAATATTTTCTTGGGTTAAAGCAGCTCACACTAGGCAGGGCATTTTCATTTCCCCAAAAGAAGTATGTTATCGATATTCTTAGAGAAACAGGCAAGACCGAACTAATTTTGCATATATATCCCAGCAAGTACTCTAATAGATCCGAATCTTAGACTTCGAAAGGCAGAGGAGAATGCTGTGGTAGATAGGGAAATGCATCAGCACCTAATTGGAAGACTCATTTATCTATCTCATATACGACCAGATATAGCATACCCACTCATTGTTATTACCCAATTCATGCACCGTCCAAACGAAGTTCATCTGCAGGCAGCTCACTGAGTATTACAGTAAGACGATGCTGATGATGTAAGGTCAGTGGTTAACACAGATGCACCTTTCCTGGTGGCAGTCTCATGACGTGGAGAAGCAAGAAACAGAATGTGCTGGAATGATCTAGTGCAGATGTTGAATTCCGAGCAATGGCTCAAGGTCTGTGCGAACTACATTGGATGAAGATCTACTTAGGAGACCTAAAGATTAAGCGGTATGGCCAAATGAGACTTTTATGGTAACAAGTATACAATCAACATTGCTCACAACCCTATGCAATGTAATCGAAAAAACGCAATGAGACAGACACTTCATCACAGAGAAGTTGGAAAGTGGATTGATTTTCATACCTTGTGTCTAGATATGGCCAACTTGCGGTGTACTCACTAAGGGAGTAAATGGTTCAGTATTTGAGAGTATTATATCCAAGTTGGGAATGAAGAATGCCTAGCCACTAGCTTGAGATAGAGTGTGGCAAGTTGGTTGGGTATCCAAGAAACCGTGGGATCTAACCTAGGTACTTCTCCATTTTTGTGGCTAGCATAATTTTGTGAACAAAGATATTGTTCTAAAAATTGTTAAGACATAATTTTTTTGCTGACGGTTTATCCTTGTTTGGTTTGTGTCAGTAACTATTTTTCGCCAATCATTTCTATCAGTGTTATTAGCCATCTTAAATAAAGAAAAAGAGGTCATCGAATATTATTAGCAACATGCTTCTTATAAAATACATAATAATATACCTGAGAAGATTCCAACTCGGTGCTTGAAGAACCTCTGGCACGAGCTCTTCGTCCCTCTAGTATAGCATGAACATTTACATAGCTTACCATAGGCGTCTAAAAAGACAAAATAGTGTCACATTCTAGTGTTTCTTTAGGATCAAACTGACAAAGAAATTATTTAGTATAAATTCAACAATTAAAAACCAGAGGTTGGGGCTATGATCATGCAATATAATACCTCATCTGCCACATATAGTTCACTCTTTCCATCCAATTCAATTGTCGCCCCATGCCAAGTGAAAACCTGAAATATGAGTACTGAGTATTATGTGGGAAGAGAAGGTGCCAAACTATATCTCTGCAAGAGAAGTCTACATATGAGAGGTGATTGAATACTCTTCTTAGATTTGGCTCCAAAAATATTGGAACGTCTTTTTTTCTGGACAGTTATTTCTTGTCCATGTATCAATACTGATAAACGAGACAAAAGAAAAGAATCAGGACGGCCCTTCAATCATAGTGGTACCCCTTTTCTCTTCCAGAGAGAAATACCTGTTCATTTTTCATGGAAATACAAATGAAAGAAAAAAAAAATAACTTCATTTGTCTGAGCAGACTAAGTCTTACAAGATAATTATGAGAGGGATTATATATAAATATAATTTTATGCAATGTGCCAAGTCCCTAGATCTTAATTTACCATACATACATAACCGCAGATATGCAAAAATATGAAAATATGAAAATATATAGATAGACATAGCTATTGTCTTTTAGTTTGGAGGACATTCCATTTTGGCTGTGGAAAGTTCCCTCTAAATCGGTGTCAGCCTATGCAAGATTGCAAAAATATAGGTCAGTTGGCTCCTTTAAATCTATGTATAGAAAGGATAAACCCTAAAAGAAGCGCACAATAAAAGCACCATGGTCATGAGGAGAGGCAGAGATAAAACAGAATAGATACTTAAACATCAGAGAAGAACAATAAGGGTCTCATCTTCTTAATAAAAAAATTCATATTTAAAGGATAAATGTGCTATCCGAATTAGGGAATAAAGGAATATCTTAAGAAATTCAACATGATGACTTTCTCCATAGAAAATGCAACTAGAGATGCCTCCAACAAGATTTCAATCATTTGCCTAAAACAGGAAGTAGTTTCCAGAATAGCTGTTACCAAAGCATTCCAATTTATTTGAGGATGAAGATCAAAGAAAATTAAAATAAAGACTAATTTAGTTTCTGAGCAAGGAAGTCGGACTAGTAAGAAAACATAGTTAAATATTATCAAAATAACCAAACTAGGAAAGTCGAAATGGATGTATGGAAAGATGAAAGCATGCCATACCCAATAAAACTAAAACTAGCAAAACTTTGTCTTTAATGGCACTGACAAACAAAGAAGGATATCAAAAACCCATGTGAGAAGATATGGGTCCCTGCAACAAGAATAGGAAAATCGAAAAAACCTCAAAGCGGGTCCCTGAAAGGAGATATGGACGCAGGAGTACTGCATACACATATTGGACGCAACATAGTATAGTGGCCAGTGAGAGATCTTTTTGGCTCATCTTTACATGCAAGTTCAAAGTCAAATGGCAATCCACAATGAAAGGAAAGGAAAACTTATGGCCCTGCTCACCAAAGCATAAGAAATACATTGGAACAAAATCACTTATTCATATTATTCTATCATTAATTGAGATTGCTCGGTCGAAAGGTAGGAGGACATATGTGGCAAGAAATGCAACCATTAACACTCGTTGGCCACATACTTCAATGCGAAAGGGGACATAGATGGCCTCTTGAATAACCTAGACTCCTTCCACGCTCGAATAGAAGCAAAGAGAAATTTCACAAGACACCATTTACGTGTGATCATAAGATGCATCCAGCGGATTTAAGCCTTGAAGATCCATATGTCGTATTTTGTACCCCTAAAGAGCAGAACTCTGCATTCTCTAGACACCCAATCCTTTCAGGTTTTCAGGTCAATCACACTGATATTCTACATGTAAAAAAAATGAAACTTTTAACAATGAAAAACAATGGTAACAGTCAAGGTATCAAACATGCAAATAAATCAAGGGATTGTACAGGGAGACTGTAGCACCATCTCGTAGACATGACGATGAAGATAATGGTATGATCCCAAAAAGATGACCAGGACCACAAGAAAAAGGATGATTATGACTAAAAGGGTCTGATTAGGAACATTTACGAGGCATAGCTGGAAGCACCATGTCTCCATTTTCATTCAGTCTCCATTTCCACAAGATGATTAGAGAAGAGGAATACTGGAAAAAAAGAGGTGTATAAGTTAACCGATATGAAGAGATCCAATTCTAAGAACCAATGATCATAATTTTTAAAAATATTGCACAAATATTTCATCAGTATCGGTGACTTCAACATTCAACAGGAGGTAAATGGATGACGGCCAATATTCAACTATTGGTATTAGGATCCTAGTTGGCATGATGGTGCCGACTAATCTTCTTTTAAATTCCCAGAATAAACCAGTGCCCACACTAGTGTGAGTAATTCCAACCTTGTTTTGTATAGCCCGAATGCCAAATTCTTATCCTTTAGCATTTTTCTCATCTCGTAATAATATGCGTTGAGCTGTACTAATTTTTATTTCTAAATAAAAAGATTAGCCACTCAACGTAGCGCCTGGCACAATGGTATGATTCCACCAAAATCCCAACCTCCCCTCCCCCACCCCCCCCCACTTCTGATAGGTAACAAACAACAATGCCTAAATGACTGGAACACATGAAATTGAACACAGATATATAAAATCAGCCACTTTCTTCTTATAAACCAAGAAGGTTTTTTTATCGACTGTTATCTCTTTTTCAATGATTCAGCAGAAAATCCCACCAAATAGTGATCCCGAACATCGATTTTTGTTAGGAGAAAAAGCATTCTTTTATTCATAGAGATTATTGCAAACACGTGTCGCAGTCAAAGAGAACTTGCAGGACAGAGCACAACAGGATAAGTCATGTACCGCGAATTTGTGACTCGGAGGGAAGGAAAGCCAGTTCTCCGGCGGAAGTTCTGTCCCAAAGATCTCTGCCGTGCCAGACACCAGTCTGAGACGGAGCCGGCTGTCGTCCCGTGTCTCCACCCTGAGCTCGCTTTCCTTTCCCAACTGGAATTGCCGCACGTTGCTGCCTTCCGCCCCCGACGGCGCCTGCGAGGACGCCATCCCCGGTTCCCCCTTTCTCGGCTTGCCCTAATCGCCCTAATCTCTCTTTCTACTCTTCCTTCCGCATCAGATCAGGCGACGGAGGCGTCCACACAGAGCCGCCATTCTCCCGCCGGCCCCGTTCCCCCGGTTTGTCGATTCAAGTGGGCTACTGTCTAATTGAGTAAGAGGGAGCCGTAAAAAGCAGAAAAGGAAATAGTTTGGGTACCAGTGTGCAACTCGTCTGCAAGATGTTCACCCAAGAGTTGGTCATATTTATAAATAGTATGTCATTGTGGTGTCAACCTTAATTATTTAATAATTCTTATACAAAACGCCGTCGATCAGACCCCCACCCCAGTTGACTACGTAAGTCAACTCCAGCAGCCCCGTTAATAGTCCACGCAAATGGGTCATCGTCTAATTTAATAAGTGAGAGGCGTAAAAAGCAATAATAAAAACGTTTAGGTACTATAATGCAATTCACTAGTGTTGTTCCTAGAATTAGTTGGGCATATTTACAAATATTACGTCATTGTGGTGTCAAAGCTATATACGATAATTATTAAGAAAACTTAGACGGTTTCATCTAATAACACCATTTTAAAAAGGAAATGACTCAGCGACCACACTGACTCCTTTAGTCAACTCTGGCAGCCCCCATTATCAATCTACGCAAGTGGGGTTACTGTCTAATTCAACAAGAGAGAGGCGTAAATAGCAAAAACAAAAAAGTTTGGACACCAGCCTGCAATTTGCTTGCAAGATGTTCGCTGGCAAGAGACGGACGACGGCGGGGGTGAAGCGTTGATGGCCCAAGAGCTGGTCATATATATAAATACTTTTTTAATTATGAGGTAAAAAATAATATTGGGAAATCACTTAGCTCCAGTAGACTCGAGTTAAATTCAATAAGAGTAAGGGTTAAAAAATAATAACAAAAAATTTAGATACTAGAGTGAAATTCACTTGCTAGAGTTTGCTTCCTGTGACGGACGACGTGGGGCTGGACATATTTACAAATATTACGTCATCATTGTGTATAAATTAATTATTCGATAAATGCCATCTGATCATCATCATCTTCTTCCTTGGATCGCGAAGAAGCTCCAACCCCCCGAAGCTCGAACCAGAAGGTGGTCGATGAATAGAGAAGGTCTTCATAGTTGCAGTAGAGGAGGAAGAAGACAATGAAACGGAAGCTTCGGCGAGGAAGACTCGAAGGTACGGCACTACCGTGGCCTTTATCTTCTACAGGAAGGGAGGAGGAGATCTGAATGCTCAAGATCCCCTTCAATCTTGCAATTAAGTAATTATTACGATGATTTCTTAAGAATAGGAGAAAAAAAAGAATCTCCAGTCACCGTCTTCTTCTACTACCTTCCGGTGGTTCCTCTTAAGGTGGGGAGAAAGAGAGAGAGAGGGAGAGAGTACGTCTTGCTCAAGTGATGGCCAATAGATTTGAGGATGTAGTGATGCCGGTCGGAGGACTCCTAATAAGTCTTCATTATCATGAGTTAATAATTAGTAAATAATATAGTTTTAGCCTTAACTCATGATAAATAGACTTATATTTGTGTTAAAGTGTGACAAATGGTTTTTGATTAATTAACGTAATTTTTTAGTAATTATGTGATTTTATATGATTTTTATAGTCTTACTTTTGAGATAAATGAAGAATAAGAAATAAAAATAAAAATATTACAAAATAGGAGGACTTGCCGGCCAGTTGGGCCCGCAAGCGGGTTGGAAGTGTTATATTATCAGGAGTAGTCGCGAGTAAGGGCTCGAGCGACTTGAACTGATGGGGGCATGTGTGCACCATTCCCCTTTCACGTCACTAGTGGCCAACTAGTTGTGGGGAAAGGAGTGGTCGTACACGCACGAGAAAGAGACTTTACTTAGAAATGTTATATTATTATTTCTTCGCTCGAACATTCGTCGTATAACCGATGTGGGACTAAACTTGTCACCTTCCTCATAAGAGGTAGGGGGTCAACCAATGCAAGTTTGAATCCTCCCAGAGCCAAAACTCATATTTTTATCTGATTATCGCAACTTTCTTATAAATCACCAGTGAAGGATTAAGCAACTAGAATTACTAGATCATTGGCAAAAATTTTGTCGACGCAATTTGTGGAATATTGTTACTAAAATTGCTAAAGGATTCATGATAAAAGGATCACGAATCCATCGAGTAAATCATCTTTGATTGATCGATGAACAAGTCATTATCGGGAAGAGGACGATCCATCGAGAGATGAGTCGCCACCTCCTAAGAGCGTACCAGATGTGATGAAGAGCCTCCTTTTTGCTGTGTAGACCTGAGGATGAAGCTCCCTAACATGCGTCCTACCTCCATCCAATTCCTCTCCGTCGGGTGACAACCACCAGAGAACCACAAAGTCGCCGTTTTTCTGCTCTACTAGGTGACAGCTGCTGGAGACGACTCGACGACCCATCTCATTAATCTCTAGACTTCGTGAGAAGATCTAGAGATGGCCCACGTCATATTTGTCTAAGGAGAGTCTTCGAGGCCATAGACACTACACGACGATCCTTCCGAACGCTCAAGATTATAGTGCATCGCCGACGTATCACCGTTGCAATACTAGAACTTTATTTTCCTACTTTCAACTTACTTTACACTTAATTTAGTGATAATTTTTGTGTTTTTAATTTAGATCTTTCAACTTTTATAGATCTTAATTTGATTAATTAAATCATTTGTAATCACTTATGTAAGAATCATCGGGTGAAACTCTATTTTCACCTGATTCGCATTCACCAAGCATTAACGTCATCCTGACATCTACACCCTTATTTCCCTCTTTCATAAATTTTAAATATATTTTTTGTTCATTTCTTAGTATAAAATTCATAGAAAATCGTATTCATTGAGAACAATTCTAAATAATTACTAGATATTATATTACATCCCTATGATCGACCTAGAAAATTACCACTATTTTTGAATTTTTTATTGAATTATAATTAATATATTTATTTAGTAATACTTCTAAATATCTAAAAATTCGTATTTTCTAATTTTATAAATTTTAGATTTACGTGATTTAATATATAACAACTAAGTCATGTCAAATTTTGGCGCCATTGTTGGGGATGTATTGTAGAATATTTAGTATTTTTCTATTTTTCTCTTAGATTATATAGAAAAAACTTTAACTCTTATTTTATTTTCTTTTTTCTGATTTTTTTTAAGAAAAAGAGAACGAAAAGAAGTAAGGCAAGGACTGGAGCATACTGAAGGAGGGTAACAATTACTAAACTTTTTCCTCAAATTTATTGATTTTTTATGCACGGTAGAAGATCCTTACATCTAAGGCTAGAAAATCCTTTCATTATTTCATTCTAAATAAAAATATGAAAGAAAAATTAATTTTGATGGATCCTGAAGGAAGTACAAGTCAAATTGAGAACAATCTTATGACCATGAAAAATCATTATATCCTTGATTCATTTCAAAGAGCATCTAATATTAGAGTCTCATTAGTACATATTATTAAATTCAAAATAAATCCAAGAATTTTTCAAATGCTCCCTAATTTTCATGGATTGCCTTTAGATGAACCTCATCAAGACTTTTTAAGATACACCAGAAATTTTTAAGATAAAATTATTTTCTCCTATACTTAGGGACAAAGTTAGTCATTGGCTATCCACATTAGATAGAGAATTAACTAGTTATAAAGATATAGAACAGGCCTTTCTTTGAAAATTTTATCTCTTAGGAAAAACTCAAAATATGAGAAAACATATATGGAGTTTTTCTCAAAGACCAAGAGAAATTTTACATGAGACATGGGAAAAATTTAAAGATTTACTTAGAAAGTGTCATCATCATGCTATATCCAAGTGACAACTCAATAGAATTTTTTATGATGAATTATTAGAACAATATAGAAATATGGTTGATTCTATATGTAGATGAGCTTTTATGGAGAAAACTCCTGATGAGATTTACAGTCTTTATGAGAATTTAAGTGAAAATTGTAGAGATCAAACCTCTTTTGAATTATATGACAAGGATAAGAAGTGAATAATTTATGAATTGCATCATGATGATGATTCTAAACTTAGAAATGAGGTTAATCAGATTAATGAAAGATTAAAAAAAATTAATTTACTTATTGATAATATTAGAAAGTCTTTTAACCCTCAACTTAATTCGAATAGTACATGTCTTATGTATAGTAAAAATAATTATTCTAAATTTCAATATTATAATTTAGATCAATCATTTCATCCTATGTAAGAACAAGTACAAGTAGCTTACATTTTTAATAGAAATAGGGAACCTTTTTCAAATTCTTATAATCCTAATTAGAAGAATAATTTTTCATAGAGAGACCTAAATAATATTCAAAATCCAGAAGCAATTAGACCCAATTCAAATTCTAAATTTCGTTCAAAATAAGAAAACAAATTTCAGAAAAATTAGCCATCTCAAATCCAACCTGATGCTATAGAAATGATATAGCAAATGAGCCAAATGATGCAACAAACTATGAATCAAATGATGTTGCACCAGAAATAAATTATAGAGGCTCTTGGGAATAAGAGAGAAGAGGGACAACTACTTAGTCAGCCCATAAAAAATCTAAAGAACTGCCCAACAATAAGATTTCAACAAAGGGAGTCTAGTAGTATGAGTCTAGGAAAAAACCCACGAAATGTAAATGTTAGGACAGTGAATACATTAAGGAGTGGTAAAATCTTACTTGATCCTTATCCCCAAATATTAGAAGAAAAAAAAAACGTGGACAAATCAAAATAAAATCAAATAGGAGTAGAAGAGGATTTTATGGATTCTACTAAGGAAATTTCAAAAGAGAGGATGACCATTCTATTTCCTAAAGTTTTAGAGCCTAGACAAAGAAAAAAAAAGGAACAAAATGAAGAAATAAAGAAAATTTTACAAGATGTGCAAATTAGTCTTCCTTTACTTACTGTCATTGAACATATTCTTGAATATGTTAGAGTTTTGAAAGAAATGTGTACACCAAAAAGTACACTTAGAGTAGAAAAATTATCTATGCATACTAGTGTATTATTATTAAATCAATTACCATATAAATTGAGAGATACAGGTGCCCCTTTAATTTCGTGTGATATTAGTGGATTCATTTTTCAGAATGCATTACTTGACATCAATACTAGTATTAATTTATTACTTATAAGTATTTGTGATAAATTTAATATTTATGATCTTAAACCTTCTACTATTACCTTATAATTTGTTGATAGATTCATAAAACATCCTAAAGGTATTTTAAAAAATGTGATAGTGATAGTTAAAGGGTGTAAATTTCTAGCTGATTTTGTAGTGCTGGAAATGAATTTTAATAGATAGTTTTATGATACACCAATCATCCTAGGGAGACCATGTTTGCATACAGCAAAGATGAATATTGATTTTCCCATAAATATTACAAAAATTTCATGTGGGGATCAATCAGTAAAAATTAAGAATTTTGAGGTATCAAATGATCTTAAGAAATCCCAAGTATATGATTGTCATACCATAGATCTTCTAGATGATTTTGATGATCCAAATATTATTGATGACTATGTGCTTGAAGAATTAGAGGAAATAGAGAATATAAATTTAGAAAAAAAAGAAAGAGGAAAATCATTTGAATTTAGAGTTGAAACTTTTTCCCTCTAGTTTAAAATATATGTTTTTAGAGGAAAATAATTTATTTCTTATTATTATTGCAGTTGATTTGAGTGATGAACAGGAAGAAGAATTATTATATGTACTTTGAAAAAATAAGAAAGTTATGGGCTGAAAAATGGATGATCTAAGAGGCATTGATATGAGTGTATGCATGCATAGTATATATCTAGAGGAGGGAGCTAGAATTAGTAGGAAACCACAATGAAGATTAAATCCTAACATGATGGAAATTATATAAAAAAAATTAAAATGGCTGGCTACTGATATTATTTATCTTATTTTAGATAGTAAATAGGTTAATCCTACACAAGTGGTGCCAAAAAAATAGAGATTACGGTTATAAAAAATGAAAATGAGGATGAAATACAAACAAAATTAACTACTGATTAGAGGGTTTGCATTGATTATAAAAAATTAAATTCAGTTACTAGAAAAGATTATTTTCTCCTATCATTTATTGATCAATTCTAAAAAAATAGTAGAAAAAAACTTTTTTTATTTTCTAGATGGATACTCTAGTTATAATCAAATTTATATAAACCCTTTAGATCAAGAAAAAACAACTTTCACTTGTCCATTTGGTACTTTTATTTTTAAATACATGCCTTTCAATCTGTGTAATGTTCTAGTCACATTTCAAAGATGTATGTAGTCTATTTTTTTTGATATGATTGGAAAATATATGGAGATTTTTATGGATGATTTTTTTATTTTTAGTGAATCATTTGATGAATGCTTAAATCATTTATAGTATGTACTTGATAAATACATAGAAAAAAATAGTTTTGAGTTGAGAGAAATCACATTTTATGGTTAAAGAGGGAGTTGTGTTGAATCATATTGTGAGTGAAAAGGGTTTAGAGGTGCATAGAGCAAAATTGATATTATATCTAAAATGAAACCTCAAAATTCAGTAAAATAGATTAGATCTTTCTTGACTCATGTAGGTTATTACATAAAATTTATTCAAGATTTTTTTAAAATTTCTAAACCTCTCACCATGTTATTAAATTTTTTAATTTAGTTTTGAGTCTTTTTCTAAAATAAAAAGATTACTTACTGAGGCACCTATTTTACAAGCTCCTGATTAGTCCCTTCCCTTTGAAATAATGTGTGATGCATCGAATTATGCAGTGGGGGCTGTTCTAAGACAAACAAAAGAGTCAAAACCCATATTAATTTCATATGCTAGTAAAACTATATCTGATGCTCAATTAAATTATATCACGACTAAAAAAGAGTTGTTAGTTGTAGTATTTTTATTAGAAAGGTTTAGATCATATATTTTGAGAACTAAAATTATTATTTATACTGATCATGCAGCATTAAAATATCTATTAAATAAGAAAGATACAAGGCCACATCTATTAAGATGGATTTTATTGTTGTAAGAATTTGACTTAGAAATAAAAGATAAAAAAGGTTTCAAGAATGTTGTTGCTGACCATCTTTATAAATTAAGTGATACAGGAATAAATGCAGCACCTTTACAAGATGCATTTCTAGATGAACAATTGATGGTAGCTCAACATCAACCATCACCATGGTATGCACATATTGTTAATTTTCTAGTTTCTGAAAAAATTCTAGAACAGTGGGATAAGAATAGAAAATATCATTTTTTTTCTATGATTAGAAATTATTTTTGGCATGATCTTGATTTATATTACTTAAGCAATGATCAAATTTTAAGGAGATGTGTTCCTAAAGAAGAATATCATAGCATTATTAACATGTGTCATTCATCTAACTATGAAGGATATTTCTCTAGACAAAAAATAGTTGCAAAAAATTTTCAATGTGGTTTTTATTGGTCTACAATCATTAGAGATTCTATAGAATTTAGTAGAACATGTATTTCATGTCAATTTATAAGTAACATGAGTAAAAAAGATGAAATGCCTGTGAGTAACATCTTAATAGTCAAAATTTTTGATGTATGAGGAATAGATTTCATGGGTCCCTTCCCATCAGCTAAAAAATATGAATATATTTTGCTTGTTGTTGATTGTGTTGAAGTGGGTGGAAGCTATTCCTACTAAAACTAATGATCATAAAATCGTGATGAAATTTGTGCAGAAAAATATTTTTTCGAGATTTGGATGTCCTAGAGTGATTATTAGTGATGGAGGAACACATTTTACAAATAAACATTTCAGGAAATTTTTGAAAAAGAATAGAGTACACCATAGAGTAGCCATTCTATATCATCCTCAAATAAATGGACAAGCTGAAGTAGTAAATAGGGAAATTCAGAGAATTTTGAGAAAAATAGTTAGACAAGATAGGAAAGATTGACCCACGAAATTACAAGATGCATTATGAGCTTATAGAACAACTTATAAAAATCTCATAGGTATGTTTCCATTTCGTCTCATTTTTTGAAAGCCATGTCATCTTCTTGTGGAAATAGAGCATAAAGTATTATGGGCTATAAAAAATTTATGTATGGATGAAAAATCAGTTGGTGGGCATAGAAATTTTCAACTACATGAACTAGAGGAGTTGAGGAATAAAGTTTATGAAAATCATAGAATATATAAAGAAAAAACTAAAACTTTTCATGATAAATACATTAGTAGAAAAAAAATTGATGTTGGACAAAAAGTGTAGTTATATGATTCTAGGCTGAAATTATTCCTAGGAAAATTAAAATCAAAATGGAAAGGCCTTATGTGATGGAAGAGACATATGATCATGGGATTGTGATGATTAAAAATCCTAAAAGTGATCATAACTTTAAGGTAAATAGACAGTGGCTTAAACATTACATAGAATATGAACGCCTTACAAAAAAAAGAAATTTTATTATTAAAAGAAATTTAAGAGTAAGATCAAAGAGTTCAGATGGAGACATTGAATTCAGCGCTGCATGAGAGGCAACCCATGGTTTTTATTTCATTCTGTTTGAATTTTTTTTTAAGCTCTGTTTTTCTTAGAATTTCACAATACTTATTTCTATATTTATTTTTCGAAAAAATGCAAGAGGAGTGTAGGATGAAGTGGAAAATTAAAAAATGAGGTTGAGGTGATGTATTTCTGAGCTTTATCATTTATGAAAATATTTTTAATGCTTAACTTTGCACATATGCATGTTTCACTTGAAAATTATCTTTTCTGTATATTCTATTTCGATTTTTCTATGTCATTGAGGACAATGTCATTTTTAAGTTGAGGGTGAAGTATTCATTATTAATTTATGCTGTAGGATGATTAAGAACATGTGTTTACATTTTATTCAACTTAGAACAGCAACTAAAAAAATAAAAAGAAAATAAAATTCTGAAAAATTGTTACATATATTTTCTGGTTTTCTATCAAGAACAATAGACTGTCAAAAATAGTAGACAAAAAAACAGCCCAAAATTTGAAATTCTAGAGACAATTTTCTCACATTTCAATCCCCTAGACATATATTACTAACATTCGAAATTATAGCTATAAAGAGGATAGTTTTGATTTATTTTTGACAAATTTACTGTTACTAAAAATAAAATTGAAAATAGAAAATAGAATTGTCAGAACTATCTAATTTATAAATTTCTTGCATCATATTACATGCATGAAAAATTAAATCAATTAGATTAATTGATACTAAAAGATACTAGGAAGATTATTATTGAGTCAAAAGAATGATCTAGTAGCATGAAATGTTAGAATACTCCTTGGATACATGATAGTTAACATGGATTTAATTTTATAGATTTTCACTTTATGATCTTGATGGATAGTATTTACCTGATGTGAAAATTTGATTGATCATTTGAGTTTAATAGAGATTTTTACACCCTGATCTATAAGACTTGTGAGGAGAAATCACTTATTTTGAAAAAAAAAGAGAGAGTAATATGAAAAATCTAGAAACGAAGAGTACACATGAAGGGTGTGAGACATCATTCTCATTGTCAAAAATTATGTATAGAAAAATATTTACTGTAAAATAAGTGGATAAAGTGAAAGCCTTGAAAATGAAGAGTACACATGGAGGGTGTGAGACATCATTCTTATTGTCAAAATTTATTTACAAGAAAAGCTACTTATCCACTATATATATATATAAAGAAATATAGTGTAAAGTTCAAAAATTAAGCCATAGAAAAAGAGAAATGTAGGATCAATATTATTCTTAGATGAGTATTGATAATTAGAACATCTTATAAATACATCTATGAATAAAGAAGTGATAAAGATGTGAATAGAAGAAGTGAAGTTTAGATTATTATTCCAAAGAGTGTTTAAACATTTAAGTGCTTGACATCATTCTTAAATACTTGATATAAGAATCCAAAGTGACTAAAAGTGCATCATTTCTAATTATATTTTTTTCTTTCTGTATTGAAATATGATATTTGAGATTTGTAAATATTTATTTTTATAATTTCATTGCTAAAAGACTAGTAATGATTTAAGTTGGAGGGTGTGATACATCTTTATTGTCATGAGTTAATAATTAGTAAATAATATAATTTTAGCCTTAACTCATGATAAATAGACTTATATTTATGTTAAAGTGTGAAAAGTGGTTTTCAGTTGATTAACGTGAATTTTTAGATAATTATGTGATTTTATATGATTTTTACAATCGTACTTTTAAGATAAATGAAGAACAAGAAATAAAAATAAAAATATTGCAAAATGAGGGGACCTACGGGCCAGCCGGTTGTGGGGCAAGGAGTGGTTGTACATGCGTGAGAAAGGGACTTTGCTTAGAAATGTTATATTACTATTTATTTGCCTAAACATTCGTCGCACAACTGATGCGAGACTAAACCTGTCACCTTCCTCAAAAGAGGCGTGGGGGCCAACTAGCGCGGGTTCAAATCCTCTCAGAGCCAAAACTCATATTTTTATTTGATTATCGCAACTTTCCTACAGATCATCGATAAAGGATTAAGCAACCAGAATCGTTGGATCATCAGCAAAACTCTCGTCGACGCGATTCGTAGAGCATTGTTACTAAAATTGTTGAAAGATTCGCGATAAAAGGATAGCGAATCCATTGAGTAAATCATCTCCGATTGATCGATGAACAAGTCATCGTCGAGAAGAAGACGATCCGCCGAGAGATGAGTCACCATCTCCTGAGAGTATTCCAGATGCGATAAAGAGCCTCCTCTTGCTATGTGGACTTGAGGATAAAGCTCCCTGACACGTGCCCCACCTCCATCCAACTCCTCTCTATCGGGTGACAGCCGCCAGAGAGCTGCAAAGTCGCCGTTTTTCTGCTCCGCCGGGTGACAGTCGTCGGAGACGACTTGACGACCCATTTTATTAATCTTTAGACATCGCGAGAAGATCTAGAGATTGCCAACATTGTCTTTGGCCAAGGAGAGTTTTCGAGGTCATAGACGATGCATGACAATCCTCCTGAACGCTTAGGATTTTAGTGCATTGCTAATATATCGCCGTCGCAACGCCAGAACTCTGTTTTCTTACTTTTAACTTACTTTATGCTTCATTTAGTGATAATTTTTATATTTTTAATTTACCAAAATATACTTTGTTCAATTACGATTCTTCCGGCTTTTACAAATCTTAATTTGATTAATTACATTATTTGTAATCGCTTACGTAAGAATTGTCTAGTGAAACTCTGTTTTCACCCGATTTGCGTTCATCGGGCACTAATGTCATCTTGATGTCTGCACCCTTATTTCCCTCTTTCATAAATTTTTAAATATATTTCCTTTTCATTTCCTAGTATAAAATTTATAGAAAATTGTATTTATTGAGAACAATTCTAAATAATTACCAGATATTATATTACATCCATGTGATAGAGCTAGAAAATTACCACTATTTTTGAAAGTTTTATTGAATTATAATTAATATATTTATTTAGAAATACTTCTAAATATCTAAAAATTCATATTTTCTAGTTTTATAAATTTTAGATTCATGTGATTTAATATACAACGACTAAGTCACGTCAGCTATGCAGAGCTCCCCTATCTTCTCCCCCCTTGAGAATCTCAACGCTCTCCCATCATGTCCCCCCATGGTCCCCCCTCCCCTTTTCTCCATCATCATCCGACAGCTCTCCTACAACTTCTCCCCACCGCCATGTCCCTATCCTCCACCATCACCGCCTTATCACCATGAAATAGATGAAGAAGAAGAAGAAGTAGAAGAAGCAGAAGAAGGAGAAGAAGCAGAAGAAGGAGAAGAAGAAGAAGCACATCTATTTCCTACAGCTCATATGGATCAACATGTAGATTCTTCACTCTTGTCTTCAGTTGATAACAAAAATCTAAGATTTTGATATGACCTTAGAAAGTATACAACCATTAACATCTCATTCATCTGATGATCCTATAGTCCTACCTCATGATTCACTTTCCATTGCCCTATGCAAACCTAGAAGAGATTATACAAAAATACCTTTATACCTAGTTGTTAATTTCCTATCATATCACAAACTTTCTTTACCATATCAATCATACCTTGCATCCCTAGACACCACTATCATTCTAAAAAATCTCTTAGAGCCTCTAGTCTAATCCTAAGTAGAAACAAGTCATGGATGATGAGATGAGAGCTCTTGTAAAAAAATCAAACATAGGATCTACTAGAATTATCATGAGATAAGAAGATTGTTTGTTGCAAATGGATGTACACAATGAAATATAAATCAGATGGTTCAATTGAAAAGTATAAAACTTGGCTGGTGGCTAAGGGTTATATACAAATATATGGAATAGATTATCAAGAGTATTTTTCTCTAGTAGCCAAAATGAATACAATCTATTTTTTACTATCCTTAGCATTTATTTTCAGCTAGAATATTCAACAATTTGATGTTAAAAATATATTCTTGTATGTTGATTTAGTTCAAGAAGTCTACATAACTCTCCCACCAAGATATGAGGGTAATCTTTCATTTAATCTTGTTTGCAAGTTAAAGAAATCCTTTTATGGCTTCAAACAATCTCTATGTGCATGGTTTGGAAGGTTTACAATAGTCATAATGAAACTGCATTGCAACCAAAGTAATGTTGATCACACATTATTCTTTAAACACTCTTCTTTATGGGGAGTTATGGTTCTATTAGTTTATGTTGATGATATTATCATCATAGGAAATGGTGAAGGGGATATTCAAAACTTGAGAGATTGTTTGGGCCAAGAGTTTGATGTCAAGACTTTGGGATGACTCAAGTATTTTTTAGGAATCTAAGTGTCACATTCTTCTAAAGAAATTTTTATTTCTCAATGAAAGTACATACCCAATTTATTACCTGAACTGTGCATAAATCAGTCAAAACACCTATTGATCCAAACTAGAAATTGTGTATGATAGATGAAGAAATTTCTATTGACCATGAGATGTATCAACATCTCATTGGCTAATTACTATGTCTAAGACACACTTGACCGTATATCTCATATGTAGTGAGTATATTGAGTCAATTTATGCATCAACCTAAAGAGTGTCGTTTATATGCTGCGTACCAAGTGCTACATTATTTGAAAGGCACATCAGGAAAAGAGGGTTTTTTTAAATGAAGTGGAAAGGTAAAGGTTGAAATGTTTACAAATGCTGACTATGTAGACTCAATGATTGATCGAAGGACAACCTCTAGTCATCTTAATTTTGTTGGTGACAACCTTGTCACTTGGAAGAGTAAAAAATAAATTGTAGTTGCTTTAGCCCAAGAACTTACTTGATGAATTACAAATTCCTTTTATCAATCATATGGAGATTTATTACGACAATAAGTCAACAATCAATTTAGTACACAACCCAATACAATATGACCGTACCAAATAGATGGAGATTGATCATCATTTCATCAAAGAAAACTTTAAGCCAATGTGATTTATATATCATATATTTCAACAAATAATCAGTTGGCATATATGCTTACTAAAGGCATCTCTGATACACAACTATAGAAGATTATTCCCAAGTTAGGAATGGACGACATCCACTCACCAGCTTGAGGGGGTGTTGTCGAGATGTACTTAATAACTTGTATACCTTTCATTTGGTATTACATCGATATGTCTAGAACCTTCTAGGGATCTGATAAATAATTTTTGATCAATAAAATTTGAGTTCTTCTTCCATGGGCCCCAGGTGTGTTATCTCTCTCTCTCTCTCTCTCTCTCTCTCTCTCTCTCTCTCTCTCTCTCTCTCTCTCTCTCTCTCTCCCTCCCTCTCTCTCTCTCTCTCTCTCTCTCTCCGTAGTTTTTAAAGAGCTTCGAATAGCTGAAAAATCAGAGAAGGAAGAAGATGACCAAGCACCCGAGGAAATAAGCTGATATCTAGCAAATGAAGAACGACAAAGATGAAGAACAACAACATAGAAGGAAACAGACCATCCACATAGCAAACCAGAGCCAATAGGGGAACACAGCAAAGAAGACTACACCGCCTGCTCTCCTTTCCGCCACTGAGACAGACAGCTAAACAATATTTACACACCTTATTACCACCACAAAAGACGGGGAGAGGGAGCTGAGGGAGGAGGCGAATAGCGAGCCATCATCATCGCTCACCCAGAGGATTGTGTACATAAATCCATCCACCCGCTATGCTCACCCCAGCTTCTCCAAGCATTGCTGGTGCTTTGTGGCCCCAACCTTGCCTCCCCCTTCCCATTTCATGGCCCTCTTTGCCTGCCTCTCCGCTCCCGTCACCACCCCGACCTCTTTGCTCCGTCCTTACTCTTATGAGACAAGGATGAGGACCAGGACGAGAAAGAGCCACTGATTGCCGCCACCGATGGCGAATCGGCGTCGTCAGAGACACCACTTTTATTCACCGGTACAGATCATCATCCTCCTCTTCTTCCTCCCCCAATCCGTCATATTAAGCATACTGGTAGTGGCTAAGGTCCTCCTCCGACGCCTCCTGATCATCCACCGCCGCCGACTAGGGCATGGGCCACTAAGCCCTAAGGAACAGGCGCCTATGAATTCAGTGGATGATGAGGAATGCCAAGGGTAGCTTGCACGGCGTGTAGGTCGAGTTCTCGTCCTTGTAGGAAGCCCAGTTCATGATGCAGGTGACGCAGATTGAGAGGAACCTAACAGCTAATAGCTGCTTATTTTCCACACTTTTCATTCTCCTTCGGCGTCACCTGCGCCCTGAGATGGGCATCGTACAAAGACAAGAACCTAACCTGCTTGCAATGCAAGCTGCCCTTTGAGTTCCCCAACCTTGGACGCCTGCTCCTGAGTGCCCAATGGTTCATGCCCCACTCAGTGCCGATGGATGACCAGGGAACGTTGGAGGATGAAGAAAAGGAGAATGATGGCCAGGACCTCCGATCTGCTCATCAAGCACCAGGTGGCGGAGCGACAATGGCTACCTCAGGGCCAGCCCCACATGGAGGCCTAACCGTTGAACTGGCAGTGCTTCGGCGACGTCGACCCCCAGCCGACAGCGACAGACAACAGCTTGTTCTCCTCACTTTCCTCGTCCTCGTCCCATACGGGCAAGGAGGTGGGAAAGGGGGTGATGGTAGTGGTGTTGGAGAGGCGGGCAAAGAAGGCCGTGAAGAGGGCAGTGGTGACCAAGGCGGCCATCGCCAAGCACCAGCATCATCCCAAGGGACTCAGTTCATCAACGGGGTAAACCACAAGATTCGCAGAGTCGGAGCACATTACCTTCTCCACAGGGGCGAGCGCCGACGTAGAGCCGGTCGCGCCCCGCGATGCGCTGCGGGAAGGAGGAGGAGGGAAGGAGGGAAGAAGGGGCCCGCCGCACGTTCACCTGCCACAGACGACATCCAAGAACAGCTTCTTGATAGGAACGATTACCAGAAGCCAGAGGCAACACGAGCTTTTTATTAGGCGTTGGGAGCGGCAAGTAGAACCCGCGAAAGTGCACCAAAGGTTCCTAAGGCTTCAGGTTTTGAATGATCTTGGCCGCCCATTCTGATCACCGCTCCCTAATACTAAGGTCCAAAACAGGAAATATTAAATATTATAATGATTAAAAATATGTCTGAAATAAATATAATATTAATTGAAATCTAGAATATTGAAGCAAACCATCCCATTAAATATTTGATAATATTTAAAGATTTAATAACATTAGGGCCAAGGAAGGTTCCCAATGATTATGTGTGCAATTAGTTAATTCTTGAATTAAAATTGATGATTCTCACTAACTTATCCCAACATGTCATAAAGTTTTTGAACTATAATAAAGGGAAAAGCATATATTGAAATCCTTAGAGATCACAATATTGGCACGACACAAGAGTGATAATGATATGTATTATTTATATTTATTTATATTAAATTTATGGAATGAACATTTTGCACAAACTTACTAGTTATTCATTAGGAATATGTCACAAATCACTTCTTATACACTTCATTTGGCTACTTCTTTCCTAGGTACGCATAGTCTCATATATTTTAAATAGGCACTTAACTTCCATACACGTTATTATTATTGAAGGATTTGCTGTGCTAGTCTACTATGCAGGACATAAATGTCAAATGAGAAAAAAAAAAGAAAAAAAAGAGGGTGGAAACCAGGCACCCAGGATTAATTGCACCCGATGGTACTCAAACCTATATTAGAGTAATTATCTTGTGTCAATTATTTTTTTTATGATTTTTCTGGTATTATTGAGCTGATAACAATCATGATCATGGTAAATGAGTTAAAATTATGCGCACCATCATCATGTAAAGCCATGGATCGCCATCAAAGATCATCCTCCACCCCATCTTCTTCCATGGCAAAAATAAAATAAAAATATGCTGCTTCTTGAATCTGCCACTTCATTTCATCCCGTTGACTAAAAGAGGGAAATAGTAATTATCAGGCAGATATGACTATTATGACAATCAGTAGAACGATGCTGAAGATCATCATGAGCATGCAGGTCTGCATAAACAGGAGAAAGAAAGCACGGTTAGAAGATTAACATGGTGGAGATTTGGGTTCAGGTAAGAAAGAGTAGGAGATCTACAAGAGATGAACTTGTCCTCTGAGATTGTGATGCCTGAGCTAGATGTGATTTTGCTTGAATTGTTGCTGCATGTGTGTTCCCGATGTTGGATTCGATGTCATCTGTGGTTTTATGATTTTAATGGTTTTTTTTTCAGATGATTAGCCGGATGTTGTGGAAGATAATATTTTACATTTAGTAAGTTTTCAACTAACCGATGATGATTCCTTGATCATGGACCAGGACTGCGAGGTCTCTGAAGATTTCGTTCACGTCGCCTATCTGCTGCTGGACCTCCTTGATTCCTTGTTCCCTCTCCTCAATAATGGCATCATTTAAGATAATCTCATTGTCCAGGAGGAGAACCTCTTGCCTTCAACAAAGAAGAACGAATTTCAGTAGTGATAGAATCGATTGAGGATCAAAGTGCTGAACTTTCTTTTTAATACTATTTATCTTAAAAAATATTGATCTTAGAAATAATATCTAAAATAAATGAAGCCTTGTAACGAAGCATAAAATATCACTACATAAAGGCAACCTTTGTTGACGTTTAAGAACAAAATGAATCTTCCACTGTTGAAATTCCTTTGGTGACATATATATATATATTTCTCTGGAGTGGAAGTAGGAAATGAACAGATAAAACCTTACATAAAGATCCAAAATAGAGAAGAAATCGATCAAGTCAAGCTACGTCACCTTCTGGATTCATGAAGTGAACGTTGTTCTTGCGATTTTTCAAACAATATATCATCCTCGCTTGCAGGGTAGCTGCAAAAAAAGGAAACTATAACCTTTAAGATTGTGATAAAGAGGATTTACTCACCGGATTTGGGAAAATCAACAATAAAAGATACTACATTGTCCCTCCCTGAAAGGTAATCAAAAGGAGCAGACTGAATCCTGTTTGTAATTTTTCTGTGTATATTTCAAAGTCCTTGGCTCTTCTTCTCTTCATCAGCTTGATAAATTTATAACTCGTTTAAGATTTTCTTTCCATTTTCTATCATGATTGCTCTTACAATTTGAGATCACATGCTTTTGCGTATAAAGTATATGCATTACACATAAACAAGCAGGTAAGCATCCAAAACAATGGAGGGTGAAACAGCCACATCCTTCTCATGTAGGGTATTTGTTTGCTAAATGAGAGTCATAATTCAATGCAAAACGATGATTATTCTCATCGCTTTGGGATGAAATAAAAATGGCGAAACAATGCAGAAGACTAGCTGGAGAACAGACCCAACACTTCGACGAAACACTGCAATTTTGTTTTTTTTCGAGGGATCATCGTCCCTGCCATGTTATTGATCACTGCTGAAAATATCATGTCAGATAAGACCCCACACTTTGAGCGTTTGGAAACGAAGACAGGTGAGGAAACACTGCAATTTTGTTTTTTTTTTTCGAGGGATCATCGTTCCTGCCATGGTTAGTAATCACTGCTGAACTATCGTGTCAGATAAGAGTAAACTAGAATCACAAAACTAACTAGGAAAGGATCCAAATGTAACTTTTAAGCATGAATAATCGAAACAAAAGTTACCTTGGTGATAGAATTTTGTTAGACACAAAGGTGGTATAAAGTGTTTCCTTCTCTGCTGCAAGTCGTTGAGCCTTCTGAAACTCCTTCAAAACTGCTTCAAAATCTTTTGCAAGCTTAGCATCTGCGATTTTCTTGCTGACCTGAGTTACACAATCAAAAATACCATGAAAAAGCCATTTTTGGCGAGCCCAAAATTTAATATTAAATAGATGCGACATAATAAAGAACTTCATGGGGAAATAAGAGAGATAAAAACTCCTTTATGAATAAATATAGCACTTAGAATATTTTAATAAATTTGTAAAAAATAACTGTAAACAGATTTGCGATTTTCAATAACAACTTGAGAATAGATAATAACAGTTAATTTATCCAAAAAGAAATCATAAATGATAGAGAGAGTTTCCTGAAACATTAATTAAAATGATCGTCAGTATCTTGGGTATTCTTAATCCATGAATGAGGGAAACAGCATCGCAAGATTGTGCTTACAGTAGCTTCAGCTTGATGATCCGTTTCACTGGCTTGCTTCAGTTTCACAGACGTATCTTTGACAAGCTGTCCGATATGCAATCTTGTTTTCTGCCTGCCACCAAATTACTCAGTCAAACCGTGACCACCAAACCAGTGAAACATTTGAGAAAAAAATCAGAAATCATATTAATTATTATTAAATTAAAATATATATTAGAATAAAATCACAGTATATACAAACAAATGACACTAAACGGACGATAGTGATAAACACTGAACAACTCTGGCTGTAATGCAGGCCTAATTAGTCTCGACTAAAAAGCTAATCAAGGACATGAGAGATAAAAATCAGAGGGTAATGTATGGTTGGCAACCACCGGACAGTACAGTTTATTGATCAAGAGCTTTAACTTCCTCTACCTTGCTTCAACAATTTGATTGAAAGTAGTTCCTAAAAGAAGATTTAAGCAGTGAAAAAATCCTACAAATACTGTAATTACAAATGCCCATTTAGATCAAGAAAAAATTGCTAAATTAATCGGAAATTTAAAAGTATGTGCTAATCTTTCCCCATTTCCAATTGGTGGAAATAATTCACATTGGAACGTGAAGGCCTTGGTGAAGCCGATAGTTACGGATCCAACCTTGAGTCATGCCAGAAATGTATCAACCCATCACTATATTAGAAAGACAATTTTTTCCTTCACTTCAAAGGGTCAAGTCAGCGAGTATTTTATCCCCCAGGTCATAATCATACTCGCATTCCGACGAACTATCGTAGTTCCATGAAAAGCAAGATCATTCATTCTTCCATGAACCACGTCGAATGATTCGACCATTGATAACACTATCCTACTCCGGCTTCAAAGCCTTCCCTCTACGACCTTCCATTGCATATGCTTAATCATATTTTTATGAATAACCAATATATGTAGCCTTATTTTGATCGGTCTCAGTCATCGGACAAAACCAGGAACCCAAGTGAAAACAGAAATCTAAAGAAGAAGATGAGGTGCAACTCACAGCTTCTCACGGAGATCGGGGGTATCCTTGGCGGTGCCGAGGGCGTTGACGTGGCGCTGGAAGGTAGAGACGGCGGTGTTGATCTGGAAAACCCCGGCCGCCACGGCCTGCGCGGGGTCCTGCTTCCCATTAATCAAATCCCTCCTCCCTACCATCGGCCTCCCGCTCATGAGGTCGGCAAAGCTCATCTCGGAAACCAACCCCCGATCCTCTTCTCCAACAATTCTCAGCTCGAATTCCCCCTACAGAAACCTTCCTCCCTTTCAGAAAAATAGCTTTGGAAGCAGAGTTTTTGCCCTACGCCCACCAGAATCTTCAACTCCGGCGGCCATCGGATTTCCCTCCCAGCCAGTAATTCGGGAAACGGAATTATCAATGAGAGAGAGAGAGAGAGAGAGGAGAGAGAAATTTCTGCTTCCAGCAACCCAGGGACGAGAGCGAAGGAGGCAGTACGTTTCGCTTTTCATGCGTATTATGAAAGAAGAGACAGGGCCACCTTCTGATGATGCCATAATATTTTATACATAGATCGCGCTCTCTTTAAAATATCCCACGCCCTTAATTTCCGTCAACATCGATTCGTACGCGTCCAAAATTTGTGGACGGCCAGGATCGTTGGGGCCTACATCTCTGCAACAGCGCGCCACCTGGACGAGTGCGACTGCTTTGAAATAACCGAAGTAAACCGAACCGCCAGGGAAGGGTTTATTTTTTCGGATAATTGTATTTAAGCCCTCCTTTTGACGAAGGATTTTCAAAAGAACCCTCTCCAGCGAAATATAAACTTTTAATTTTATCAAATATATATATTAAAAATGGGTTTCATTTCATGGTTTTACGTGGCCATTTTGATCTCGAGATATTTAAATTATTTTAATGATATATTTATATATAATTTGTATTAAAATCATTTCTTTGACTTTGCTAACCAACTTTTTTGTTCATCAAAATGAAGGTAAAAATTAGATGATCAAGATATCCATTTTTTATATTATTTAATATTATTGGCATTTATTATCACCGAAATGTTTCCAATCAATTTATAAATATTTTTTAAACCGTTAAAAGTATTAGTGATATACTTTTTATTTATATGAAAATAATTAGTTATGCACTTAAAAAACGAATTTTTCATTACAAATCATTTTTTATTCAGGGAAAAATATAATTAAAAAAATAAAACTTGGTATGATTACTGAGGTGTTCTTTTAATTTACTTGATAATTAAATATTATTTTCACGATTAAATGTTGAGCTTGCTAGTCCGATCGTTCTGTGCCCGCGCATGTGGATTGTCGTTTTAGGTAGCCTGGGAAACTATGATTGGATTGTATTTACAAGATGTACATCAGTACGTAGCGAGGGTTCCTTTCTCCTCCGTTCTCTTATCTATATGCTTGAGGGCACCTCACTCTAGCTCGTCCGAGCGGCAATGGCGGATGTCTTCTCTTCCTTCTCCCCTGCTCCATCGCTCCGAGCTCTCCGTGGCGGAGGAAGCATTGAATCCTCTATACTCCCACAGAGATGCCAGCTTCTCTCCTTTTCTCTCCACCGTCTCACCTCCGCCACCACCGGCCGGAAGAAGAAGGCGGCGGATAGGCCTGTTCTCTCTTGCTCCTGCGCCGCCCACGGGACGCCAACTTCCACCAGGGTGCAGAGGAGGCAACCGCATCGGAGGTCTTCTTCCCCGATGATTCCGGTGGTCAGCGAAGGTCGGGACGAGGACGGGGATCTCATGGTCTGCCCCGGCTGCGGCATCGTCATGCAAGACGCAGACCCCAATCTCCCTGGGTTCTATCAGAAGCCCCTTGGACGGAAGGCAGAGTTTTCTAGGGACGTGGATGAAGATTCCGGGAGTCTCGGGGAGGATGATTTCCTTGAGCTGTCCGAGGAGGAGGAGGAGGAGGAGGAGGAGAAGGAGAAGGTGGAAATTGAGGGTTCCTTTTCGTTATCCGACCTCGATGAGGATTCTCAGTCCGACGGAGATGTGGAAGATGACATTCTATTTGCATCGAGAGTGGATGAGGACGATGATGTACCGTCGGATTGGGACATCGAGGAGCCGGAGGAGGAAGACGAGACGGTGAAGAAGGAATTGGATGGATTTGGTCCTGCCGGCGTGGGATATGGGAACATCACCGAGGAGAATGTGAGGAAGCAGCGGGAGAAGCTTTCGAAGTCCGAGAGAAAGCGAAGGGCCAGAGAAGAAGCCAAAAGAGCCTTAGAGAACGCCATCACAGTCTGCGCACGCTGCCACTCTCTGAGGAACTACGGCCAGGTGAAGAACGAGAAGGCAGAGAATCTGATCCCCGATTTCGACTTCGACCGGCTCATCGCCACCAGGTTGATGAAGCCTGCTACCAGTGCTCCGGTAGTGGTCATGGTGGTTGACTGCGTCGACTTCGACGGTTCATTCCCTAAACGGGCTGCAAAGTCCTTGTTCAAGGCGTTGGAGGGGAACAAGACCAAGCTCGTCAGATTGCCGAAGCTGGTGCTGGTGGCAACCAAGGTAGACCTCCTTCCCTCTCAGATATCTCCGACTAGGTTGGACAGGTGGGTGCGCAACAGAGCCAAGGCGAATGGTGCACCCAAGCTCAACGGCGTCTTCCTGGTGAGTGCTCGGAAAGACCTGGGAGTTAGGAATTTGCTCTCATTCATCAAGGAATTGTCGGGCCCCCGTGGGAATGTGTGGGTCATTGGCGCTCAGAACGCCGGGAAATCTACTCTGATCAACGCGTTTGCAAAGAGGGAAGGGGTGGGGATCACGAGGCTCACAGAGGCTGCGGTGCCCGGGACAACACTGGGGATATTGAGAATTGGGGGAATTTTGCCAGCAAAGGCGAAGATGTATGATACTCCTGGCCTTCTGCATTCAAATCTGATGACCATGAGACTGGATCGGGAGGAGCAGAAGATGGTGGAGATCCGAAAGGAGCTCCAGCCTCGGACTTACAGGATCAAGGTGACGATATGCTCATTAATCTCTTCCAGTTCTTCACTCTGAATTTATTTTCCTCTGTGATCCTGAACTGAAGAACGTGTTAGGTCAAGTTATTTTCAGAACTTTCAGATTTCTTTGCCCTGGATGTCTATGATTCTTTCTGTTTGCCTCCATACATGAATACCTCATCAAAATTGAAGAAACTTAATTCGCATCAAACTTGTCTGCTGAAGAATAAGAAAGAGGAAAATTATGGAGATATCATTGGAATATGATCTGATCCTATTCATGGGGATTCTCAAAGTATCCCACTCCAAAAAAAGAATGGAAATCTGGAAAAATTGGGACTTTTTCAGCGATTCAACATGGTTATTAATTCATGATCTGGCATGTTCATAATGAAGCTTTCATTCTTAGTTCCATGATTATTTTTTTTATGAAAGCATTGTAGTTGCTTCTCTTCGATGGAAGTTTTCTTCCCCAGAATGTATTATCATTTTATGCCTAATTAATGATCAATTCAACCTCTGATAAAAAAGATAGACCTTGGTTATGTTACATGCCTTCCACAGGTTTAGTACTGAGCAAGTCAGCCTTAGTCTTCCCATGGAGAGAGAAACCTTTCACAACATACTCCGAGGGCGAAAAACTTCTGTCAATATGTGCTCATTTTTTTAACCATACTAGTAAAATGGCTGATTTTTTTTATTAATTTATTTTCTCTAATTATTTCGTGTTTATATCAGGCTGGGCAGACTGTTCATGTTGGTGGCTTGTTGAGGCTAGACCTGGCGCAGTCCTCAGTCAGCACGATTTATGTCACAGTGTGGGCATCTCCGAGCGTCTCTCTTCATCTGGGAAAAACAGAAAATGCTGAAGAAATGTGGAACAGCCATGTTGGTGTGAGGCTTCAGGTGAAAACATAATCTGAAAATGATCGCCATGATCAAATCTCATGTTTATTCATAATCATGTCTCCCCTGTGCAGCCACCAATTGGGGAGGATCGAGCGTCTGAGCTGGGTCAGTGGAACCCAAGAGAGATCAAAGTATCTGGCATCAGCTGGGAGGTGAAGAGTGTGGACATTGCAGTGGCCGGGCTCGGCTGGCTCTCCATTGGACTGAAAGGAGAGGCCACTCTCCTCCTCTGGACATATGATGGTGTTTATGTGACACAGAGAGAGCCGTTGGTCATCGACCGAGCTCCGTTCATCGAGCGGCCGGGGTTCCTGCTCCCAAAGGCAATCTCTGATGCCCTGGCAAGAAAGAGTAAGATCGAGACAGATGCCATGAAGGAGAAGGACGATGAAAGCTGATTCTTTCTCTCTATCTCTCTCTCTCTGCAGAGGTTAGTCAGTCTTAAGCTATGTAGTTACGGCTTCTGGTATCTTTTTTATCATCTACCCTAATTTTTGTGCTGGTATAGCGCTTTTTTCATTGGAGAAACAGCTACCAGTCTACCTTCCTAAATCAAGAAATATCTATTTTTTAAAAATTATTTCTTTGTCTTTAATTAGGTCATTAATTTAGTCCTGAGATTTGAAGCTAACTTACATGTTTTTATGATAAATATATCCTTTCCAATAATCTCTTTATTTCATTAATTTCACAGTTTTTTTAATTAGTTGTAATTAATTGCAGGTTTGAGATTAAGCTAATTGCGAGTCTACTCACAGCAAAATCTGATCCGAAGCATAGTTTTTATAGATAAAGAACAAAGTTTTTTCTCGTCTAATTTATTTAATAAACGTAGTAAAATGAAAGTAGTTTATTTTTTTATTACATTATAATAATTTGTCAGCAGGGTGGTCAATGCGCCGGTTGGGCCCAAAGCCTTCCTGGGCCGTATCTTGTAAGGGCCCAAGGGCTATTTTCTCCTACTCTGCTTTTCGAAAATAAAATAAACTAATATATATATATATATATATATATTTCTCTGAAAATATAAATCGATAAATTATTTATTGAACTAGGTAGCCTATTTATTATTATTATTATTGGGTTTTGCTCTCCAAGAATGGGTCTGCTGGCCCAGACCAGTTGGAATGAACCTCCAACAGGTCAGTAATTTGTTTATTATAAATAAATTATATGATTTTTTTCTGAAAAGATATATCAATACAATTATTTATTGAACTAATTATCCTCTTTATTATTATTATTATTATTCGTTTGGTTTTTGGTGCTCTCCAAGAATGGGTCTCCTGGCCCAGACCTGTTGGAACGAACCTCCGGGAGGCTCACACGTGTAACTGTGCATGAAGACCCCTCCGCGCCTCTCCACACGTGTTCACATCCCCACCTCCTATAAATGGAATCCCCTCATTCCCCCAAAATAAACCTCTGAAACTGTTCTTACCGCCGCCACCGTTGAGAGAGAGAGAGAGAGAGAGTGAGCATGGCCGACCGTCAGCCCGGCCTACGGCGGCCGGGCGGCGCCGCCGCCGTCTTCGAACGGCTCCGGCAGCGCCCCCTCAACTCTTCCCAGATTCTCGGGTTCCTCACGCTGGCGGTGTCCGGGGGAATCCTCCTCCTCCTGACGGGGTTGACCCTGACGGCCGCCGTCGTGGGCCTCATCTTCTTCTCCCCACTCCTGCTCCTCTCCAGCCCTCTTTGGGTCCCAGTGGCGGCGCTGACCTTCACGGCGGCGGCGCTGCTTCTGTTGACGTGCGGCTCCGGCGTGGCGACGCTGGCGGCGGCGTCGTGGGCTTACAAGTACATGAAGGGGGGGCGGCCGCCCGGGTCGGAGAGGATTGACTTTGCCCGCAGCCGCATCGCCGACACCGCCGGGCACGTGAAGGAGTACGCCAGGGAGCACTACGGCGGCTACCTGCGTGGCCGCGTCAAAGACGCCGCCCCTGGGGCTTGACCAGGCGGCGCCGCCGTCCCTCCGGCGATGCGCCGCCTCGAAACTGCTCCCCCTTCTCTGCCCTCCCTCCCTCTCTCTCTCTCTATCTATCTATTGATGTCGTCTCTCTCTCTCTCTCTCTCTCTCTCTCTCTCTCTCCTCTCTGTTCATATCGATGCGGATCCGTTTTCGTCCTTCCATATATATGGAATTATAGTTGTTAAAAGAAAATTATTATGATTGAATCGCCGCAGTGAAATTCATCAAAAATAATGAATTCATAATTTCATACATTCATTTACGTTTTCCATCTACTAATAATGAATACATTGATTTATGTTCATTTTTTTGGCCATTTCATCTACGTTCTATCTATTAATAAGCACCTCTCTCTCTCTCTCTCTCTCTCTCTCTCTTTGTGACTATATATATATAGATATGTCTGGAATTATAGTTGACTTCGGTGGGTTTTACCCATTTTTTAATTAAATACAACCCATATTTAATTAATAAAAAAAATGTTGGGCTACAAAGACGATAAAAGGGGGTCAAATCAGATGTGATCGTAATAAATCTGCATTAAGATATCATCACAACTTAGCCGCCTTTTAAATGGTGCCTTCTTAGAAACTAGACATATTTAAAGGTTTCACATTATAGCCCTATAGGTAATTAATGAGTTTTTTTATAAATTTATTTATTTCTGATTATATCCCTTACTTAATCCTTTTTGACACTTTCTTCCGAATTAAGGGTTGAATTTCTCAGGTTTTGTAGATTTTTCAAATACATTTTTTTTTATGAGTTTAAACATAATTTTCATTTATGTGCAACATAATTTTTTAAAAAGAAAATCATGTCTTATAATTCAAGGTTTTATTTTTGCTCTTTTCTATCTTTAGTTTCATGTTTTGTGGATTTAAATCTCAAATCAATTATATTTGTAACTCTATCAGCTCATCATTCCATCATTTTTGTTGCATCGATCAGTATTAGGTAGAGGAATAGAGAAGATCATGTCTTGTGGATTTAGGGTTCTATTTTCGTTCTTCCTCACCTTCAAATTAATATTTTGTGGATTTAAGATTCAAATATTATTTTCATAACTTAAACCCCATCAAATTGTCAATTTGTAATTTTCGTCAAATTATCAAACTCATCAAAAATAATATATCACCTTATTATTTAATTTTAGAAAATATAATTAATTCGAGTGTATTTTTATCAATTAAGAATTTCAAATATTTTTAATTTTGGAAAAAAGTTAAAAATCATTTTTGCATTTTTCCTTTTAAAATTTTTGTTGGAGACCCCTTTGTTTTACCCCACATTGGCCGTCTGGAGGTGTCAAAGTTGTGGGCCCACTTCACTTCTTGTATTTTAATAATATTTTAGAAATAATATTTGCAATTTTCCTTTTTAAAATATTTTCTGCGAGAACCTTTTGTTTTGCCCCACATGGGGCATCCGATGGTGTCAAAACTGTGAGCCCATTTCGCTAAGCCCACCTTGTTGCGTGTGATGGGCCGTGTCTGGGCCCAACATCAGCCGGTGTCCGGGGGTTTATCGAGATCTACACCTGCGCGAGTGAAGTCACCTGCTCTCCCTGTTACCGGCGAAGCACAATATAAACGAGTAGAGTAAGAGTTGAGAAGTCTTCATTTGAGCTCCAGTGGGAGGTCGAGCAGAGGAGGTCATGCTGGCCATGGCGTTTAGCTTGGTGTCGGTCCCTTCGCCACTGTGTGAGCTTGGGAGGCGGCCACCCCTTCCTCGGCGGAGGTGCGTCGTCGTTGCAGGGAAGCTTCTCACGGTGCGTCTAGTCTGGATTTCATCTGTCTGCGTCTGGGAGACTCGCCGATTATTGTCCCTGCTGTTACTAGTTTTGGGTTGCGGGAAGAAAGCGTCCAGATCTACCTTGCGGGAGTCTTTGGATTTTTCGGTGCGGGTGGTGGGTTTCGATTAGGATGGATGGGGTTATGTTCAGGCATTTGAAGTTTCTTTCTCTTTTCTGAGGAATCTTGAGGATCGTGGTCTCAATTTTTCGCCCTTTTACGTGATAATTTTTGAGTTAGCATATAGGTTTTGGATGGCCGTCGTGTCGTTTTACTCGAGATGTCATGGAAAGAGGTCTCGAGTGTTATCTGTCATATTCTAATTCAGCTGTAGTAGTCCAAAAAACGTGTATTTTAAAAAATCTTCTCAAATGATTGGTTTTTGTTTTAGTTTTTAGAACAGATACCAAGTGATTCCAACTCAACTGTCAGCGTGTACTGCAACCGGTTTACAGATTTGTCCATTGGATTCCAACAAAGCTTTCTGTATTGTAATCATTCGGTACTAGGTCTTTCAAGGTGCTTTTAACCTGTAGTCCCTATGTTTAGGGCTTCAATATGTTACCTAGGATATGTTTCTGATTCCTTCAAAACACTTGTAAGCCACATAGAAGAGTCCAAAATGAGAGTCTTCCAGTTCCAACTTCTGATAAGAAAATAGTCTGACTATACCAATTTTTCCATGATGTCATCTCGGATAGTATCATAAGGGAAAATGTCTCTTCAGAATGTGATTCTGAAGATCCCGTCCTTTGAACTGACTTATTGTTTTAATCCTTTTTTGGCTGTTATTGGTATGATCATGTTCTTGGGCTTCTGAATAACTTGGTTGGGGGAGATAATGATCTTATTTTTTCCCTCTTTCTTCACATATGCAACAAGAACATAGAGATTAACATTTGCATCCCAAGTTCGAGAAGTATCATTTTCCCAGAATAAAGAGAGGAGGGGGATGAGTATTTCTAGAAACCATAGTTAATTGTGGTGTATGTATGCCATTTTCATCAGCTAACGTCATCAGTAATTTCTCTCTGGGACTGGCCACATTATATATTTTTTTTTCCCTACTGGATGTATAAACTTCTTGGAGAACTAATCTCCAAGGATCAAACCACAATTCTATTTCTAAAAGTAGGAAGAATTATGCATGCAAATGTACACATAGATGCGAAGATACTGAAGCATGTTTGATTGCTGATGGAGATGGATGAATGATTTGTAGTTTAGGTTGTGTATATTTGCACCATATGTGAATGGATATATATGGGAGCATGCAAGAGTGCTGACGGAGATGAATGAAGAATCTGTGGCTTGGGTTTGTAAAGGTTGAGGCTTTGTTTTGCCTGCTAACATGGGGGTTGTGTTGGAGATATCTGTCTGTTATTCACAAGAAGCGCCACTGCTGGAAGAGATTTAGTTCCTTTCTTAGAAGAGTGTCTGATGATCACTCTGGTGTTTGCAGTAGAAATCCCTATAGCTGGTCCTGGATTCTTTCGCTGAGTGGGTTTTGAGAGTTGGGCGTTGCAGGAGTGAAAAATCAGAACCCTGTGTCTTTTCATCCATAATTCTCTTTGCCAATATTATCGAGCACTATCTCGATGAGGTTTGTGTTCCCACTTGCATTTTCATGCTCCTTTATTTTAAATTAAATTCCAATTTTCCTTTCTCTCTCTCAATATTTTGAGATTTGGGTGTATAATCTGCAAATTAGATGATCTGGGGATGCTTGTTGAGCGTCATTAACCTAAATTACGAGTATAAAAGTGGGCACAAGGACACTGATTCTGAATCTACTAAGAAACAATGGATCAATGTTTCTTTGGTGTTTTCAGTTGACAATTCGGACGAATCTGAGGAGACTTGAACAGAGTATTTTTATTTTTAATGAGAATCTGGTCCATGGTTGAGCTGATAACAGCCTCCCTCACACCATCTTCAACATCGTCAACTATGTTTCTTGACAGTATTTTAAACTTGTCACAATAAAGATATAATACGCTTCTAGTACTTTGGGTGATTTCAGTTGATAATTCGGATGAATCCAGTAATACTTTAATGCCTTTCTTTTTTACTTAGAATGGGAAGCTAAGCTGTGCTTGAGCTGCCGGTATCCTCCTTCACATCATCTTCAAGTCGTTGACTCTGTTTCTTGTCAGGGACCAGAAGTGAGCGTTGACCCTCAGCCACCCTCTGAAAATGGCTTCTCCAGGAGGGCCGCCATGGTGTGCTTGGCGGCTTCTCTGGTCGCCTCAATCTCTGCAGTCAGCCCTGCGGAAGCCCGCAGAATCAAACCAGAGACCATTAGAAAAATCCGGGAGAAGCTCGAGAAGATGAAGAAGAAGGCTGATTCAGGCGCCGGGGGAAGCAAGGAGAAGCCGCCTCTCCCACCTCCCTCACTTAACGATCTGGCTGGACCTCTGGTTGAGATTACGCTCTGAAAAATGTACCAATTAATAAAGTAGATTATTGTGATTTATATTTCTTTAAATTCATCAAGTTCTCGCCTTGAAATAAATAAATAAATATGTACCTATTAATATATTACTTTTCTAAAAATAATAATATATTAGTCTGGAAAAATTGGAGCAATCCAACTTATATGATTAATGATACGAATAAGGTGTTCTTGGAAAATTACTCGCATAGAGAGCTCAGAATCATGAAATAAATCTGATCGGAAAATTTAATGAAACGGTTTGTAGAGATTTGGCCCTCCAGAAGAGGAAAAAAAGAACTCTAACCAAAATTCAGAACAGCCAAAAAAAAAAAAAAAAAGTGCTAAGAAACCTGAGGAGATGAACACTTCATCTCTCATCTGCTTATTAGTTGTACAAGCAGATGGGCCAGGGGATCAATGGGTTCTCTCTCCACCTTCTTGATGAGAAAGAGAAGAAGAGAGAGAGAGAGAGACAGGGTCGATTCATGCCCTCTTCTTGTTCATGCTGGTGACAAGGCGGCCCATCTGGAACCTCCAGTAGAGGAAGTAAGCGAGGCCCAGACCCATCAGCACCAGCCCCACCACCCACTCCCCTTCTTTCTCCCTCTCCCACTCCAACTCCTCTATCCGGTGCTCCGCCCTCAATCCGTCGCCGCCGTGGCCATCCTCCGCCACCAAAACATAAACACTCCCCTCCCGCGCCGCCACGCCGCCAACCCGCCGCCCCTTTCCGCCGCCGATCGCAACCTCGTCGTACACCGCCGCCTCGCTCCACCCGTCGTCGCTGACCAAGATCCGGGCTTTGTCTCCCCCCACCACCGCCGCCGACCCGTCCCTTCTCACTGCGATGCAGGCGGCGGCGGCACCAGCACCACCGTTTCCGCCGATCAGGGCGAGCCTGGCGGCGCCATCATCACCATCCACCCTGAATATCCTCCCCGGCGGCGCCTGTAAGGCCAGAAAGTACCCCTTCCTGCTGCGCGCGATTCCGGCGAGGCCCACGTGGCCGCCCTCCCCGTACGCCGCCGACGAGGAGAAGACGGTGACCTCTCCCTGGATGTCAACCCTCCAGATGAGGTTATCCCCGGAGCTGGTGACGAAGGCGGCGCCGCTGGAGGGGTCGACGGCCACAGCGGTGGGCCGGGCGGAGGAGGGGAGAGGAGAGAGGAAGACGCGGCGGTGGGGGGGGGAGAGTTGCAGGTCGTAGGCGACGATGTGAGCGGAGTCGCCGCCGGCGCTGGCGACGGCGGCGAGGAGGCGACGGCGGCGGTCGTCGAGGGCGATGACGGGGAAGTGGGAGTTTGGGGGGAGGAGGGGATCGTTGATGATGGTCTCGAGGACGCCGGCGTCGGAGACGGAGGAGACGACGGGGAGGTCGCCGGAGCCGACGAGGAAGTGCTGGGCGGTGGGGTCCCAGAGGAGGGAGGAGGGGCGGAGGGAGGGGGAACGGAAGGAGATCTCGTGGCTGCGCCGCCCAGTGACCGCGGCGGCGAGGAGGTGGAGGAGGAGAAGGAAGAGGGCGGTGGTCGCCGGCGAGCGGCGGAGGAGGAGGGCCATCGTGTTTTCCAGCGAGAAGATCGGCTCTGGTTCCTCCTTGTAAAGGCGTCGCCTTTACCGGCCGTTGAACAGATCGGCGGCGGCGGCGGCGGAGTAATCTGGTTTATTTATTAACCAAACGGACGTCTGGGCCCAGGCCAAGCACCGCTTCCGGCCCGGCCCGGACCGGATCACATTTGCTCCCAAAACCTATATATATATCAGGAGAAAGTTCGCAAAGAGAAATAAAGCCCAAATAAAAAAGCCCCGGAAATAAACTTCGTGCCCGACCCTTTTTTCCAATAGCCCATCAATAGATTTTGGGTCGAATTCTATGGGAGGCGTGGGCTCGGGCCAAAGGTCCAGTCTAGTACAAGCAACTCATCTGCGTATTTTCAAAAGGCCATTGGGTATAGCCATTTTCATTTTCCCCAAAACGGGGTTAAAATATCATTAATTCTTTCTAGATGGACAAGTCTAGGTTGGCTGAGTAAAGCGAGTTACTACTGCAAAATAAATGATTATCATTTTTGTTCAAACTATGTAATGTGAACAAGTTACCATTCTCCACACAGACACACATTTTTATGTATATACATCAACATATTCTCAAGAAATATTCTACAATTAGAGTGTGTTTAAATAAATTATGGCAAGGTAAGAGTAATTTAGAAATGTGATTTGAGTATAAATTTAATAAATATTAAATCTGAAATTAAATTTAATTTTAATAATTTAAAAAATAGTGAGATCGACTAAGATTAGGGTCTTATTATCGTTGATCACAACATGAAGGCATTACATTAATAGAATGGTCTTTTGGAGAAAGATCATTGACGTGACTTAGTCGTTGTGTAGTAAATCACATAAATTTAAAATTTATAAAACTAGAAAATACTAATTTATAGATATTTAAAAGTAATTCTAAATAAATATATTAATTATAATTCAATAAAAGTTCTAAAAATAGTGAAAAACTTTTAGGTCGATCATAGGGATGTAATATAGTATCGAGTAATTTTTTAGAATTTTCCTCGAAGAATATGAATTTTAAATTTTAGATTAAAAATACAAATAAAATATATTTAAAATTTATAAAAAAAGAAAATAAGATTGCGGACGTCAAGATGACATCAACACCTGACGAATGCGAATTAGGTGAAAATAGAGTTTCACCTTGTGATTCTTACATAAGTGATTATATACGATTTAATTGATTAAATTAAGATGTGTAAAAGCCAGAAAAATCATCATTAAATGAAGAATAGTTTAGTAGATTTAAATTATATAAATTACCATTAAATGAAGTACAAGTTAAGTTGAAAGTAGAAAAACAGAGTTCTAGCATCTCGATAGTGATGTGTATCATCGTGTAGTGTTCACAACTTTGAAGGTTTGTTTTAGACAAGGACGATGTAGGTAATTTTTAGATCTTCTTGTGAAGTCTAGAGATCAATAAAATGGGTCATCAAATTATCTCTAGTGACTATCACCTTGTAAAGTAAAAAAATGATGACTTTATAGTTCTACGACGACTACTACTTGATAGAGAGAAACTGGATAAAGGTTAGATGTATGTTAAGGAGCTTTATCCTCAAGCCCGCACAACAAGAAGAGGCTCTTCATCACATCTAATATGTTCTTAGAAGTGACGACTCATCTCCTAGTAGATCGTCTTCTTCCTGACGATGACTTATTTGTCGATTAATCAAAGATACTTGATGAATTTGTAATCCTTTTATCGTAAATCGTTTAGTAATTTTAGTAATAATATTTTGCGAATCGCATCGATGAGATTTTTACTAATAATCGAGCAATTCTAATGACTTAATCTTTCACCGGCGATCTATAAGAAATTCACAATTTAATCATATAACAATACGAGTTTTGGCTCTGGTCAGATTTGAACCCACGCTAGTCACCTACCTATATGAGAGAGATTAAAATAAACACTCTAATACCTTTATAAAATGACATTATCATAGGTATATCGTTGTTATAACTAAAAAGTATTTTAAATATTAAAATAAATAAAAATATTATAGGGAAGATGTGATGTAGGTTGTCTCACATCAGTTCTACGTCAAAGTTTTTGACGAATATATAGTAATATCACATTTCCAAACAATGAGTCCCTTTCTCTTACGTATATGACCACTCGTTGCCCCACAATTAGTTGGCCATCGGTGACGTGGAAGGGGAGTGACACACATGTGCCCCCATTGGTCCATAGCCACTCGATCTCTTGCTCACAACTCTCTTTGACTGCACTTCCAACTTGCTTGTAGGCTCAGCTCAACTGATCAATAAGTCTCCCTATTTTTCTATATATATATTTTTCATTATTTGTCTCAAAAACTAGATTATAAAAATTATATAAATTTATATAAAATCACATAATTAATTAAAAAATTACATTAATAAACTAAAAATCACTTTTCATAATTCAACATAAATATAAGTTTATTTATTATGAGTTAAGATTAAAAATATATTATTTATTAATTATTAACTCATGATAATGAAGACTTATTAATCATACTAGGTGAACACACAATATTAGTTTGGTTGCTGACCTTTAACACATTGATGATAGATTCCTCCAAAATATTGTGGATCTCTAATGAAACATGAGTGATAAGTATGCCAAAATGTTGTTGGGAAAAAAAAATGAAGGCTAGTAATGTCATAGTGAAGGTTTAGAGGCTGAGATAGTGTAATGGTTTGTATCTTTCCTCATTTTTTTAGTTGATGTCTCCATTACAAGCTTATTACTTGTGTGGCTTAGTTGATGTTTGAAGAAGCCAATGACCCCCCTTCCATCTAAATTGTTTAATGATGACAATAAATTCCTTGGCCGAAGATTGCATTCTCTACAAGTCAAAGAATAACATGTCCACATGTGAACATTTTGCAGGATACTTGAAGATTAATAGGCTGGTGAGCCTTATGTATTCTTGAAAGGGAAAAAGGTAATAATGCCATAGTTGGGGCCCTATTATTTGTGAAGGGCTCCCCCCCCCCTGCACCTTTGGGACCCTAGACTATATATAATTAAGGGAAAGAGATGGGGAGAGAAAAGTTTTTCATTTTGTCTAGAACATAGTAAAGCTATAGTGCCATTGTGACTGCTCTATATGGAGTGGGGATATGTACTAGATGTTGCCAAGATTGATCTCATCTTCTTCTTTGGATTCTCCCATTGTTAGTTAACACTTGCTTTAATTGTAAGTCCCCACAACTTGATATCAAAACCATGACTCATGCCTAATGGGAGCCTTTGAAACCAAGGGTGATTGACAATGATTGACATGTAGCAACTCACATCGACATCCCGATGTTCATGGATAATAACCTTGTGGAGTGGATATTCTAGGTGGAGTTCTTCAAGTTTACCAACACTTCATAGTGTGACCACATTAACTATGTCATGATGAAACTAAGAGGCAATGTGCTAGGTTTATATATGTGGGTGGAGGCCAATCATCCCTTTCACAACTAACAAGATATCAAGACCTAGTTATTTTAGCGATTTGTGGTTGTTCAAGATCACAACCTCAACCAGAAGTTCTTGTGGTTAACAAGACAATTGTAAAATTTTGATGGGATAATGAAAAATACTTTTACTAATGGGTTGAAGCTTGAAATTTTAGTTGAGATGAACATGTTCAACTCGACAAGTTTAATGAAAGTTATGAACATGTAACAAATGATAGATTGATGACTCATGAAGTTATACAATGAGAAAGGAGGGAGCTTCAAAGCACTATCTTGGGGTGTATGAGACCCTAAATCTAGACATGCTAGATTATCCTAACTAAGGATGTCACCACCCATTGCTATTGTGGCCCACCAACTAGCATATTGTAACTACAACTCCGAAGGAGTTACAAGAGTAGAGTGAGATTTAACCTAATAAAATGTGAAGAGTAGACAAAACTCAAAATGCAATGAAGGAGCTAATTAATGTCAAGTTGGAAGAGAGATGGTCAAAAGGGTTTTGTTTTCATAAGAGACCATTTAGATAGTGATGGAGCACACCAAGGTTCGTAAGTTCCCCCAAATTTAACATAAGAGATCCCCATGAAAACAATTGAAGTCTTTCTCATTTAGTAATGGTAAACAATCCTTAGGACACTAAAACCAAAGGAACTTTGATGACACATCTTATCATGATATAGATTAACTCTAAAGTGACCCAAAACTTTATTTCAATAGAGTTGGTTGAAGAACTACAATTGAAGGTCAACACAATATAAGGATATTTGTGTTACAATCAACCTAGATGTCTAAGACATCATGATTATCAAGATCTTCCTTCATCTCAAAATACACAATCAAGACCTTATCCTCAGAAAATCCAATAATTGTGTATCTTAAGATATATCAAGATTCATTGGGAACTATTGATCATTGTTTAAAATTGGCAGCAAGAGGTTAACACTTCAGGGATATATAATGTTGGACAGCACGTCTATTCCTTGAAATCTTTTTTCAAGATAGGCTTGGTTCATTTGGCTCTATAGTGGTAATGGTAAAACATGAATCAAACTAGGAGCTCAACACTGTAGTGACAACAATGGGGGTTAAAGAGAAGAGTAATGATGGGGGCAAAGACAACAACATTTAATGCATCATGTTATAACAGAAGGAGCTAACATCAAAATCACTATATTTTTATATGGAATAGTTCAAGTTATGTTCCCATAAGTATTTACCCTTATCAACACACTAGTCCCTTTTTATGAGATTGACAATTCAATTCACCTTTGCGTTGGAGTATAATCAATCAATGTTTGACCTTTTCACTACCTTCATATGCATAAAGACACAATGGAGCACTTGGTGCATGACATGCTAAGGGAAGAAGTCATATAGTACTTAAAGAGCCCCTTCTTTAGTCTAGTCCGCGTGGTACAAAAGAAAGATTAGAGTTGGAAGTTGTGTGTTAATTATATAGCCTTAAATTAAGATGGTAGATGAACTCCTGATTGGGTTACATGGTGCCAGGATGGTGCCAAGACCTTCTCAAAGTAGGATATGTAGTCCTAGTACTACCAGATTATAATGAGAGAGTGGGAGATTCTAAAAATAACCTTCAGTACCCATGAAGGTCACCAAGAATTCCTAATGATGCTAGTTGGCCTCAAAAATGCTCCATCAACATTTTACTCTTTGATGGATCAAGTTTTTAGACTTGTCATGTGTTGATTTACTCTAGTTTTCTTTGATGACATCTTAAATTATAGCAAGACATGAGAAGAGCATCACAAGTATTTTATGACTAACCTTCACTACCTTAGATCACCATCAATTATATGCCTACACCAAAAAGGGCCTCATCACTTGCAACTAAGTAAAATTCTTAAACCATTGAGTCTTAACAAATAGGATTAAAGTTGATTGCAACACTAAGGAGCTTAGACATTTTTTGGGACTCATCAATTATCATAGGTGATTCATAGTAGACTAAGTATTGTAGATTCTCTCACCAACTTTTTGATGGATAACTTCATATGAACAAAGGTCATTGAACAAGCAATTTAAAGGATGAAAGTGGCGATGTACTAGGCACTAGCATTGGCATTGCCAAACTTTGCAAAAGCATTTGAAATAAAGGTAAATGCCTTGGGCCAATGGGTGGGCGTAGCTCTTCTTATTATAGTCAAACCTTGTCCCCACAAAATCAAGTTAATCCTATTTATGAGCAAAAGCTGATGACAATATTCTTTGCAGTTCAAAATTGGTGATATCTCATTGGACAATGGTTTATTATTTTTACTGACTATTATAGTCTTAAATTTTTATTAGAGCAGTGACAAACCCCACCTCAATATCAAAAATGAAACCTTGAAGCTCATCTACTATGACTTCAAGATTCATTACAAGCCTACATTAGGAAGTTACTATTATAGACACATTATCGCATAGGTCAGCAACCAATGAACTTCAAGTAATGTTGATGGCTCACCCTCATCCACTAGACTTACAAATCAAGTGATATAATGTAATTGCAGATCCAATGATGATCAAGAATAAACATACTCTTTAACATGATGGGCAACGACAACCCATTTTTTATTATCCAATCACATCATGTTATACAAGGGGTGCATGATACTATCCTCCACCTCATCTATAATTCAAAAGTTCCTAAATGATTATCATAATAGTGTCATTGGTGGTCACTTGGGCTACTTGAGGACCTACAAATGAACTTTCTGTGACTTCCATTGGAGGGGATGTAAAATGCCACCCATATGTAATGAACTGCCCACTGTACCAAAGATAAAAAGATGAGTCACTTTCATAAGCATGCCTATTACAATCACTTTTGGTGTCCAAACAAGTGTAAGATGACTTTACTACGGATTTCTTTGAGGGCTTACTACACTCCCAAGGTAAGAATTATATTATAATTGTGGTAAATAAACTGACCAAAGGGACATTTTGACATTTTGTGGCACTTTAGCATCCATACTCATCAAAGGGACATCATTGAGGTGCTCATCTAGGAGATCATCTAACTGGAGTTCCATGCCCCCCATTTCTAATTGAGATAAAATTTTACTCAACCATTTTTGGACATAGATCAACAAATTGGAAGGGAGCAAGCTAAAGCAAAGCTATGTTCCATCCCCAAATAGATAGTCAAATGAAATGAGTCAACAAATGTTTGGAAACCTTCCTTTGTTGTTCTCCTCCAAAAAACCTTGCCAGTGGAGCTAGTGACTTACTTGAGCCGAGTTGTGGTATAATTTAATCTTTCACCATTCCTACCAAGCAATCCCTTCCCTTGCATTGTATGGTAGGGAACCACATCTGACTGTTTGCTTTGGCTATATGTTGGTGGAACCCCTAGAATTGACGGACCTCCTCAAGATGTGGAATGAGATGCACAACACTATCAAAGACAAGCTAGCTCAAGCTTAGGCACACATGAAATAGTTCATAAACTGCCACTGGTGGGATACTGAGTTTGAGGTAGACAATTAGATATATTTGAAACAACACCCCTACTGGATGAAGACCTTGGTGCAGAAGAGGAATGAAAAGCTCTCTCCCAATTTGTTTGGACCCTTCAAGATCTTGCAGTACATTGGAAATATGGCCTATCGCCTAGACCTCCACACTACAGCCCAAATCTGCCCCATTCTCATGTTTCACAGATTAAGCATGCTTTGAGACCTCAACACAACTACCAACCATTGCCCACTAGCTTGGATAGTGACCTACAATGGGCGGTGCAGTCGGCTGAAGTTCCAGATGTGAAAGAATTTCCAAAGGGATTAGAACTATTGATTCGTTGGCACAACCTCCCCTCCTTTAAGGCTATTTGGGAGTCAACAACTCAAATCACATAGTTCTTCCTTGACTTGCATCTTGAGGACAAGGTGCCAGAGATGGTGGGGGGTAATGTAAGACACATGGGGATTAACGGGCCAGCGGGTCATCTATATTCTAAAGTGAAAAGGGCAATGATCCTGTAGTGGGGGACTCGTTAGTTGTGGAGGGCTCTCTCCCCTCGCACCCTCTAAAACCCTAGACTATATGATAAGGAAAGAGATGGGGAGAGGGAAAGTTTTTCATTTTGTCTGGAATAGGGTAGAACTGTGGTGCCATTGGGACGACTCTAAGTGGAGTGAGGACGTTTACTGGCTATTGTTGGAGACTTATCTTATCTTCTTCTTTGAATTCCCCCCTTGTAAGCTAGCCCTTGCTTCAGTTGTGGAGTTCCCACACATTCAATGCAGTAATCTTTTGAGAAAACAAAGACTCAAAGATTCTTCTTTTCCATTTCATCCTTTAGTCAGTTTCAAAATAATTTAAAATCATTACCTGGCAACTTTTCTTCAATTTAATATGACCCAGAATTTATTGAGCACTGCTGTTGGGGTTTATTTGTGCTCATTCCAACCATAACAAGGGCACGAGATTTTCAGCTTCCTATGTATTATCAAGAAATGCAATGTAATGAGTCAGGAAAATGTATTTTTTTTCTTCAAACATACCTTCTGAGGCGATGGAGGACTTGCTGCAGTAGGTGCTGAATCTGGCAGCCGACTTCAGCGAGGAGGATGTGAAGGCAACCATCGTCCTTATGGCTATCTCCTCCAACCTGTTTACAAATGAATCCCAACAGTGCTGAATCCCCACGTTTTGCTCTCTTCCATTCTTCAGCTCACCCTCCTGTGTAAATCCTGCCCTCAAGATGTGGCAGGCACGCTTTGTCCTCATTCTTCCTTCCTAAATGGCGAGCATTCCTTGTGTAGCTCAGCTACTTTCTGATTTTTCCTGATTTATCCCCATCAATATCTACAAGCCCTTCTCCCATCAATAATCAGTTTGAGAGGGAAATATTTCCCTTTTTATTCTATGGTTCAAAGGATTGATTATTCTCAAATAGTGGAGAACCTAGATTAAACCAATATTGAATCACTGTCCAATGTTTATCCTTAAAACCAATCAGTTCAAAAAATAGAGGAACCCAGCAAGGAAAACCAACATATATATACATGCCAAGCTTTATGTTCTGACAAAGTTGATCCCAATGTCTCAAGTTGAATCAGAAATAAAATTAAACCAAGTTTCTGCAATTGATTTGAATCAATCTTCCCTAATATCATCTTCGGAAAACACACACACACTCTATAATCTTCGAAAAAATAGACATATCTCTGCCCTTCAAAACATCTTAAGGGTACTTATATACATATACATGAGGAGACCGTGCTCTAGAAAGTCTGGTTGAACCCAAGAAGAAGCAAACTTGGGAGATATAGTAAATGATCCGAAGAGCCAAAAGGTAAGGTGAGATATCTACAGTTAGTGTTTTGACGCGATTTTTAATCTTATTTTACCCATTATTTGCGTATTTGAAAAAATAACAGAGAACTTGAACTATGAGGAAATAAGAATAGCCACCCTTTGAGTAGTCATGCACTTGCTTCCTGTGCTACTTCTCCTTGGCTTACTGGCGCCAGCCCCTTGGGTCACCTTTCCAGCTGCATCCCATCTCTGCATGATAGTAGCCTTCACCTTGTCTCCTTCTCTCTTAACTGCACCAACCGCCTTACTAGGCCCAGATGCCTGTTTCTGGGCCCCAAAGGCTTTTAGCTTACCCAACCGGTTATGAGACTCACTACGGACAACACTTCGATGTTCGTCACTAGTAGTGGTCAACCCTTGCAGTTTCAATGACTTGCCAAGTGAAGGGGGTATTGCTTGATTTCTACATGGTGGAAGAATATGTGTCGATCCATTAATCACCTGAAAATAGTAAAAGGTACCAACTTGTAGTGACTTGATTCACTAATCTTCAGCGACAGTATCAACTTTCAATAAAAGAGATCTGGTGCATTGGAGTATAAAACACTAGTCATGGAGAGGCATGTTATCTAAGCAGCCACTGATGTGCATAATTGTTATATATCATATTGTTTAGTGATTGCAAATTTCCCATTTTAGCAAGTACCTTCTTCCCGCATATGAGTTTGGGATTGGGCTTGTGAGAGGAGAAAGGTGTAGATGCTGCCTTGAGGTTTATCCGCTTAGCCAGTTGTTTAGTTTCGACTTCTTTCTCCTGCAAATCCATGAATCAAGCTCATCAAACTCCCCATTCTTGGAGAAAAAACCAGTAGTACGATAGAACCCTAAAGATTTTTAATCATTTTTTAGAAGATTATCGTCATCAACATCATTATCATAAATAATCATCATAAACATCAAGAGTCATTATCATCTCTAAACCATATGGCGATGGAAAAATATGAGTGATTTGAGTTTCAGAGCCATTCAGAACAAGCCTTCAAGCCAGGTAGCTATCAACTCCCAAGATTATTAAATGGATCTGGTTGGATGGAAGAGCATATCTTTCTATGGCACAGAAAGGTAGAGGAAAATAATAATCCTTGGAGGCATAATGGACTGAGATGGCAAAAGACAAATGAATACTTTTGGTGGCAGAACTTTCGTAAAAATATGCCACGTGAGTTATGCATGACCAAGATGAATTATTAAAAAATCATGCTACTTGCCTCGTTCCTCTGCTCAATTCTTTCACTAAATTTATAATTAAAGGCTCGGGTACTCGTTCTTGATGGCAGCCTCATTGTAGTTGTTAGGTGTTCATCCCTGAAAAAGAAACTTTATTCCAATGATACACAAAATGAAAGCAAAGTGGCTTTCGGATGAGACCAAATACCTATGCGTTGATCGATGTCCACTACTTAAGCCTTTTTTATAAGAATCAGATCCGGGTATGGAAACAGTCTTTAGGTCAACTTTTTTCTCACTTTTGGAGGAGCTGTTCCAGAACCAGTCAAATAAGTAGAGGATATGTCAGTTTGAACCAAAAAAAGATTTATTATTTTCAAATCGGAAAATATATATACCTTTTACTCTCCGGTCTTGCTTTGTCTGTCGTTTTATCAAAATCCTACAGGAAGTACATCAAAGATTTTTTTAAAAACACATTTATATGCGAAAAAATTGCATGAGTGATGTAGAAGTATCCACCACCATGATTTAAGAGCATAGTCGCCTAAATTCGTTACCCCTTCGATCATCTAGTGCATTGATTCTATAACCTAAGTTTTTTGTCCAATTGTTAAAAAAACTATAGTAGAAAGAGTAAATATCTGTATAAAGGAATAGATATCCGGGATATATATCAGAAAACAAATCCTCGCTCTATAATGATAAATTGGGGGATTTCCGAATCTGAGGTAAAGCATTAAAAATTATAAATCAGTATTCATGCCTCAAGCTTCATATTTGTTGGGCCAATACACATCATTGTTGAGACCGTCGAAGAAGAATGCTTGACTTTTTTTGTAGTCTCCTTTTCTATTTTCTTCAACTCTTTTGCCGATGCACTCTTTGAAGAAGAATAACTATTTACAGATGGAATCTTCTTTTCAATCCGGCTAGCAGTACCCTCCATTTTTGGTTTTGTTATTCTTGGTTTCTTTTCCACTGTTGCTTTTGCCTGAAATGAGTATTTTCAACAAGAGGTGACCATAAACACTTAGCAAGAGGAGCACTTCGAAGCTCTAAATCATCTATCTTAATTAGTAATAAGCAAAAATGGAAACATAAAAAATCTGAAGTTAAGAATGGTGCTCAAATAAACACACGATGCTACCTCCTTATTTTCTTATCAACCTCATTCTCAAGTCAACAAAGCCATTACAACTTTACTAGCTGGAAAGCCGCTTCAAATACATGACATATGAAAAGATAACAAAAAGGTTCAAAGATAAGAGGATATCTAACCATGTGGGAAGATCTTATAGTCTTCTTCAAACTTGAGGAACGAACTTTCTCCATTGCTAAACTCTTAGTGGACGCATTGGCCTTGTCATTATTTCCAGTTTCAACATTTTTTCCAGATTTTAATGGTGATGCCTTGAGGTTATTATTTTCGACTTTGGGACGCAATGCAGGTGTTGGTGTTTGTTCTTCCTTTCTGGTCTCCATTACCTCATTTTGATCATCATTTGGGCTTCCATTGTGCCAGGAAAATTGGATTCTGTGTTGACCGTGCTCTACAAAATCTTCAGAATTGGTTGATACATTGCCATGTTTTGTTATTTCTTCAATGGAAGTGTCTTGGTCCTCTATGCCATTTTTTTCTTGTTCTTCGGCCTCATTTTGTCTTTCTATAGCAATTAGGTTACGAAGTGCTGTCCTCTTGAAATGAGCTTCAAAGTAGGCTTTCTTTTCAGTAACCGAACCCGGAGTTGAATACTTTTCAACCTCTTCAAGGTACCGATTGTGTGAAAAGGATGACTTCCTCTCCCAAGACAAAGGCTCAGCTTCAAATCTTCCAAATGATACAGAACTAGAAGATGGGCAATCAGCCTGCACATATTCAACGAAAAGAGTATTGAACACACACTCAAGCTGATCAAATGCACTCGACATCAGGCAAATTATTCATCAAACTTCAGGTATATTAAGAAGATTCAATCGACTTGAAAATTTCAAGATGAAAAAAACCGACATATATCATGATAGTTTGGTGAGAAACATTGGAAGACCATACCCAAAATAAGCGCTGATATATCATTTAGATTATTGGGCTACGTATAAGATTTATTAAAAGATGGTTTTGTATGTCATCTGACCAACCTACTCTTATCATCCTAGTGCATTCGATAGAATACTCTAGCAAAGTACCAATGAAACACATTAAAATGTCATCCTAGATTTTCAATAACAAGGGAGATGTTTCCATAGATTTGAATACCCAAAAAAATCAAATCCATAAAAACATTTCCCTTGGTATTGAAAATAGAAGATGCCAAAGGAAAGGGACTAGAAACTTATTATTGTAATGACAAGGCACTTTGACAATATTTAAGATTGAAACTTGAAATCTGAAATCTGATACTCACCTCAAAACCTATCTACATTAACGATAAAGTATTTAAACTGTTTTAATAGAGGTAAGATTCTCAATTAGGACCTAGCAAAGTGATAATGGACAGCGATGGTTGGTGGATGACAGTAATAGGTGACGATGGGTAACAATATTCGTAGTTAGTGCGAGGAACAATATTGGTAAGTGACATAGGTGGTGGGCAAAACGAGACCACAGGTGGTGATGATAATCCATTGCATTAGTGAAAGCCAAAAGTTAAATTAGCGAACAATAGTTGATCGTAGGGGGCAGAGAATCAATTTAAAGTAGTTCTGTCGACCATTAGCCACAATGATGATAGTTCTTAAAAATAAATTGTGGTACGTTGTGGAGGACTTTGTAGAACCACAGTTATGAAAATGATGTTGGTAGGTAGTGGTCACGTGTACCTTAAAATGTGACTTTGACACAAAAACATGTGTTCTAAGCTCTCATTAACATATAACTGAAAAGAACTTGAAGAGGTAAGTTGCATTTCAAATATGAAATAAGTGTCCATGAAGTGGTCTGATTTGGCAATCCCCAACAGTTAGTAATGCAAATTTTTTCCAACATTTAAATAACAGGACCATAAATTCTAAAGTTAATGAGAAATGAAGGCATGCATTGTGTGTCTAGTTGAAACTGCAGATTTCAGATCCCAATACACGACCAAAGGCAGTAATTACCAAGAGCACTTATCAATGATCCTAAAACCTGACAAGATCTGGAGGATGTTTATCAATGAATATGTTGAAAGAGCCCATCACAATAGGCTGGTAGTTACGGTATCTCACTGTCATCACTAGATCTGTAACTGGTAAACAAAGTGGAAGCAATAACTTCGAGATTGTTAAAAAGTAGTAAATGAGAGAAAACGGGAGTACAGAGACTGAAGCATAAGAAAGAGAAACTCCAGAAGGATCAAACTAAGCAAAGTGAAAGTAGGACCTGAAATTCACAAAAATCTTCAACCACGCTGGCCATGGCAAGCCTTAGACTATCACAAGGTATCTTGTTCAACTGCAAACACGGAAGCTTGTAAGCAACACTTGAATATACAATCACCAGAACTAGACATCTAAGATGAATCACGCTTCCCCCACATAATATGGATACACGGGACAGTAGAGGAAATTCTTCAATCAGACTGAATTTCAACCATGAAATTCTTTGCATAAATTTATTTACTGCTTAGATATTTTTTTCTGACGACTGAATTGAATGCACTGGAGCAAGCGATGGATAGAGACTCTTAAGACTCTATTAGCGTAAGTTGCCAAACCTGCATGATACACCTGTACCATTAATTCCAAAATAGGGTGAGAAGATGAGCATTCCCTATGCTCTTATGTGGAATTTTTTTGAACAGAGGAACCTCTGTAAACAAAATAATAATAATAACGTGCAGTTGAGTCACCTTCAAATTTTGCTGTCGCGGTCCGACATCTCCTCAATCCGGCTTAATCTCCACGATGAGACATTAAAACCAGGACATCTGGTCCACTAGAAACAGAGAAGAGAAGAGTAAACCTCTGGGAACGATCAACTTCCAGCACGATCTCAGAAATGAGTGTAAGATTCAGCAAAGCACCTGAAGGCATCTCCTCTCCCTGACGTCCAAGGAGAGGTCTCATCTTCAACACGAAGCGGCACCGCATCCACCGTCCCGAGATAGTGATCGCCGAGGATGCCCAACCGCCCCTTGATCCTCACGGCATTACCCCAATTTGATCTCCACCGAATCCTCTGGCAGACGCCTTCCTTTGATCTCCCAGTAACTCAAATCAACAAAGCTCCCTCTCTTGAGGGAGAGCAGAAGCCGCCTCTTTCTCCATATGCCTCTTAAGACTCGTACAGAGAGAGAGAGAGAGAGAGCTAGGGAGAAAAACGAGAGGGAGAGAGAGAGAGAGAGAGAGGAAGGGAGAGGAAGCTGCAAAGGCAAGTGAAGCCAAGTGGCTGCTTTGTCTGGTGGCGCCGAAATGAACGGCGTCGAAGGATTTTGCCGCCAGCGCAGCGGGAAGCCTTAGACGCCGTCAGCCGCCCAACGCGGGCTCCACTGGGAAGCCGACATTTCACTTGCCACCCGCAGCCGTTCCTGGACCTCCACTTCCCACCGTCTCTTCTCCCGTTAACGTGGACGTCAAGGCTACTTACACGTCAACTCCTGATCCCTCAGAACCCATCGCCCCTGTCAACGACTGTAGGAATTGAATGGGGCGAGTACATCCCCGGCCCTGTCTGCACTTACATTTTTCTAAAGTTGGTCATCCAATCAACCCGAAAATTGATAACTCTCTCTCTCTCTCTCTCATGGAAAGAGTGGGCCCAATAGAATAATCGGCTTGAAACCTTGAGAAGCTATGAGTGTCAAGTCTATCATTGGAGCATGGCCGTGATTTATTCTTATAAAATAATGAAAATTCCCAAAGTTAGAATATGGTGATGAGGGCCTTATTTCGTGTCACTCTCCACTACACCCTATGGCCTTTATGTGAATAAAAAATATTTTTATATAATTAATACCATTTTGCATATTATAATATTTTATAAAATTAAGTGACCACCGAAGGAAGTGTGAGAATTGTATATTTGGTTTCTAATATTTCAAGTGAGATTAAATAAATGGGGGGTAAACCATAAGTTGGGTCCCATCCTCATCTATCAAGCTTTGACCTGATCCTCTTGGTTCTTGCATTTGTTTCCAATTGTGCATGTCAACCCTTTGTACTTCTACTTTGTCCCACTCAAAGTAGATAAAATCCAATACGACCAATTATGGCCAATTTTTAAATATAATTTCAGCCTCAAAATTATTCCCACAAGGGAAATAGGCTCTAAGTACTTTCTGCACTTGTGACGTGGTTGCTTTGTACTTTCTCTCTCTACTTTCCTCTAGTCCCAAGCTACATCTTGAGCCTTGGACAAGAGTCCTAGTTGACTCCCACATAGTCCCAAGATTCAGCTCATCTAAAGTCTTGCAAGTTAACAGAGAACAAGCATGTAGGAAATGCAACGTCCCCTAAGCAACAGCAACATTGGCAACTGTTGCACTCACTTTGTGTACCAATCTCATTTTGATCACTTAGATGATGGACATACTTGTGCCAAGGACAACTGCTGCACAGTGCATTACATGATTGGACGGTGCTAGGAGCCCCAGGATGCATCCCATCACCCATGATCAAAGGCTGTTATTCCTTGACATGCTCTTCAAGAACGATCCACTCTTGGTGATCTCCCGCAAGGGCTTGTCAGTGAATCTAATGAGGTTGTACACAGAGCCTCCTAGGAAGGTCCCAATGATGGGGCCCACCAAGTAGACCCAAATCCCTTTGTAGTTGTGCATGACGATGGCGGGGCCCAGGCTCCTAGCTGGATTCATCGACGCCCCAGAGATTGGTCTACAGTGCCACGTCACACAGAGTCATCAAGTTAGGAGGGTGAGCTACAATGGGTCAAACCCATTGAAAGCTAAAGAATAATTAAATTATAATAGATTCTTTTACATACATAATCGAATAATTAAATATGGCAGGCCACACATCTACAAATTAAATAATAATAAATAATTTAAAAATAGTTGAATAATTACCCAGCCACGAAGACATTCAGCGTGATCGTTGACCCAACCGCTATCCCGGCCAGTTCTCCGATCTGAACAAATTCGACGGACTATCAGGCAAAACTGTGTACCGAGAGAGAGAGAGAGAGAGAGAGAGAGAGAGAGTGCTAACGGCTCTGTTGTCGGTGGCCACGCCGGAGATGACGAACATGAGGAGGAAGGAGGTGATGATTTCGAGGACAAAGGACTGCATGTCCGATCCGGCGGGGGTTGTCCCGAAGAAATGGGCGGGCTTCGGGCTGAGGACCTCGTAGAGGGTGAAGCTCGCCAGCATGGATCCGCAGATCTGGGAGAGTACGTAGATGGGCACCTGCAATTCATCCATGGATATTCATTCGCCGTAATCTATCCAAAAATGGCAAACACTTCCAGGTTTGGGGGACGAAGAAGAAGACGACGACAACGTCAAAGAGTAGCAGAAGAGTAAGGGAAAGAAAGTTCGAAATCTTTGAAAGGGAAGCGGAATATTGATCCGCCATAATCTATCCAAGAATGGTAGACACCTACAGGTTTGGAGGAGGAAGAAGAAGACGGCGACGAGGCGAGGGAAGAGATGGAGAGGAATGTGGGAAAGAAAGGTCTACTTCTTTGAAAGCGAAGCGGGAGATTCAGCCGCCATAATCTATCTAAAAATGGTAAACACTTGTAGGTTTGGAGGAGGAGGAAGAAGGAGAGGAATGGGAAGAGGAGAGGAGTGTGGGAAACAAGGGTCTACTTCTTTGAAATTGATGCGCGAGATTCATCCGCCATAATCTATCCAAAAATGGTAAAAGCTTGCAGGTTTAAAGTAGGACGAAGAAGAAGAAGATAACGATGAAGAGGAGGAGAGGAGTGTGGGAAAGAAAGGTCTACCTCTTTGAGAGGGAAGCGGCGGAAGATTGCGAAGGTGATGGTGACGGCGGGGTTGAAATGGGCGCCGGAGATGTGGCCGACGGCATAGACCATCACCATCACCACCAAGCCCCAGGTTATGCAGATCCCAGGGAAGGACACCGATCCGTACATCTTGTTCACCGCCACCGAGCCGCATCCGGCGAATATCACGAAGAAGGTCCCCACCACCTCGGCGATCGTCTGCACCAGGCACCGCAGAAAGTTAGCGCCGCTTCGAAAGGCCGGCGGCGGCGGCAGAAGAGACCTTCTGGATAAGGCGAACGACTCCCGTGGAGGAGAGGCAGTCTCCCTGCCGGGTTTCTTCCCCTCTCGCGTTCTCCTCATCGACGTGCTCCGCCGCCGGCGACGTCGCCATTCCACCTGCAGTAGGGAGAGAGAGAGAGGAAGAAGAAGAAGAAATTGAGGAGAGAGAAACTGGAGGGTTTCTGACGTGGGAGAGAGGAGGAAAGGGGGGAGATCTTGAGGAAGGAGGGACGGCTGGCACTTGGGTGGAGACCGTTGGACGCTCGCCGGAGCAGAGGCTCCGCTTGCCCGCGGCGGATTCGCTGGACCGTTGCGGCGTGGTCGGGATACCCCAGCAGAACGCGTCGGCGGAGGTACACATAACGGTAACTAATGATCATCTCATCGGATACCCGTTTATTCCAGAAGAACACTATATTAATTTACATTACTCTTGGAAAAATCATCAACTTACCGGGGGGATTTTTCTATAGTTACCTATAATCACGTATTCCATACATTTGGCATATGATCTTGTATTTGATTCAACCTATCGACCATGATATGTATGCTTAAAATAAATCACTTAAAATGTTCATCCAAGGAAATTAGGATTAGCATTTTTGGAAAACGGTAGTTGACCATGTTATCCTAACTTTTAGACTTAAATGATTTTATAATTTGGGTCTGAAAGTCAACTCGATACTTACAGTCCAGTACATTGATGATTTTGTTTGAATGAGGAATCCAAGCATAGTGAATGATGATGATAAGGAATAATATCAGTATTTTTTTTGGCTGAATAATTTATTATTATCACTTTTGATATGGGTAACCATGTAATTAAGCATGTCAAACATTTTATGTAAATATATTTGAGTAAAATTGACATGATTTTAATATTTATTAAAAAATTTTAATGACTCACAGTAAAAGACTGTGTAAGAAACATAAAAAAATCTGTAAAATATAATTAAGAATTATCTCCAAAGCAAGTAGAACCCAAAATAATTAATAATTTAATTTTATTCGAATGATAACCGAAGCATAGTGAGCACTGATGATGGAGAATAATATTAATAATTAAAATTATTTTTTGGCTAAATAATTTATGAAGATCACTTTTGATATGGATAACCATGTAATTAAAGATGTCAAAGATTTTATGTAAAATAGTAAAAATGACTTTATTTTTGTATTTATTAAAAAACATTGAATAACTCACACCAAAATAAAGAATATATATTGAGATTGTGTAATAAACATAAAAAATCTGTAAAATGTAATCGAGAATAGTTTCAAAAATGTTTAGAACAAAAAGAAGTAAAACTTATTAAAGTGTCCGCAAATTACGTAAAAAAAAGAGATTGGCCCGGTTCGGACCGGGCCAGGGGTGACCGGTTCGGAATGTTCGAAATCCGTCCGGACGAAAGGCCGTGGACCTGAAGCCGTCTTTTTTGTGGGGCCCACATCCGTTCGAGCTACTCGTCATCAGGGGTGACTATAAATACAACGTCAAAGAATTTGATTTCCCGCCCTCGCCCTCGCCTTCGCCCTCATGCTTGTCTAGGGTTCCTGCTTTGCCTTGATCTGCTTTGGACCGGGGACGGTTCCAGCTGAGGTCATCTCCCCACCATCGAGGTAGGGTTTGATCCCGCTGTTCATCCACTCTTTGATGCTTGTATCATTCTGGGATCTATAAGGTAGGGTTTTTTTTTTTGTTTTTTTTTTGACTAGGGATAATGACGCCTCCGCGGAGGAGTTTCTTGACTACGAGGAGGACGAAGAAAGGGCCCCTGACTCCGCTGCAGCTAAGGGCAAAGTGAGAAAGAAGTAAGGTTACGTCTCCTTTTAGTTGCTCTAGCTTCTGGTGCTTTTGCCTTATCTGGTGCTTATTAAACCTACTTCAATTTTGGTACGATGGTTTCTTTTCCTACACTTCTTTCTCGTTAACGGATAGGCTATCGTGTCTTTTTTTATGGTGTGAAAATGGCTTACTCATCTCTGGATAATTTGTACTCTGAATCTGGTATTTATTTTTTACGTTTGTGTTTTCTTGCTTGATATCCGGGGTAACTTGGCTGCGGGACTACAAATCTACGAAGGATTTTTTTTGAAAATTACTCTTTATGCAATTCTCAGGAAGAAAAGTTTCACCTAGTTGGAGTGACAAGGGCACAACGTTGATGGGGATCCCAGTGTCCTTGATCTCGTCTGTTTAAGCGTTATTGGCTTACACTTTTCATCTTTGATACCATAATACGTCTGATGGTATGCTGCAATCGTTTATTGAGGAACATGTCTTTGTTCTTAGAGTGCACATGTTATTGGGACTTCCTTGTAACGTACAGGTGTACCTGGAGGATTAGGTGGCTAATGCATTGCCATGGAATACCTAGGTTGTGAGAGTATAAGAGTTTGATGGATGTTAGGATTCTGGGATACATGTAAAAAAGTTTCAATGGTCTAGTTTGTATGTATAAAAAAGGGGGAGGGGGGGTTCTGATAATCAATCGAAAGGCCCTGGGCAAACACTGAGAGGAATTTGGGTGGGAGCTTCCATGGACATTTAACACAGTCTTTGTGCGGCTGCGGCTCCATAAGAATCAGTATGTTGGTAAGGCAATATGTTGTTTTCTCAGTAAAGAGTGTGCTTCATTAGTTGCAGTATTGTTATTACATTTGGATGGATTTTACAGGAGACAATTGCAGTGTCATGTGTTTTCGGATTATTTTGACAAAGATGTGCTAAGTAAAACAAGTGCTATGCATGTTTTTAACATGAAGGATAACCTTTTTAAATATACCGTTGCGACTTCAATGGATAACTGGATTCGTTATCATTAAGATAATGCTTTTGTTCTCTCAGTCATCTCCTCTCCCCCTTGAATGAGTGAGAAGGCAACTATTTTTTTTCCTGACACACGTTATTAGCAGACATCCAGAAGTATATTCCAATCTTAGTACGTCTGATTCAAAGGATATCGTGCTCTTAATTGAGAGCGAATAGAAACTAGCATTTTATTCAATCAGATGGTCAGGATTTGTCGTATGAACATTGCATTGCATTGCATTAAGTTTGACAGAAGGAAATTAAAATAAGGATTCAATCTTCATTAATAGAATTGCTTGATTCACAGGGAAAATAAATTTTGGGAGATCTGATGTATCTCTATGCGTGTGCAGGATATGCTTTATTCAATGCCAACTAGGCTAGTTATGTTGAACGGGTTGGACTTTTTGGCAGCGAGGAACATATGCCAATCAAATGGGGGTCATCAACATGAGATTGCTGTGGCAGACATTTAGAAGCATGGTTGTGCGATTAATATCTTATATGGTTGGTAAAATCTCATGGAGATGGTTTGAAAGCATGAAGAAGAGACAATGAGTGCACCTGTTTAGAGATAGGACCATCAAATCTATGGATGTTTGAAAATAGAGAATGTGTTGGAGATCAGAGAAAATTCGGTGGTAGGAAAGAAAGATATCTTTTGTGGTGTTTTGAATTCAAATTGTGTCGTATGATAGAATCTAGAGCAGGACCTGTATATGGTACGCTGTGAGGTGGTATTTGGTGGATGAACGTGAGTATGGCAGGCTTGGAATCTTCAATCGTCAATATTCTGGAAACATAAAGAATGTATTTTGTTTACAGCACTCATTTTTATGCATTCATATTCAAATCAAGTTTTACTTCGAAGTTGAGCAAACTCATACTTAGTTCTGGTTGGATCCGGGGGTTTCAAGGATACCAGGGTGGTAGTCCATATGGTACGCTCAGGTGCAGCTTTTCAACATAGATTTTACTTTTTTCGAAATTTAAACTAATATAATTTTTCGACATGCCAGTTAATATAATTTCTATGTGCACAAAATCTTTCCATCACGAGAAAATAAATAAAAAATTAAATTATATTTTTAATGAAAGTGGACAATAACATGATCATTAGTTTTGTGTAAGAAGTATGTGAGTATACATCCATGTACACATTCATGTCAAAGACATTAAGAAAAGATCCCTATAGAAGAGCCAAAAAAACACTTAGATACTGCATGGTACTGACCTCAAAAAATTATATTGTATGGTTTATTCATATTTGATCCTTTCTGTGGCTATTTACAGACAGAGCTGATTGGGCAAGCTGTTTTTAAACATACTTTTGTGAACAAATGTTTGGCTGATCTTGAACGTAGCTGAATATGCAGCCATTTGAGGACATCTTGCTGACCAATTTGCTTGCAGATGCTTTGACAGCTGGCACATTAGGCCAAGCTCGAGTTGTGCAAATATAATAGAATTTGGTTGGGCTGTGCCTTTCAGTCTACTAGTTGCTCTACTCATAAGGAATTCGATGTTTTTAATTAACTTCTCTTCCTTTTTCCATCCGTGAAAATCTTTCCCTGTGGATGTTGGGTAGTTGTTGGCTTTGGGCTCCAGTTTTCATTTAATAATAAGAGAATATTGTGTCAGAATTAGTGGTAATTGTTTCAATTATTTATTATATTATTTTCTTCACTGTATTTTTTGTCTGATGCTTAGTCTTGAATCGATGTGGTCCAGTCTTGCCTGGTTCAACCTTTATATTGTCGCATAGTATAAATACTAGATCCGAGCATTAATAAAGTGAGTATATTGTTTTTCACCCTTTATCTATGACCTAGGGTTCTCCGCCTGTGATGCAACACTTGACATGGTATCAGAGCCAAAGGTTTGATTGGGCATCTCTACTTATTTGGGACGTCTCCATCATAAGGCGCCTTTTTCAATGAGGAGAAGACAAAGGGTTCATGCATTCTTGTCATTTATGTTGAGCTTCATTTAAGACATTGGGTGGGTTCAGTGATTCAAGGTATTGTTATGTCTGAAACAACACCTACAACTGGATCTTCTCGATTTCAAGTGTTCGAACGAACCCAACCATATGGGGAGTTGCCTATCTAACCATTGGGAAAACTGGATGGGCAACGTTTCCTTAATTGGTCTCAAGTGATTTGAACAGTGTTGAAAGGTAGAGGGCAGATCAGCCATCTCCTAGGCACAGGGCCTAAACTTGGAGATCCTCACTTTGAGTTGTGGGATGAAGAAGATTCTAGAATTATGATGTGGCTATGGATTACCATGATACTGGAAATTAGCAATACTTGCATGCTCTTAGCTATAGCCAAGGATATTTGGGATGACATATATCAAACTTATTCCAGAGCTAGAGATTCAGCATACATATACGAGTTGAAGATGAAAATGATGACAACTAAACAGGGAAATAAGATTGTAATCGAGTATGCAAATCAATTGAAGATGTTATGGCAGGAGTATGATCATGACAAGCCGATTAATATGACAAGCCCTAAAGAGGGAGCCATTTACAAAGATTATGCAGAGCATGACAGAACTTATGGATTTCTTGCTGGGCTCGATCCAAAATTTGATCAGCTGAGAGTCCAGATCCTTGAGGAGAGAGATTACCATCCTTCAATGAGGTGGTGGCATTGGTTAGGGTGAGGAGAGCAGAAGAGGTCTAATGCTTCACTTGCAAAGTATGGAGAACACAACATTTGTGGCTAGAGGTGGCAATAGTCCAACTATAAGTAAGGAGAGAGTCAAGGCCAATCAATCCCCACCTCTACTTGGATAATCAAATAATCAAAGCTGTGACCATTGGGATACCCTATGTTGCAGCTACTGCAAGAAGGCATATCACACTCATGAACAACGCTAGAAGCTTCATGGAAACCTCAAAGTCAAGAGTATGGTCAGAAGGGAGTGCTCACGCTCATTTCACAATTGCACAGTAAAGTCAAGCAACACCATAGGAACATGGTCATTTCATCCGAGACTTGGTTGAGAAGGTGCAATCCTCTAGCATCATGCTCCTTTGTACATTTTGGTGAGTTTTCATCTTTTCTTGAATTAAGTGCCCAAATACTCCTACTTCCTAGATGATAGATTCACGATCTACTGAACATATGACGAATCTGTCACTTATTTTTTTCTACATGCTCTCTTTGTCCAATGAAAAGGAAAATAGCCATAGCTGAGGGGTCCTTAATTAATCACCATATTAGGTGTAGGAAATGTTTGCATTAATTCTTCCCTAATCTTGAGTAATGTCTTTCTTCATGTTCCTAGGTTGTCCACAAATTTTGTCTATTAAAAAAACTTGTAAATTTATTTTGTGAATTGGTTTTCTATCATAATGTTGTGTTTAATGACAAAGGATAGGGAAGGAAGATTGTACATGACAGAGAACGGAATGGACTCTACTACCTTGAAGTATCGTGCCAATCAAACATTGTGAAGGGTGACTTATCTTTTGAACCGCCACTCGTCCTACATTGAAAAAGTCTGGCTTCAATGTTGGGGACTCAGGCGTCCATCCTTTACAACCATCTAAACTCTATTTCTATCTTTTTTTCAAAGTGTAAGTGTTGAACACTTTAATTATGATTTATGTGAATTCATGAAACATAGACATATATCAGTTCCCATTAGTATGTATGATGTTTTCAACTACAATCAGCAAGGAGATTCTGTCTGTTTACAAGATTTTTATGCAAAGATGTAATAGTCTATGCGTAACTTGTTTCATATTTGTAGTTCAGGCCGAATCATGAGTATTTATGCATGCAGTTGTGGAGGTTGTAGTCATGGTCATAGACCAAAATCATGGTCATTTTGTGAAATCAATGGCAGAATTAGGTGGGGAGAAGATCAATCCAGAATTTTCATTGGAGTTGTCTAATGAAAATTTATCTCTATATTGTCAATCCATAATTTACCTTACCTTATGGTTTCAGAAGATTGCAACTGAACTTAGACAGTAGTATTGTTTTCTTGCCTTGCTTGATATTGTGGATGATCCTATAATGTCATATTAAACGACAAATAATGTGTAGAATCTTTACGAACTCATATTTACATTGATGGACTCAGGTCATAAAACTTTGGCTGCTTTTCTCGTGATCCTATCTTTCTCCTTTCAGCCAATGGAGATATGTAGATGATGAGGCTAAGTCGACATAATGTGGTTTAGTTCAGATACTATCTCCTCTTTATAACTCTTTCTTGCGTACCCCATCAATTGGTTTGCTTCATGAGGGTCACTATTTTGGAATTACATTGCATCAAGCTGAGTGAGTTGGAGGGCAACCGGAAATTGAATGACCTTTTAGATGCTCTTGACCTCAGTCAAGTTGTGATCTTTGTCAAAAGTGATAGCAGAGCTAGTGGATCTTGACAAACTTCTTGTCAAGTTTGATTTTCTATCGAATTGTATTAATTCTGAGATGTCACAGGCAGAATAGTAAATGAATAATGGGATTGCTCTGTGTGTTTATAACTACTTATCTCTTTGTGATGGACAATCAAGCTTATGCCTCAATGAAATCTGAGAACTAAAAGTTTCTTGTTGGAAGAGCTGTTCTACTTTGTTATTTGGCTCTTTTTTTAATTTCCAAGTGGTTTTTTGAAATCAAATTCAATCAAGAAATCTCAATTTATGTTTTTACTTGCTTGACTGTGTTTTAGTGATCTAATGGTCAGAATGATAATGGTGTTCCACTGCAACCAAATGTTCTATTTGAATATATTAAATTTATTTATCCCGGTAGTTCAGAGTTTTGTCTATCCAAAAATGGTGCTAATGTTCAATTTTTGGTCTCTTTTTACTAGTTTTTTCTTTTTTCTTTTCTTGATTGTAAGGAGAGTTGGGTTTGGATTTTACGAAGTTGGGTTCGGGTTGACATAGCAATTTGAAGCATTGGACTTCATTTCGAAGTTTATTTTCGTGTTTGTATTTTGATTACATATTTTATGAATAAAAACTTACATATACCTATAACTTTGAATTATATATTTTCTTTCTATTTTTACCCTAACCTGATTCCGCTGTAGTCTGAATCCAGATTAGTTTCCATTGGACTTGTCTAATTTGGTTGTCTATTCCGATTTAGAAGACCATAAGGAGGGTAAAAACTAGGTGGGGAGAAGAACATGAAACTGAAAAGATGTAGAAAGTAAGAAAAATGAAACCTTTGTTGCCTCTGGCTGTCATATCTATCATGTATGGATTTTGGTGGTTTGTTATAAAGAGAGTAAAAAACTTGTTAGAAAATTATATTCTTATAGTTTTACAAAATACAACTAATTTTTATATGGCTGGGGGTCATAATGTTTCTTAGACCTATTTTTTTATTGTTTCACATTTTTTGGCAGAATTTTAATAGAGCATTAGATAAGACATAGACTTTAGTAGAGATGGATTCAATGACAACTAAGAGAACAAAAATCAGAAATATGAGTTGTAATCCTAGTTGGGTAGTGGGTTCTAGTTAGAACCCTAGCTGGTGACCACTCCAAAGGGCCACTGTTCTCCACTCACCATAAAATGTCTTAATTCCCCATTTTCATCTTTGTCGTCTTCCCTCATTTCTCTTCTCTTACACCATTGTCAAATGCCCCCCCTATAAATTAAAATTTACCCCATAGCCCTTCCTCATATTTGTAATATGAGTTGGAGGTCTATCAATACTCTCTTACATCTCCACCTTGTCTTCAATGTGGAAGTATGGATAGTGATGTTAGATTGGCTCTATTTGCTTCACATGATTTCAAATGTGAGGTCTTCTTATTTGATGAAAAATTTCAGTCCATTATCTGAGGAGCACATATCCAAGACAGGTTAGGGTTTAATTTATTAGGTGAGCTCTACATTGAGTATAATTGGTTGATCCTAACATGTTCTTCAACTATGATACATGAAAGATGAGATGAATTTGAGCAGTTGTTGGTTAGGTACAATTAATACATCACCTTTTCAGCATATTCCATATTAGATAGGGGTCAAAATAGTATGGTGTTAGCTTCTTGTTAGTCTATGGACTAGTGAGTCATCAATCACGAATTATATGTCTTGAATCTTGCATATACTTGGGCCTTTATTTGGGACTAGGACATTACAAAGTGACCCTTTAATTGTGTCTCGCCTCATTTGTATACTTATTTCTCTATGACATCAAATGATGTTTTTTGGTAGTTGGACTGAATTAGTGTTGAGGGGTCATACCCAAAGACTGTCTTAAACATAACAATATTGATACATAAATGGAATAACGTGTTGCTCTAATATTTGGTCCACAACTTATTTCTTTCACATCTTAGGCTTATTTGATGTGAAGCAGTGAAAATAAGTTTTTAAATATCGATTAATTAACTCTATGTGGCCATCTATTTGAGGATGATAAACAATGCTTTACTTGGGATGCATTCCTTTTGATTTGAAGAGCTATGACTAGAGTTTGTTGATGAAGATCTTGCCTTAGTCAATCATAATAGATGTAGGAATTTTGTGTAGGTAGACTACATCTTGAACAAATATTTCAACAGATTTCTTAGGCAATGTAAGGATGTTTGAGGGGAATAAAGTGACTAAACCTACTTAGGTGGTTTGTAACTACCTATATAGAACTAAGTATAAACTTTGGACTTAAATAGTCTCTCAATTTAGTTCATAGTGATATGTTTCTAAGCTTGCTACATAATATTAATGGTTTTAGAAGTGCCACAAATGAAAAAGTAAATTTCTTATTTTGTTGTCATAGTGTGCATTCTTTGACATAATTTTGAATAGCTTACTTTATCTATGTCTAATGTACTTTTTGGATGATGCATTTGCACATGTGAAGAAATCTCTTTGAGACTTTCTATTATAATAGCATGATACTTGTGCAAAATTTGGGAGATAAAGTAAGAGTTTCATAGTAGTAACAACTTGTCTTTACTCAATGTTATAGTGAATAGTTAGGCTGCTACATGGTTTGTCCTTTACTACTCACATATGGAGTACTCATTACATTGCATCTCTTTTTTGATTTATTGACTATCAAATAGTTGTGAATTAATAGATTGTCATATTTCTACCTCAATTCGAATATAAGAAATTATGTTGGTTGCTTGACTCTTCGATCCAAACTTATATTTGATCTCAAAATCATAGCTAATAATTTTTATTATCTTTGATATTTGGGTTGAATTTTTTGTTGTACCAATAAAAAAATTAGATTCTTATGGTTAATAAATAATAAAATATCATATAAATCATGATGCCACTTTAAGATTGCTAGCACAATTGTGATCAGTTCATTCTCATCTGCATATATACATCAATTTTGTGTGGATAGCACATGGTTGAAGAACGTGATGTGACTCTTCTATTGAGTGAGCACAATTCTAATTTTATGTTTGGATGTGTTTTCTTTAACTTTGAATGGTTGTGATATGCCATGGTTAAAATATGAAGTAATATCATGGCAAACTTCAATGCTCAAAATTCATCCTCTATTTTCTCATTCTAGTGGGATGTATTTTTTCAACATTTGAGTGAGTGACCATGAGATGGACTCATATTTTATCATAAATTATTGAACATACTAATGAGGCCTCATAAAGCCCAAAGTTCTCTAACATTTGTTGTCTTTTGCAACTATTGTATTGCTGTCTCTTTGCTTTTGTTTGCTTCTACTCTAGTAGCTAATGCTCAATGTGTCTATTATTTAGTAATTGATTTTCCGTAGAGATACTTCTTTGCATTTACATATAATAGGTGTTCTGTGAGGACTAATAACACTTAATTTAGGTGGTGTCAATGGGTCTCTTCATTCTTATTTTAGAACAAGATATAATCAAAGAATATAAAGATAACTTTTTGGAGAAAGTTTTAGAGAAATTAGTTCATCAAAAAGTAGTGTTAATAAGATTGAATGACATTAACCTACTTATATCTTTTTATCATAACATGACTGACTCTATTGACAGCTACTTATATAGGGGTGAGCATTTCAATCATTTGTCAGCTCATTAGTTGTATAAGTGGCCAATGGATGTCTTGATCTCATAAAACTTGAGGTCCTAATCTTGATTGACAAATCATTTGGTCTAGTGTCCACTAAATATTTGATTATTCCTCTTCAAATTGATAAAGTTAGTCCACTTAGAACAAATGGTCTTGTCATCACATTTGTATCATTTGGTTCTAACTTTGATATTTCCAATAAGTTTTTTGGCAATCACAACAATGATATTTTGGATATGTTATTAGAATCATAGTAATCTATGGTATCTTATTGTCACAAGTTCAAAGAGAGGTTTGAGGTAGATATTGGTCTTCAATTGGCTTCCATATAAATAGAGAAATGGAGGATTAAATATTAACAATCAATACACAATTTATAAACCTACATTCACCTTTCAAAAAAAAATATTTTAGATTTCACTAATCACAACTTGTGATTAAAACTATATGTTGGGATCAGTTATCTCTTACACCATAGACTTCACAAGTTTATAAAACATTACTAGGCATCTCAATTCTAATAATCCTTACACTTAGGTGAGCATAACACATACTCATACCATTACCAAGTGGTCCATAGGTGTTCACAACACCAATTAACACACCATATGTTTACACTAGAGCTGAGCTTATATATACTCACAAAAGAGTTGAGTGCACCACATGTGATCATACAAGAATTGAATACACTACATTTGCTTCTACCACAATTGAGCACACCACAAGTGTTCACACAATGACAATTAATATAACATATACAACAAACCTTAATGATTAACACCACAATGCTATAGTTGATGTCATTTAATATTTCATACATTATTCATATATTAACATTATAATTTAAATATATCTAATTAAGGTTTGTCATTCTTGAAATACTTAAGTTCTTCAATACCAATAATCAAAATCAAGGAGTTGCTTATGCAAATAGACACCTCCACTTTAATGCAATGTTATTAGCTATTTATATATCATAAGACTCAAAGCTTTGAACATATTAATAGCTATTTATAGTGCTTTTAATCTTTATTTTGTAAATCATTGTTACATTTGATTTAACATGAATGAAGATTTAGGGTGCGAAAACAACAAATAGCTTCTGCAACTTTGAACATTCAATTTGGAGCATTGTATAATACCTTGGATTGAATATATATAATTTCATTGTGTTAGATTTTGCGTAGAAGATTCTCTCTTTTGAGAACAAACTTGCCATCATCGTACTTGTTTTCCATCTTTCCAAATTAGGATTAATTTGGGCAAGTTTCCTAATTGCAGGCAGGTTAATCATAAACTTGTCACAATCAATTGTTTAGTTGACTTTCCTCATCAACACAAATCCTTAACAAATAAGTAATAATCATAGAAGTGGAAAAAATAAAGAAATATTATGCATACTTGTGAGTATAGTGATCATATATGAAGAAATACTTTGCTAGACCATATTATATACTAGACGTAGATTAAATAAAATAATTTTCATGTTTAACTTATGTCATAACACAATAGATTGTTCTCATACCTTTTTGCCTTTATAGTCATATTCATATCCTAGGTTCTTTTATGTCATATTGGATTGGTTCTATTTTAGTGGATTTTGGTTAACTAGATCCCACTCAATTATTTTGTGGTCATGAGTAAATAATTGTATTTATTTATATTTAACATAAATCAATTCATAGATTATATTCCATTCTCTCTCCTTTGCTTTACTAATGGTTGATAACTTGGGCTTCCTCAATATGGTATTGAGGCCACCTTGGTGTGATTGTTTTGACTAATCCTCTTTGATTTTTGGAGTATTCCCCTTGGCTACATGATTTTCTTTTGTGAACATTTTTTTGCTAACTAGATTTTACCCTAGTGTATAATATTTTCCTAGTCTAAAGTTTTTTTTTGGAGATTTACATCGTGTGTCTATGGACTCTACACCACAAAAATAGCTACCATTGGCCTGACTTACTTCTCCTCTTGTGTTTGGAGGCAAGAGAACAATGATAACCATCTTGGGAATCGAAATGCTTATTATTGACTCAAATCAACCTATTTTTTTCTCTATTTTGGCTCATCTCTCTATATTGAAGGTGAGAGCACAATAATATGTATCCAAAGTCATTGAAATGGCACTAACATCTTCACACTCATTAGAGTCTTGTCAAGTTGTTTTAATGAGGGGAAACTACATGACTTATTATAATTGGTACATGAATCAACATGTCTAATATAGAGATATTATTGTGCTCTCCGGCGGCTGCCACTTGATGGAGAAGGGCTGGATAGAGGTGGGGCTGCCACTTGATGTCATATTTCTCTATTTTAGAGTGGTGTGACTCAAAAAGTCAATGTGACTTATTTATTTCCTCCAACATTCAAAAACTTTAGAAAAAAATAGGAATGCCTTTTTCAAAAAATATGACAAAACCAAGGTTTATTAGGTAATGAAAAAGATAATGACCTTAGTATATGGGATTAAGATTTTTAGAGGATATGTAAATGAGTTAAATCTTTATGAAATTAGGATTGACAACACAACATAAGGATATAATGTATAAATGGTAACTAAAGGGTACACTCAAGCTTATAAATAAGATTACTTAGAAATGAATAATTGTCCTAGTTACAAGATAAATATATTTATAATCTTACTGTCATTAATAACAAATTTTAGTTGGGATGCCCAACAATTTGATGTAAAAAATATATTTTTATTTGAAGAACTAAATGAAGAGATATATAGATCATGTGGATACAAAAGGAATCCAAATGATAATGTGATGTTTAAGTTGAAGAAGACTTTATATTGGCTTAAATAGTCACCTAAAGCTTGGTTTGATATGATCATATTTTATTTTTTAAGCAATGATTGTTGAGAAGAACTACAACCCTTTTAATATATGTGGAAAACATAATAGTGATAGATAATGATAATAGTGAAAATGAACACTCATGTAGTTAGCTACTAAAAGAGTTTCACATTAAGATGTTAGAAAAATTGAGATATTTTCTTGACATTGAAGATATATACTCAAAATATGGCATACTTATATTACAATAAGCATTTGTCATAGATTTATTAAAGGATATAGAAAAATTGAAGTATAAACTCACAAGTACTTCTAATGATTTGAATCATAAACTCAATAATATAGAGAAACATAATAGATTGAAAAATATATCATCATCTTGTAAGAAAATTAATTTCTTTCTCACACTAGACTAGACATTAAAGAATCAATTAGGGTCAAACAATTCATACATAATCCAAAGAAAGCTCATATTTTGGTCACTAATATAGTATTGTAATTTGTAAAAGAGATGCTTAGAAGGGGTATCTTATTTAAGAGAAATATAAATAAAGATATTGAAGTTTACACTAATGTTAATCATGTAGGCCTAACTGTTAATTGATGAGCAACCTCAAACTATTATCCTTTTTTGGGCAACAATTTTATCACTTGATACAACAAGAAATAGCAAATGGTTGCAAGATCGGGTATTGAATTTGAGTTCTAAGCAATCATTCAAAGCATATTGTGAGCAACATATTAAAAGATATGTAAATCATCCTACTACATTATACTGTAATAATAAATCAAGCATAAATATAAGTTTCAATTTAATATAGTATGACTTGACAAAGTATGTTGAGATAGATTAACACTTCATCAATAAAAAGGTTAGAAAGGTGCATCATTTATATTCCGTGTTTGAACTTATGATCACCTAGTGGATGTACTTTCTAAGAGATTAAGCAATCTTACATTTCAAACACTCATATTCAAGATGAAATTGGGTAGCATCCACTCACTAACTTGAGAGAGAATGACAAAACACTTTATAATACTATCATACCTTCATGTATGTACAAGTTTATTCATATCATAGTTTTTTTATATTATATTTGGTTCTGTTCAAAGGATGCATGTTTCATTGTTTGAGGCACTTATAAATAGTTGTATCCATTTACACAGTATTAATCAATTAATTATCTCGGTAACAAAAGCTATAGGAGGCTGTATTGGCGAGATCCAATGGTGAACTGCTGCCCAAAAGAAAAGTCGCCTAGAAGTCTGATGACCTTTTTTGTCATTCTGTGACTTTGGGGTGTAACAACTCTCTCTGGCAACTGAAAACCTAAGACTTCTATAAAACTTATGAACATCTATGTCCTTAAAAAGTCAATTGTAGTTGTTGATGGATGCCTTCAGTCTCAATGGTGTGGCTGCTGGTCTCTCTCTCTCTCTCTCTCTCTCTCTCATTCTTCCCCTCTCTCTATCAAGGATAGATGCATTTAACTTTGCATATTGAAACATCTATTCTCTAATGAACTTATCTCATCCCTCTACCTTGGTGTAATTTCACAGAATTTGATCTTAAGGAAGCCACTAAACCCAGTGGATATACTTTAGTTTTTTAATGAATTTCAGTTGATTTCTATTACTTGTGAAAATAATTACGTGATCTATGGTTCATTGACTTATGACCATCTGAGTCGGAACCTTTTCGATACCCTCTTGAAGATTCATGCGAGAGTCAGATTCTCTTTCCAAGGCTGTGCCATATTAGATGGAGGTGACAGTCAAAGGTGCCCTGATTCTCCGTGTCCATTAATTTGTGGGAGCGTTGAAGCTTTTGTGCATCGTGCTCAACCTCTTTTGGACCTATCTTCCAGGACCACACTTAGCGTAAATTCTAAACGATCTGATTTTCCATGTGCTTGAACTCGTTTGACATTAATACTGTAGTTTGGGAGCTTATCAATATATTTTATTTTATTCCACTTAGCATTCACTGATGCAGCGGCAGCCAATGGCTCTCTCTCTCTCTCTCTCTCTCTCTCTCACACACACACACACACACACACACACACACACACTTATCGTTATCATCCCTTGCCTTCCTCCATTATTCCACATGACTATCTCCCTCTATTCTCTCCCTCTTTCAATATCATTGCCCATAGAATTATCGACATATCAAGAAGGGTCTTAGCACATTTCCAGTCGGGCTTGGACCACTTGAAGGGATGGTCCCGGCGCAAAGGCCCAAAAATTAATTTCATAAGTGCGCATATTTGGCCACATTGTTTGAGAATGTCAATTGGACGGGCCTGGGCCGAACCTAACCAAACCTAAAGCCGAGCCTAGAGATCCTGGTGCTCGGACTTCGATTGGATTCAAAATGTGGGCCGAAGTTTTACCTTGGTCAGTGTCTGTGGTGACAAAGCTCAACCTAGTGTTGACCGGGATAGGCCGAGCATTGACATAATCTTGATCTGTGAACATGGATACACCACCTCCCTCTCGCCGCAGTCCAAGATCTGTAGTTCGTTCTCCAGAAGAGTGTATTTCTTCTGGTTGATTTCTGTTCTTCTCAGATAAACTGTTTTGCTTCATAAAACCTGACTATTTGGGACATTTCTGAATACATTCAGAAACTTTGGTTTTTTCTTCCAAGTATTTAAGCTTTTCGCGCTTTTGTATACAAATTTCGGGGCCTTTTTTGGGGCCTATAAGGAAGAATATAAGATTTCCCGCATTTTTTCAATATCTTCTTGAAGGCATTTCTTTTCTGGAATGCATCTCCATTCCACCGTGTTTAGTCAATTCGAGGTAGATAAAAACACGTAATTTGGCATCAAATCATGCTATTTTTGGGTGGAACATGTGGCTGCCGTGGTCTTTCTGGATTCGGTCGGCCGATTTCATCCCTCATATGCGATAGTTTGGGAGGTCGGTGGAAGCTACTGATCAACCTCTTCCGTTCCATGAATGTAGGAGGAAATAGTGGGCGGCGGAGGATCAGGAAGATTCGTTCTATCATCACCGCGCCCTACACATCCTGCGGCCATTTGCTGGTGTCCACGTGAGAGTTGACTCAACGATTCGTCATCTTCCACTGGTCGCCGTCGCAGTGGGGAAACCCGGAGGGACAGCTCTCCGTTGTGGCCAGCCCGCTGGCCATAGATTGCCGTTGAGCTCCCCATTAATTCCCCCGGTGGAGTAAACGCTCTCCCTCTCTTCTCTTTCTCTCTCCCTAAGTAAATATCTATCACTCCCTCTCTCTCTCAATATATATATATATACAAATGTATAGAAATATCTCTCTCTTTCCCTCTATCGTTTTTTCTTTCTTTTTTTCTCTCTCTACCATCTACCTATCTCTCTTAGTGCTGCTGCCGACAATGGACGTTCTGCGGAGGAGAGAAATAGGGGGAGGGGTGGGGAGAGAGAGAGAGGCAGGCCCGTACTTCCTCCTCGAGGGGGAGGGGGGATCCTCGGAGGCGCCGGGTTTAAACAGTGGCGGCGACGGCGACAGCTCCCGCCTGGGCCAGCTCGGATACAAGCAGGAGCTCGGTCTCAGACTCTCGTAAGTCTCCCCCCCTCCCCCCTCATGTCCTCAATGCCCGCCGATCTTCTCCACCATTTCACTGAAATCCAGGCTGAAATCAAGCAGGAGTTGATCGACCTCCCTACCCATTCACCATCATCCTCGTTGTTTCTCCTGATAATAAGCATGATCCAATTAACGGGTAATAAGCTGGAATTATAGCGCAAAACAGCCACCCCACACCGACCGGTGATGAGGATTTCGATTGAACACTTGAACAAACTCGGCTAATTCGTTTATCGGGCTTCCGACGATTTCCGGTAAATTTTTTTATGGTGGATCATCATCAGGGATCGCACTTGAAACGTCGATATCTCACTATTTGCATGCGGGGCATTTGACTTTTTCTCACCGCAACGGAGATTCACTCTCGCTTATATCCGATCGATTCTGACTTTTTTATCGCTGGGTCAACCCCACCCACCTCTCTTTTCTTCCGATAATCAGCCATCTTCATCCTGGCCTTGCCCCACAGGGCCATCTCCAACTTTGCAGTCACCTTCACCGCCGTCTCCGTGCTCACCGGGATCACCACCACGTTCGGCACCGGGCTGGAATTCGGAGGTCCGTTGACCATGGTCTACGGTCCCAGCAGACCGGTCGTCGGCCTCTTCACGCTCTTGGTCGGCTCCTCCATGGCGGAGATCTGCTCCTCCTATCCGACCTCCGGCGGTCTGTACTACTGGAGCGCCAAGCTCTGCGGCAATGAGTGGAGCTCCTTTGCGTCCTGGATCACCCGATGGTAACAAGTCAACCACTTCCTAATGACCATGTAATTATTAATTCTGATATTTCATTCATTTATTTCTCTATTTTATGGATTTATCTATTTGTGGGTATCAAGTTGATCAGTGAAAAAAAATAGTGCAGATTAGAGCTGAACTTGTAACGATCATTCTTATGATCATTACGATTTGTGGAGATTTAGTCTAGTGTTTGACTCAAAAATCCTTGGAAGCCCTGTTGGATTAGACCTGCACAGTTTGACTTTTGTGACACTTTGTGCTGCTGGGATTGACATTCCTTGACAAAAATAAAAACCAATAAGAAAAACATATTCTTATCCATTATAAGAAAATGCTTTCAAAGAGCTGAGCTGACAGAAAAGTTTCTAAGATTATGAGCTTAACATTAATTGGCTCATCATGTTTGAAATATAATATTTTCTCTGTCAAAGAAGGGAATGGAGCTGCCGTTGACCCTTATTATCTCATTACCTTCATTTGAAGAAAAAAATTGAAAAAAATGACACGTACCCATGAAATTTTATGAGATTATAAACTTAATCTCAACACATATGATTCCAAAACTTGATGGTGGTTCAAAATTCTGCTTGGGGATATGACATTATACTCATGATGTTGACAACCCTCACATGTTGCATAATAATTATTAAAAGACATGTCTTTCTTGATGGTTGGGTTAGTTGACAGTAAGATAGTTTAACTCAGATTTTAATTATTTTGAGGTGATTCTTAGCCAATAATCCAGCTTGATCGATCAAGATGGAGCATTTGAGTCAGTTAATTCTATCCGAACTTAGAGTCTAAAACCAGGAAGATCTATGTTTATGGATATTCTTTGCATACCCCTTTTTAAGCACAATTACACATTAGTCCTATTAGAATCACAGATTAGATATCTTGGTTCGATTTCACTCGTTTCAGGGAATACAGCTTCGTAGGTTAGTTTTTTTTAGATGGGGTGGGGCTTTTAGTACGTGAATCTCATTGGAAATAAATCCCACTGAAGGATTGAAATAGAAATATATTTTCACGAAGGGCAAGTTTCAATTATCTTCTAAGACGGGAACTGCACATAAAATCTGGTTTCTATTGTCAATGCGGGGACCACCTGAAAAAGCTGCAGACATAGGATCCACTTTTCTTGGCCCATAATTAATCCCACTTGGGACTTGCGCAATATTGTTTATAAAACCCTTGAACTTTAAGAATTTGAATATTACCCATCCAGCTGTATGAAGTTGAGAGTATATATAGAAAAATGTTTTACCCACGTTGTTTTTTGAAATAATCTATGCGTTCGTTGGTGGGAGCGACAATGGGCCCCTCCAGGCGGGGGGGGGGGGGGATCGCCGCCATTAAAATGGTTGGGCCCTCCAGCTCTCTCTCGACCTTCCAGAGGTTAATGGAGTAAAAGATGGATCTTGGACATCTCCTCCGGCCGGCGAGAAGGCCCGCCGTTGATGGCCGAGGACGAGGAAGAAGAAAAAAAGAGGATCTGGGGCTTGCCTTTTCGTCAGAAATCGACGGCGGTGCGAGGGATCCGTTTCTGAACGGCGAAAAATTCCTCCGAAGATCCCCTCCGATCTGTCGACCAAGATCCGTTTCTTTATGTTGGTTGGTCTTCAATTCGGGAAAAAAAAAAGAGATGGTGGGGAGAAATCTAGTCTGGGACAGGACAACTTTTATTAATAGCAGATAGGGATAGAGAAGAGAGAGAGAGAGAGAGGAGAGCAGCTCACCCCGGGTCAACGGAGCCTTAGTGCTCTGGGAGTGGACGATGGAACTCCAATTAATACTCGTTGCATGAACGAACCAATTGCACTTCTGCTCGAGCGGAGAGAGAAAGGTTGTTCCTTCTCCTTCGCCCTTCTGCGAACTGCTTGCAGATGGCCCGCAGGAGAGAAGAGTCCGTTGTCCCGATAAGGGTTCACGATGAAGACGCTTCCGACGTGGACTCCGGCCACGCCCGCCTCCACGAGCTCGGCTACAAGCAAGAGCTCAAGCGCGATCTCTCGTAAAACCTTCACGCTAAAGCTCAGCCTCCCGTTTCATTCTCTTCTGTGCCGGTTCCTCGATCTGAATCGTGGGCATATATATATCTCGGCTATGGATGTGGTCTGCAGGGTGCTCTCGAACTTTGCCTTCTCCTTCTCCATCATCTCCGTGCTCACCGGGGTGACCACGCTCTACAACACAGGGCTCAAGTATGGCGGCCCGCTGGCCATGGTGTACGGGTGGCTTGTGGCCGGGTTATTCACCATGTCCGTAGGCCTATCCATGGCGGAGATATGCTCCTCCTACCCAACCTCAGGGGGCCTCTATTACTGGAGCGCCAGGCTCTCGGGCAAGGAGTGGGCGCCTTTTGCTTCGTGGCTCACAGGATGGTATGGTCCCGTTCTCCTCCCAGTCATCAGATTATGATGCAGGGAGGAATAGAAGTTGATTCCGCGGATGGGTTTTCATCACTTCGGCAGCTTCATTCTCCCCTCATCCTCTTGTTACTACCATTTCTTCGGGTGGTCTATTCACGCATCATTTAAAATTCCTGATGAAAGTTAGAAACAAAATCATGTTCTGTGATTAATATATAAAAAGATATGGACTATGATGCAGGGGAGGGATAGAAGCTGATTTCAAAGGATGAGTGACTTCTGTGTCAGAATAATCTCATATTAAATGATGATTAAATCATGTGATTTCAGTAGAGGCCTCCTTATGCCGAACCACTCGATTTTTATGTTTCATATGCTTGGATTTGATTTCTGCATGAATTTTCAGAGTTTATTGTCCTTTTTCCAGAAAGATTAATTTTCTTTGTATCCCATTCTTTTCAAATATTTTGATTAGTTCCTTGGTCAATTTCCATTGCAGGTTCAACATCGTCGGCCAGGTAACCATAAAAACAAAAAACCCCGGAGAGGCCTTCAATTTTTTCACAGATTTCATCCCTCTTCTCTCAGTCTGGCGGATGAAGAATTCTTCTCTTGCAGTGGGCTGTCACCACCAGCATAGATTTCTCCCTGGCTCAGCTGCTCCAAGTGATCATCTTGCTCAGCACTGGCGGCACGAATGGAGGAGGATACATCGCTTCGAAATATGTGGTGATGAGCTTCCATGCAGCGATTCTCCTCAGCCATGCGACTCTAAATAGCCTTTCTATCACATGGTTATCCTTGCTCGGGCAATTTGCCGCCGCATGGAATGTCATGGGTAATAGTTTTGAAAATCCAAAGGGATTCCTTTAAACTGTTCTTACCCAGAAGGAGGATCATATATTGAGCTCAGACTGTTCTCGCTGGTTTCAGGTGTCTTTGTACTCATGATCCTCATACCCTTGGTTGCTACCCAGAAGGCCAGTGCTGAGTTTGTCTTCACACATTTTAACACTGATAATGATGCTGGAATCCAGAGCAACCTGTACATATTTGTTCTTGGCCTGCTGATGAGCCAGTACACGTTGACTGGATATGATGCATCCGCTCACATGGTAAGCTAGCGATTCTTCCCTGTGAGTCTTGGATGCCACCGCTACAAATTTTCTTCCGTTCAATTTTTTTAATTTTTTTATAGCTTGAAAAATGATTGAACCACGCTGGCTTTCATCTTTTCACTCTGTTCTTGCTGTTCATGATCTGTGTTTTTATTCATATGAGCTTCTCATCTTGTCACTGAATTCGACCTGTTCATGATCTGTGTTTTTTAATTATTGAAGGGGAGATCAGTTTCATATGATCCTCTCATCTTGTAGTTCCTGATCTGTGTTTTTTTTAATTCCTGGAGGAGAAATTAAATTTAATACGAGCCTTCTATCACTGATTGATTTTCACTTGAAATTTTCTCCCATCAGACGGAAGAAACCAAGAGCGCCGACAAGAACGGGCCGAAAGGCATAATCAGCGCAATTGGAATTTCTATAGTCGTTGGGTGGGCTTACCTGATCGGGATCACATTTGCTGTGACCGACATTCCATACCTACTGAGCCCCGAAAATGATGCTAGAGGCTATGCGATCGCCCAGGTATTCTATCAGGCATTCAAAAGCAGATATGGCAATGGAGCTGGGGGGATTGCGTGCCTGGGAGTCGTCGCAGTGGCCATTTTCTTCTGTGGCATGAGCTCAGTGACCAGCAACTCAAGGTAGGCATTTTCTTTTCATCATAGAGTTTCTTCTGATTTCTTTAATTTACTTTTATGGTCAGTATTTGGCCTAGTTAGCTCCACAGTCTGCAGATTATTTATTTATTTTTAATTTCTATTTTAGGCCTGTAGAAATAAGCCAAATGATGGAAAGTCCGACTATTTTCCAAAATTTTCCTACAAGCTCATCGACAATTGTACAATTACTATGATAATGGTGGATAGCTTTTCATCGCACTGGTTCTTCTGATTTATTGACTTTTTTTTATGGTTTGTATTTGATACCCAGCTGGTTACTCAGCTCTACAGTCCGTAGACCATTGGTTTTTTGGATTTTGGGTCCTAGAAATTAGTAAAATTAATGGAAAAGTCAATCCATTTTTTATTTTGCCTAGATGTCCTTCATTGACCGCCAAAACCCCTATTCTAGTAATGATTTGAAGGATGAGCAACTCAAGGTAGATAGTTTTATGGGTTCTTCTGATTTCTTAATTTACTTGGTCGTCTGCATTTCTTGCTTACCATCCCATTCAGAACCACAGTCACTAGATCATTGAGTTTTTTGGTTTCAGGTCCGTAGAAATAAGATGAATGACGGATAAGCCCATTTGTTCTTCAACTTTTGCCTTTTAAGTCCCTAAGGAAATGGAAAAGACGTACTTCTTAGTTCTGTGGGAGGTGGATACATACCGACCAACGATCTTAACATCACTCTTCACCACTCACTGGCTCCTGTTTTGACATCAGGATGGTGTATGCGTTTTCTAGAGATGGAGCGATGCCAATGTCGTCGCTGTGGCACAAAGTCAACCGGCAGGAAGTCCCCATCAATGCTGTCTGGCTCTCTGCGTTCATATCATTTATAATGGCATTGACGGTAACTTAACCTTCATTTCTATTCCTCTCAAATCTTTTAGGATGTGATTAGCGCAAAGATTATGACTTTGAGACTCAAAAAACGGTTGGTAATGATATCTTATTGGGTTTGGATTTTAATGAGCCCTGAAAATCTGAAAACCCAATCATTTTTCTTGTCCTTCTGATGTCATATTGGGATTAACATCACTGATCCAGGGTCTGGGGAACCCTGAGCTCCCTGGTGAAAATAATTTTAATCCAGCCACACAAAATCTGGGAACATAATCTTTTTATTCTTTTTATTTTCTCAAATCATGCGTCCGTCAATAGCATAATAACTTTGGTGGGCGGGTCATTTCTATGGAAATTGGATTTTGGGTAGAACAGATGGTAGAAGCTGGAATTTTTCCATCTATAGTCGTGATCAGTTTTAGTCTCCAAAATGCCAAAAATAATTTTTTTTTGTTTTTGTTTCTATGACTTAGTTTCAGATCAGATCAGAGTCTGTTACCCACAGCCCGTTAGACTTGATGAACTAAATTCCTTGGAAAATAATAAGAGATACGTTATTAGCCCATTGAAAACTCCTGCTTTGTGGCTCTGACCATGATTCCTTCATGAATTCTAAATGTGGAAAGGCTGGAAGCGGAAATGGTGATGAACCCATCAGAGTCTTCATCCTCTTTCCCTTCATATGAGCATAAGAGTCTGATACTAGTAATGTGCGGCTGGTTCATAAGCATCATAACAATCATCATCGTCGTCGTCGTCATCTTCTTCTTCTTCTGCTTCTTCGTTGTGCAGTCCCTCGGGAGCTTGGTGGCCTTCCAGGCGATGGTCTCCATCGCGACGATCGGCCTCTACATCGCCTACGCGCTGCCCATCTTCTTCCGGGTGACTCTGGCGCGCAAGTTCTTCGTTCCCGGGCCTTTTAACCTCGGCCGCTGGGGGGAGACCGTGGGCTGGGTGGCTGTTCTCTGGGTCGCCACCATCACTGTCCTCTTCTCCCTCCCCGTCGCGTACCCCGTCACCGCCGACACCCTCAACTACACCCCTGTCGCCGTCGGCGGGCTCCTCGTCATCGTCATCTCCTGGTGGGTCCTCTCTGCCCGCCACTGGTTCACAGGCCCCGTCACCAACCTCGAAGTCCAGCCGTAGAACATCTGCTCCTCCCGTCCATCTCTCTGTCTCTGTTTTTTTTTTTCTTTCTTTCTCTGTTCTTTCTAAGCTTCGGTCAATGCGAAGCTCTTCCGGTAGATGGAAATCGATTGGTCGATTTCTGTTGTTGTTGGGTTTCCTTCTTTCTTCCTCCTGGATTCCTGTGAGAGAAAAGCGAGCATCAATGGTGGGGAAGAGAGAGAGAGAGAGAGAGAGGCCTCCTAACTCTGAACTGTGTGGTCTCCATGAGGACCAGGATCAACTAATAAACGCGTATTTATTTTATGGAACCATTTCCATAACCATGGATTTCATCTCTCTCTCTCTCTCTCTCTCTCTCTCTCTTTCTCTCTCTTGATGAAGAGAGAGAAGTGGGTTATGTACACGAATCTCAGAAGGGTAGGAACTGATGACGGGTCTGTACAGCTTCAGAGCCTCTTTCTGGTAAAAGACCGATGGTTGTGCCAAGTCCAGAGAGCGAGAAACACGGAGAGGGAGGTCCCCATGGAGGCCCAGAAGACGATCAGCCACTGCGGCATAGGACTGGGGAAGAGACCTGCCCCAACACCATCAACAAAGGAAGCGGGTGATCAGTTTATCAGGCCACTACGATTTACAAGGCGAAGAGCAGCAGAAGGCCGGAGCTCTCACCTCTTCCAAACTTGACGCAAATGAGGAGCTCCACTATACATATGGCCAGTGATAGCCAGCAGAATGCTCCCACCTTCTTCAATGGCTTGCTGAAACACCCACAAATCATCAAGAGAGAGAGAGAGAGAGAGGACAAGTGAAGGGTGAGAAGAGGATGAATGCCTGTCTTGGAGGTAACTGTTGTACTCGCGGATGGCGGGGATGGCGATCAGCCACCAGAGGATCAGCCTGTAGGTGATGAGGGGGTTCCGGGGAGGAACCCAGAGGCAGAACTTGAGGAAGAAGGTGTTGAGCTCCACCATCATGAACACGACGCACAGGCTCAGCACCTGGACGAACCTCCACGGCCCCAGGAGAGGGCGCCACTGGTCCTTGTCCCACTGGGCCGGCGTGAACTGGCTCAGCGTCCGCTTAACCTTCAGAAGCAGCAATAAAAATTCAGGATGATTCTGAAGAACGAGACAAGTACAAGTACATAGCTTCTTGACTGCGTCCATGAAAAATACTAAGAGAGATAAATCTCATCATGAGTTCACCATCTGCCTTTCCTTCAAGCTGCTCACTACTCGGAAGAACATGGTAGGAGGAAATGGAAAGGAAGAAATCAAGCGATTATACTAAGATCCATGTCACCCCCACCATATGGGATTTGGCTGATAAACAGCAGCAGCAGCAAAAACAACGATCAATGATGATGATCATGATGATCATGATCATGATGAAGGATTACGGTCAATGATTGTATTCCAATTGACTGAGTTGACCAAATTATCAATCAAAAGCCAAGATGAAATGGCCCCACCAGCAGGAAACTGGGGAAAAATCATACACTGCGTGCTCAAGACCTCCCACAGCAACAGCTCAAAAAGCTCATGATCTTGAGGATGGGATCATCAGAATAGTAAACCTCCGGGAGATCTTTGCATTCACCCATGTGAGATCAAAGAAGAGTCTTCCAGAGGGGTTTTTTTTCCCAAAAATAGTTTCCGCCATAGAACTAAGCTATGGATTTGCTTAAATCCCAGTTTTCCTCAAACAGAAAAAGAGTCAAATGTAATGGATATGGCGCCAGCGAGTCTTAGATGCTCACAGAAGGAAGACTTGGCAGTCTCCAAACCATTGAACAGTGGGAACTCAGTGACTGTGAGGCATTCAGATTGCCCTACAAGGGAGAGAATCGCCTATGCTGTGGAGGGAAGAAGGATTACCTTCGGAAGAGAGACTGCATTGTTGTCTCTCCAACTGATGCGGGTCTTTGCAAGGCTCATGGTCTCAGGAAAGGGAGGCAGATGCTGCAGAGGGGCCGTGGGTGTCACAGAAGACTTTTTAGCATCGTAGAGGAGGTTTTGGAGCAACACAGGCATTTCCCTCTGCAGGTAGAATAACTCCTCGCGTAGACTCTCCACACTATATTTGATGAGTTCCAACCTTTTGTCGTGTTTCTGAAGAAAAGTGGTTTGCCCTCTATCAGTAAGCTTCCACACAATGATGGCAGAAGATAAATAGACAACAGCCAACTATGTTGAAATTGGATGATCAGGAGTAGGGAATGGGGTCATGGTGGAACACAGGAAAAAGAAGAGGGTAAAGGTAGAAGTTTGAGAACAAGCATGATTTCAAGCAGATCCGCCTAAAAGTCAGCGGTCATCTCCTTCAAAGAGTAATTAAGCGAGTTCCTGGAGCTTTCACAGAATGAAAATCCACAAGAACACTCAACTAGATCGAATCCCAAGACTCATGAGCCTAACCGTACCTTCATTCCTGATACAAAGGTAGCCCAGAATAAAAAACTCGATTGATCTCAACCTGCAGCTGCCCCAAGAGCTTTCCATAGCGTTTTAGACTTGATAGAAAGAAAACCATTGATTATCAAAGGTGTCAAGATGGTGAGGAACACTGGGTGTTAGAGGGAAACCAAAATGTATCAATTTTTTCGTCTCAACTTTAGGTTTTTGAGTCCCAATGATGATTGGCTTCGGAAAAATAGAAAAAAGAATCTCCTAAATGGTTTATAACTGCACAAGATAACTTCAAAACTGTTCTCCAAGTTTTTTTTTTTAAAAAAGAATATAAATCTCAAAAAATGTATGGTTAAACTTTCCATCTTGACAATCACAAAACGTCATACAAATACTGCTTGTATCGTTTCTTTTTACAGAGAAGATAACCTGTGATTTGCCATCTCGCTTGTTGTCAGAACTATGATTTTCAAAGGTTTAACTTTGGAAAAAATCATTACACTAATAATCTCAATATTATGAATTCTGCAGTTATTTAAGGAATCCAACACTAAAACCAAAAAGAAAATTAATAATGGCGGAGAAGCATGGAGGGATGGAAGTTCACTAGTCTAAATAGATCATGAAGAAAATTCCCAGAAGGGCACTGTGAACCAACATAATTTAGGGCACGAAATTCTTGTACCTGGAAGATTTCAAGGGCATATGGTAAATTTCCCTTGCCCGCCCAATTATTTTGTTCTCGGAAGACATTGAAGGTGCACTACCGTAAAACTTGTGTCACATCTAAACACTAAAATACTCACACGATCATTTTCCTTCAATAGTTTTAGTCAAGAAAAACCCAATGGATTATTCTATAACAGGAAAATTTCACATTATTCATCTAAAGGACTACCCACTTATAGAGTCAGCTTTTTCATCTATGTAAAATGCCAGTGGACTTTTGTTCATTAGCTCATTGGGTTTTGCCGATGTTTTCCATATAGGAGACTTTGCTTTTGTTATAAGTATGAAGCACAATATTGACAAGCCAACAGAGGGTCAGTTGATTGTTAATCCGTCGATGTTAATGAACTTCAGTAAAATTTACTATAAAGTTGCATTACATATTGACTAAAACTAGTCTGCCACATTGACAAAATAGAAGGCATAACGGTCCTTGGAAAATGTAGAGTTGGCGAGTCAACCAATGCATTGGCTGACTTGATGGGTGGGGGATAGAAACCAGTCAGGGCACATTTTTATGCTCTCGACGTGGCAATTCTCTGAATTAAAATAAATCTCCACAATGTTCTAGCATCCACAAGTACGCACAAAGCTAGGATGTGAGCGTCTAAACTAAAAAATATTTTAAAATAATGGATGACGAAATAGGATTTACGTACACATGCACTCACACACATGCACGTGCATGCTTCTAAATGCGAGAGTGACAAACGACGCCTGAGATTGACTGAGAAGTTGGCTATTTGTTCTAGAATCTCAAACCTGGCTGAAAGATAGAAGTATGGACAATTCTACCTAACATTTTCTTCTGCAAAGCACAGCAGCAGGCCAACAGGATGTATTTTTAGTAGTAAAACTATTTAGCATCACTACTGAAAGCTAGAACTATTCTTTACCAAAAGAGAGCTTGATTGGTCACATGGGTTGAAGATAGAATCGTAGAAGAGAAGATGGACAACGACTAGGAAGGTCAATATCAAATGTGACGTTAAATAAGACATACCTTACCGAAGATATTTGGTTGGCGGCTTATACCAACCCATTCATACGTTTTTCCATCAAAGTAACGAACCGTACGCATCCCAGCCCATATACCTATGGACAAAAAAAAGGAGCATAAATCCAAGAGTGAGACGCAGAAAAAAAGTGCCTTACAAGACAGTTTCTTCTTATGATGATATAGAAACAAAACTCATAACTTTGTTAATACCTCCAGCCAAGTCCATATATCTCGGTTCTGATTCCTAAAGTTTCAGTTGATTCACTTTGAGTAACATGTAGCTGAACTAATTCTAAATCTGCTGAGATTTAGAATCAACAATTTCTCCAGATCGTGGATTTAAGAAATGAGACAAATGGATAAATTTCTATTTTCAAAGATGAGGAGACATACAGATGGTTTCAAAATTTTGGGTTGGACAGTATACTCTTTAATAAAGGTAAATTTCATTATTTTTTTAACTTAATCAATTTTCATGCAACGTAGTAGACTGCAGGTAATTTTGTATTGTCATAAGCTTTGCTTACTGGTGAAAATGGCATAATTTCCTTTAAATTCGCCTGACAATCACAATCATAGCCCTAATGTCCAAGAAAATCAATATTTTCTTTTTCCCTTCTTCATTTGCAACCAACTATTTTTTCTTCCTTCTCACATCCCACTCTTCGAATCTACTGCTATAAAATGTCGATATGTCAAGAAAATTACAAATAGAAAGATGAAACACTATTAATGTTCGTTCATAGAAAACTTGTTGATTAAATATTTTGTTTGCATGGTTTATAAATGTCTCAGATGTGTAGGATGGGTGAACTTTCATCCCATATTTGAGTATGTTTAAATTCCAAGGTAACAGCAAAAGTTTCAGTTAAATAGAATTTTTTAGAATATAAACTGAAAAAATGTCCGCGAATTATATTTCATAGTTAAAGTTTCCGATTGTGATAATTTTAACGGCAATTATGAAATGCAAAGCAATCAACCTCATTGAAATCGGTTAAAGGGGTGGCCATCAACATGATGATAATAATGACAGTTGATGGGGTCCGGATTCCATAAAATATGATTAGCTCTATGAAAAAAAGTTAATATTTAACTTCCTACAATGACATTTCTTGAGACACCTATACAAAGATGGACCAATGCAATCTGAAATGGAGCGCATGCATGAAAAGAAACAAAGAGCAAAAAATGAGAAGGATACACTGCATATGCACATTGAAAGGATTTTATTACATTCTATATTTGAATAAAAAACCGTTTAGAATTTGTTTCTAGGAAACAACCAAAATATGATGACTGTGTCCTATCACCCTTTTATAACCAGTCAACTGTTTATCATCAGGGTCTTCTGAACATGATGCAATCCATAGGGTGCATATCAAATCAGCTCTAAAATTCGTTAATGTGAAACACCCCCTCGTTGGAGGTACGCGGAGAATGATCAAGGCCTCTTCCACTTGTAATGTGAGAAGATTTTCGATCCAAGAACGGAGAACAAGAGCTTGTGCGACCTATGCGATTTTTTGTGTTATTACCCTCTTATAATGAGGCTTAAAAATCATATCATCACTTATTTTAATTTGTTCTTTTTTCAGCACAAAAAAACCAGAGATTAGTTTTTAGAATCTCACCAAACCAGTTGCAGATCAGAATATCCAGAATAATGCTGTCCCACCAGCATTCATTGAAGTTGGGTAACATATGTCGAAAGGTTAACTGCAAAGTGCCAGAATAAATAAATAAAATCTTCAAGTGCACTGAAATGTGGAAAAAAAAGATCCCAAAAAACTGACCTCCATAAACTCAAACCCTATTGACAGGACCCACAGAAGGGGTTGGTTTCGAATCATTATGGCTTTGCCCCACCAACCAAAAATATGAGCCAGAACAAACTCATCAAACAGGGTCTCCTATAAAAATCTAAACCAAAGTCAGAAACTCAACCATCCGGAAAGCAAAACTCAACAAAGAACAGAAATTGGAAAACATATAGAGCAAATTGAAACTAGGTTGATGAAAGAGACATCTTACATAGACATTGATAAAACTGTTTCTTGGATTTTCTGGCACGTAAATACGACAATCAGAGCCATAAGATCTCTCTGGAAGTTCTGTATTTAAATGGGGAAAAGGGTTAGAAACTAGAGGAAGTCCGAAGTGGGTAAACGGCTTAGTACAATCCACACTATGCATAGTTAAACTTATTACCGACTCCAAGATCTGGATGAAGAAATTTCATGAACAGCCGAGCATCATCACGATCCTGGGAAACCAGGAGAAACACATGAAACAAGTGAGTGGAAAAGATATTTGATAATATAAGGTTAAGCAGGATAACCTTCATTTAGTTAGCATTAGTTTGGAACAGAAGAGTACAACTAAGTTTTAATAGGAAATGTTAAATAAGAAAATGTTTGACAACCTCACTTTAAAATTGTAGATTCAGCTAAATGAGAATTAACAAGCAAAAATGTGCTTAGCTTATAAATAAAGCCATTTACCATGCACCATACAAGAGAAAATGGTGAACAAAACACCGAAGGAAAAACTACTGACAGTAAGCTTGGAACAAACATACACACCTGAAAAAGAATAAAGGTCAACGCAACGAGATAAATAACAGCCATCCCATGCACCAAACGCCAAATAGCAGGGTGTGGTCTAATAAGTATCCTGAAAGGATTTCCAAAAAAGAAACCGACAAAATTACGAATAATTAGAAGAGATTCATGAGTGGCTGAGAACTAACACCTAAGACAAAAAATTAAATGCATCATCACCAATGCTGTTTCAATTCAATATTCTATTAGAAGAAGGCTTACTTTCGTTGTCATGGTCACCTCTACAATCTGCAAGCTTTAACTTAGTAATCACAAAATTATTTCTATGTTATTAAGTTGGTCATCGCTAAAAACAAGAGCACAAATTCACTCCAATGAATATGGAAAATATTTTAATTCAGTCAACAACAAGCAATGATAAAATGTCAATTAACCGAAGAGAAGACACTTGTGATTAAGTTAGTTTTTCTAAATCAATTAACTAGCACAACGAACACAAAAAACGAAATAAAATATTGAATTGTACCTTGGTCAATCTACAGTGATGATTTCAAACAACACCAACATCTATTTTTTGACCTCTATGACTGAGATAAAATGCATACGTTCAATCTTCGAAGTAGTGAACTTTTTAGTACACTACCCCAGCAAAGGGCTAAGCAGCCTAGCACATATATAATAAAGTTCACAATTATCAAATCAGAACACTGGAATACACATTAACCGACACATGCTGTTTATTAATTCTACCTGAAAACTGACAGAAAACACAGGAAGTAAAATCATATAAACAACTTACGTCGATGGTGCTTGAAGCAAGCAATAAGCAAGAAAAACAAAAATCATTGCCCAGATTCCCCTGCAGAAACAAGCATATTACTACCAAGAATAATCACGGTATCATAGACGAAGATATTGATCATACTTCTTTGTAGATGTAATGCGATCATTAGACACAGAACTTTCAGGATCAAGTACTCCGCATTCCCAACTGAAAAAATCCATAACCGTGAACTTGATCAGCTATAAGCTTCATAGGAATATAATCATACTAATCCTGAAAAAAATTTAATCAAAATCCCCAAATTAGGCAATGTTAAATCTTCCTGATCATTTTAGAACCTGGAACACATTAGTTCCTCTTGGATGATTTTTGTAAAAGATGAGGCTACGTCAGGAAAGTTGTGTTCAATATTCCCTCCAAATCGGGAAACGAGAATATTAAAAAATATGCAACCCAAATCCTAACGGGGAAAAAATGATGTAAGCAAGTCATTTTGAACGGAATCACTGCACCTTCTCCATGGGGCCCCCAAGCCCAAATAAGTTACCAAGTTACTGGTGCTCCTTTCCTTGTGAAAAACAAGCTGCCCGAGCTAAACTTGCAGCCCAACCACTTACTGACTGAATCCACCTTGGTCTTTCTATCCGTCAGGTGCAGCATAGCTTAAATCTCACCTACTCGACACAGTATCCCCACAGTGCATTGTTTGGCTCTTGTATCCATCTATGGACAGCTAGGTAGTACGCATAATGGGTGGGGTTCCGATTATTTAAAAATAAGAGAGAACCTAGAAAAAGTATGATGCAAAGGGAAAGTATGAATTGGTCACTAGCTAGTGTATCTTCACAAATTGGAAGTAATATCTCGTGAACTTCTTCTGTGCTAAAGGAAGTAATCATAAAAGAATGCAGAGAGCATATCCCTATGCCACCTAAGGATTTGAAAAAAAAACGGAGAAATTAGATTGACTTGAAGCACAGAGCATCACATTAGCAGGCAGGCACCAAGGAGCAGCAATGTAACTGTCCGAGGCTTATATGCCCATGCCGTCCAAGGATCCAGCTCGTCAGCATCGTCCATGGCTTTGACCTCTGAACGCCTCCTCCTCCTCTCCTCTTGTACGGCATTGACATCCATTCCGCAGATTGTGGTCGGCTATCTCTGTAAGACCGAAGAGAGTTGGACGTCAGCGAAAGAGAGCACAGTTCTTCCTTCGTATTACATGATTGCATTGGATTCATGAATTTTTTATATGACGAAATGAATAAAGAAGAAAGAAAGATGGAAAAGACTCGACGAAGGTCTACTGCACTAGAGAGTAATTTTACAAAATAATTATACAGATTTGGTCCCAGATGAAAAATCGATCTCGTAGCACGCCCAGGCTTCGCAGAATACAAATTAGAAACAATTTAGTATGAACTAGCCCTCTAAGCAGGTTCTCATGACCACGGCGAGGACAAAGAACACGGAGAAAACTGAGGCAGATACTCAGAAGTACGGAAACGGTGATGGAAAAAAACTAGAGAAAATTTGAAACTTGGATTTTAATTCGACGGGCGTAAAAATGAAACGAATAAAAAACGGAGGGACTCGAAGCGGAATCATGAACGGAGCAGGGGGATAAGGAATTCAGAGGAGTGCATACAATGGCAAGCTCTAGTGTCCCCGCCGGCAGACCGGACGGGGAAAAGAAGGGGAAACGAGTTGTGACAAGAAAATGGTCGAGAAATCGTGGGAATTTGTTCCCCTGCACGTAGAGGCCGCAGCAGCGGGAACACCCAATGCAGAATGACAGTCCATCCCCTTTTTCAGAGTACTGTTACAGAGAAAGAGGGAGGTGGGCGCCATGGCCGCCTACGCGGTGGTCCCCTTCAGTGGGAACCCGCCTGATGGAAAACGCGTCACAGAGAGAGAGAGAGAGAGTAAAGAAGATGGTCAAGGTGGGGGCTTTCAAACGGGGCTTACCAGCAGAGGAGAGAGAAATGAGACGCTTGAGTATCGGACCGAAAACGGGGGGTGGAGGGAATTTTATAGTATACGCGTCCTGTGAGAAACCCCCAACTTTTTCTTAATTATAGTTTTACCCCAACCACGATGTCGGCCCTGGGCATTTTTTCGTTTTTCCTCATTTTTCACGTTTTTAGTGTTTTCTATCCTCTCTCTCTCTCTCTCCCGCTCGCTCGCTATCTCTCTGTCTTCTTCTTATTCTACGAGACAAAACTGATCATGAACAAGATGGCAAAAGAAGGGCTCAAGAGAGATGGATGCCTGAACGCGCATAATTTATGAAATTCACGTTTGTTCTTCGTGAGCACTGAGAACAGACTCTTTCCCTCTCTATCATAATAACTTGGTCTCTCACTCCTCTGTGGGTATCTATTAGGGAGGGCCTCATACCATGAAAATGAGAACATCTTTTTTCTCTAAAAACTTTCAAATCTACCGCAGAGTGGCTATCTTCATGGACCCATACTTAATAGGATTTCATCCTTAGGCTTATTTTCCAAGCTTCTTTTCTTCCCAAATGTTTGTCTAGGCCTTGAGGAAGATGCTTGCGTCCACCACATTGACACTCTGAGATCTAGATGTATGCATTCACATGACCGCATAAGTAAGTGTATATGTGTATCATTTATTTTATCAAGAAATTAATAAACGAGACTACCCAGATAAAGTTCTCATTATTTCTCGAAGATGGCCTACAATTATTCATCCGAAGTAGATTCTAATATGGTTCTTGGGGTCAACGCTTTTTGAGTCAAAATGTAGACACTTGTGGGCAAAATAAAAGATCAAAATTAGAGAGTTTAAAGGTTGGGGATGATCGCATTACGGCACTACATCTTGGCTGAAACTGGAAATAAAGACCACTTTTATGATGCACAAAGAACCAAATGAAGATGAGGGTAGCCAAGTACCAGACATCAACGCCTGAAGTCGAAGTGCTGATACTTTTGAGCAAAATAGAAGGTCAAGATTGGAAAGGTCAAAGGTTGCCCCAGAGTAAATGACTAGGCTATCATACTTGAAGATCAAAACAAGGAAGCGTGGCCTATGTGAATAGAAGAGTCGGAAAACCAAGGGAATGGGTGTTGACTTTTGCTGTAACCGGTATAATCCCCTTGCAAAGGCAGACATCGACCAGAGGTTTTAGTCTTCGACTACACTCAGATGGATGGAATCCTCAAGGGGGAGCGTGACTACACCTTCAGCGTTATGGAGAACATACGAGCTAGGGGTTGTAATGCCCTGCTGATGCAGAAGAGTATCCTAAGGGATGCAGTGATGAACCTCTAGCTAGCTGAAAACACAGACCCGAATCAGTGTATGTAATAGTGGGTAAAGATATTAGTGACTGTCAAGGAGAATAAGCTAGTTTATTTGGAGAAAAAAATCGATATAAAATATTTTATCTAGGGATGATATCAGGTTCAACCCCGAAGCACTTGACTTTTTTGCCCATTTCTGACCTCGAACATCCTTGTGAGGATGCTGGTGGTGAGGGCTTTCAACCAGCTGGTCATTCATGGTGTCCTTTGCATTGTTGGGCAGTCATAGTTTTCTATGTTCTGCAGCCGCGTTGGTCACCGACTATACTTAAAACTGCTGACATTTTGTGGACAGCTTTCTTCATTGCTTCTTGAAGAAAAGGTACTCGCCATGAAAAATATTGCGTTACTCGTAAATTATTTCCTACCACCTGAAATATTGAAGGCGATAAATAGAGGCGTCAGAGACGCAAGCAACACTCTCTCCCTCTCGAGATATCTTTTTCTATAAGTTGTGCAGACATAAATGACGACCAACAAATAAGTTTGGCTTTGGTAGCACTTGCTCCAAATGCACAATATTTTTGGAACTTTAATGTTCTTCAAAAAATAAGCTTAATCTCAATTGTTCTTGCTTTAAACTATAATGTTGTTTATAGAGTGCGATAAATTTCACCAGCTCGGTGCACCTGCATAAATGAGACGGTAAGTCACAGATGACGTTCCATTGGGTTTACTGCCCAATCTCCATATTTTAGAAAGGCTGAGAATACACTCATTCTATACTCGCAGGCCTTCTTCTCAATTGACAACCCTCTTGTATGAGTGGCATGCCTAGCATGACGTGAGTTCTCTATCTTGGTCGTATTGTTTCCACCCTTTTGGTCTTCCCAAATTCTTGGCTCTTCTAAATTATGGGTATACAACGTGCATGGTTCTTCCATACTCTTCCTAGGGTGGAGCTCACTTGGACTTCTCCGTGAGAGCAAATATTTGGAGTGTCCAAAACTAAGAAAATAGCAGCAAAATATTTGTTTCTACTCTCTCTCTCTCTCTCTCTCTCTCTCTCTCTCTCTCTCTCTCTCTCTCTTTCATGATACCTGTATATACATTATATATGCTTATCTATGTATATATGTGTGTGAATAACAAAATACACAAGAAGAAGATAAATATGCAGTGAAAATAGAAGAGATAGGAAACAAGTTTGAGTTTCCAAGAATCTTAGAATATGATGTTGTTTGGGAGAATTCTTACTCTCTCCCACAGTCATAACTTATACTAAAACACCATGTCCCCCAACTGTCCCTCGATCTCACTCTTAATACTTCATCCTTTTATTAGACAAATGACAAAATTTTCCCTTAATCAACATTCATTGAATTCTCATGAGGGGCAATTGGGTCCTTTGCCTTAGAAGTTATTGGACTTAGTTGACATACTCTTTTCTATTTGGAATACGTTAGGCTCATTGGGGGCCTAGCATTATTCCTCCCTCAAAGAAAAACCTTATCCTTAAGGTGGTAGGTTGAGAACTATCTTCACAATACAATGGTCAATTATCATAATGCTTTAGATGATAATAGATGGTACCATTGGACTAACACTTTAGTTCCATTATAAGTGTGATGGTGTACAAGTACTTTTTATGAGCTAATAATCAACTTGAACTCTGCATGTGGTGTAGACATAAGGGACTGGCTGGAGTCTTGTATGAGTTTCTTTCTAATATGAGACATGAAAAATAGGGTGAATGTAAATCACAGCCAAAAGTTATAAATAGTAAATAAATAGTCTATTATTCTCAACAATTTAGCAAGGTCTAAAGTAATATGACACTAATTTCTCATTCTGCTAGTGAGTAAGAGATTATAGTCAAGATGTCATGAGTTTGAAATAAAACTAATCTTTAAACTTTTAATTAGCTTATCTACGCCAATTATCGATATGGGTTTTATTTGTGTTTATACCCAAAACTTCATCTCTTTCATGCAATTATTATTTGATCTCTATAATCTTGTCAACATGGTGTTAAATTAAAGTAGCGATGGTGGGTCCCTACTTTAGATTATTTTGAAAGAGGTAAATATGTGGGACCATGGTACATGATATTATATCAAAACCCAAACCATAATAACTATTTGTTCTACTTTGAGATTCATCTTTTAAGAAGTATTGTAGATTAAGTTTCATGTAATGGTTGACTACTTCTGTCCAACTATTTGTTTGAGGAGAATATATTATATTATAGTGTAATTTTTTACCTTATAGCCAAAAGAGCTCAAACTAAAGGGACTCATAAAAATTTGATCACAATCAATTATGATGGTGAAAGGTAGTCCATGTAAGCTGATGATGTCCTAAATTAATAAATTTACCACTTCTAATTTTGCCTATAGGTGTTTGATAGAGGTAAAGTGGGTGTACCACCATGATGGAACTATAGCCCCTAATTGGGGCAATTTATTAATGAGATACATCATCAAATATTTACATATCATGTTATATAGTATAAATGGTCGTAATAGATCACCTAGTGATAGTACTTCAATCTTATTTATTTGACAAGTCAATCATCACTCTACATATGGTTATTTGATTCTTTATTCCATCTTTTTATAATAGACTTGTTAAGCTAAATGTTTATACATTTGTATGAACCTAGAGTGTATCCCAAGAGCGTCATTATGGTATTCTCTAAAAATAAGTTGTATGGCATAACTAACTATGATAGAGTAGGCGTCTTTGGTGAAGTATATACTTGGAGATGCATCTGATCCTTGCTCCAAACTACATACGATGCAGAACAACTTTAAGTCTATTCATACCTCATTAGATATAATCCTTCAGGTTCAAAACATAATG